AGAAGCGAGTAATTCACAACAGGGGCGTGTATTTTATGTTATTTTGATATCGAAATGATGATGAAGTGAAATGAATGGGGGAAAAAGTTAATCCAAGACTGAAATGGTTTAGTGAATATATATATAATTCAAGTCAGGCCGTATATCTTTTCTATGCGACTATTTATCACCAGAGTTTGGCGAAAATATGAGTCTTTATTTGAATAAAAAATAAACATCTTAGGCCAAACAATTTTATTTTTTTAGTTCTTCAGAGTCTGGGTCAATAAATAACCCATTCAATTTGTGTGTTCGATGTTTTGTTAAAATTTCAAAACTTAAATATTTTGAACTAAAATCGTTTTATAAGAGCAACTACTTACATTTGTTTTTAAATTATTTTTTTTCTTAAGAAATTGGACGCAAATTCTTTAATTTGTGTTCCCGAAGAACATGAATTAAACTTATGGTAGCCTTATTTTGAAAAAGATTCAGATAATATTGTATATTCGTCTAACCAATATGATATGGTATAAAATGCCAAACGTAGTGGATTTTACACTTGTATTACTGTCTCACAAAATGCATAGAAATGAGTTTTAACTTCCTACTTTTCTGCAAAGACTGGGCTATTGAACATACACCATACAGTATGCTACGGCCTACTATTATTTTGAATATCAACTGCCAAGGGATCTTTTACATTTACGTCAAAATGAACATGGGACCTCTATTTTCATATCATCCATGCGACACTGTTCCTTGCCAGGCCCTCCAACCGACAATTGGAAAGCGCATTGTAAAATCAGGGGAAATTTTCTCAGTCAACAACGGGATTGAACCTTGGACCTCTTGGTTATATAACCAACGCCCTACTCACCGAGCCACGGTGGCTCTTTACATTCTATAAATACAGAAATATTTATAGAAAAAAGAAAAACACAATCTTAGCTCATTTTGAACCCATGCAGATACAGTATATTAGGTGATGGAAGAAATTCATATTCCATTTAGATTACTCCCCACTAACAACATTGGTATGATTTCATAGTCTAAAAAAGTGTGATTTGTTTCTTACGTGATATTTATAATAGTATCTATATTTATAATAATATTTATAATATTATCTTTAATATGTATATTATCTATAATACTATCTATAATATGTATAATATTATCTATAATATTTATAATACTATGTATACTATGTATAATACTATCTATAATATGTATAATACTATCTATAAATACTATCTATAATATTTATAATACTATCTATAATATGTATAATACTATCTATAAACATTATCTATAACATTTATAATACTATCTATAAATACTATCTGTAATATTTATAATACTATCTATAATATTTATAATACTATCTATAATATTTATAATACTATCTATAATATTTATAATGCTATCTATGATATTTATAATACTATCTATAATATTTATAATACTATCTATTACTATCTATAATATTTATAATACTATCTGTAATATTTACAATACTATCTATAATATTTATAATGCTATCTATGATATTTATAATACTATCTATAATATTTATAATACTATCTATAAATACTATCTATAACATTTATAATACTATCTATAGTATTTATAATACTATCTATAATATCTGTAATTATTTATAATATTTTGTAATTGTTCACTACCAATATACATAAGTATTATATAAATATAGTATGGGGTTACATCCTTTATATACTAAACAATTTATATACAAGAAAGAATGTCCTTGATTTCAATATACCTTTACATACTATAGTAGCTACATACCTACGTATCATTATTTATTTACATATACATTGACCATATCAAATTGATTAATCTATAGAAGATTTTATTAAATCTACCTAATTCTAAAAGGAAGGTCAATCACCTTGACCAAGGTGTTCATAAAAAAGATGTATTAATCCATCTTGACCAGAGCTCCACACAAAAACAACTCTATCTATTTTGTACAGCATTAGTTCGTACGGGGCAATAAGGTACGACGGCTACTTATATTTGTGTATATTAAAATCCCACGGAAAATATGAAATAATATATCCCATAGAGTAATAATTATAAAACAAAATATTCTCAAAGTAATATGAAATAAAATATCATCAAAGTAATAATACTAATATGAAATAATAATATGTCCTCAGCATCTTTAAACTAAAAACGTATAATTAATTCACATAACTATTTCATGGAATTGACTGTTTTTGATTCCAGGAATTCCGCAGTTTTAATGTGTTTTTTTTTTTACAAGATATCGCTAAATAACATAGTGTAAAGGAATATAATTGAATTGTAATGATAAATCATAATTTTGTGTTCCAACAAAAATATTACATTTTGAAATTTGAGAATGTGTGAATATTATGGACGTTCTTTTCTTGTTCAAGTGTCGTCTTCTTGGGTTCTCGTTAATACGCTCGTAATTATGAAATGTGTGGTGCTCCTGCGTGAATCTGAAAACTTGATATAAATAATCAAACGCTTTTAAACCCAACCAGCAGTATATAAATATAAATAGTCTTAGCCTACATGATTCAATATATATTCAAATTGTGATAGTAATAAGGTAGACAAACAATACACTGACCAACACCTGGACATTCACCTTAAGGTGTTATATTATAGCATGAATACATTTGACCTTTCTCCCTGATATCCGGAATACTATTCATTAAACATTCCTTATTGAAATACATGTATTTGATTCACTTTTTACTCTAAAATAACAAAACTTCTACATTGGTTTAAAGAAATGTTTTTATTAATCTTCCGAAAGTTAACAACCCGAAATGAATTATTGATAAATAACAAACATACAGTTATACCAGAAACACGTTTTGAAAAGTAAAAGGGGAACAATCTATATACACAATAAATCAGTGGATTATTTCTAAATTTATTTCGTTGATGTAATATTTATTTCAAACTATTTTCAAGCATGTTAATAACTATAAAATGACCCCAAAACACTATTAATCATTTGTCTGCGATATCACCTCGGAGGAAGCGGGCGTAAAATACAACTAACTAACAACAACAACAAACTATTATTCATCCTCATTACTGTAATGCGAAAGTTAAACAAAGTATTATCATACATTTAAGAAATAACAAGTACAGATTCTTCTGAAATTGCGGGGTATATTGACAAGCATTATTCATGTTGAATCATTCTATTGTGTTAAATTGATCTTTTTGACAATTTTAAATTCCCAGTGTTTGTAAGTAGTATAAAACAAGTCAATAACAGATGGTTGCCAACATAATGTATATTTTTGAGGAAAAAAGAAAAGCTGACATAATAACGTGAAGAATTTTTGTAACACTACCAAATATAATAGTATGATGGTAACTGTTATAGGGAATATTGAAACAGTTTATAGCAGTGGTTCTCAACCTTTTTTTGCCGACGGCACACCCTGGAACACATGAAAAAATAATGTCACACCTGGCTGTGTTGCGGTGGCTTTTGTTCGCATATTTTTAAATCAAGGTTAAAATTGAACTTAGCGAAAATAGCAGTTTTTAGGTTTTAAACAGGCGGAATTGACAAGGGCAGATTTCGAGATTCTGTCCATTGACTCCTATTTCTGGTTCTCTTGTTCACAATAATTTGCTCCAAGCAATGACTTCAAATGCCCGGATATTGATTCAAATTTTCAAAATTTTCTCAGGTTGCTCAGTGTTATAGCTACTGTCCGTAAGGTTCACATAAATTTAATAACAAAATCAATAACAATCATCATATAATGACATAAATTTTTATGTCAACTTGAATTAGACTGCTTTCAGGCGAGATAACGATCGGCGAACAAATATATAGGCAATACGATCTATGTTCTACCGGGACGCCCAGTGTTATAGCCAGTATTTTGTTGACATTCATTGTGGGGTGTGATTGTGATGGCGCCCTTGATTTGGAACCACCCCACCCCACCCCCTATTCCCAGACTCCAGATCAGCTACTGGCCCCTAGAAAACTATCATCGGTGGTGCTCGGCCCCTGACTGCGTCACACGTATTAGGGACATGTGCATCAGTCAGTCGCATTTTTACTAAAGCCCCCCCCCCCCCCAAACAAAATCATTATGTACGCCCCTGCATTCAGCACATTACCTCCGAGAACTTGACGAATAAAGCGGAATTCTTTTGTATATATTAAAGTTTAACAATTCAGAAAATTATCCCATTAGCACTGGACGAATGTGACATAATTTATTTTACAACTTAAAGGAGCATTTTGTAAGATTTAGATAACAGCTGGCCTTTCTTGCAATAATAGTTCAAAATAGATAATAACAAATGGATATATTGAAAATTTCAGTCAAATTACTTTATTCTGAGCGAAGCTGGTAATGTGTAATAAAGGAAATCTCGATTTTCTATTTCTTTTCGTTAACCCATTAAATTGCGTGGGTGGTATACGGTCTAATAAAATTGACATCTAACCACCCGGTAATCTATTTCATATATCACTTAAGCCAGGAAAAATTCCTTCATTAGGCAGATTTAGCTCTTACATAATGCACCTTTCCAGGTCATTAAAAATGTGCCCCATTTTCTGTTTGCTCATAGTCACATAGTCACATAGTTAAAAAAGGGAATGCTTCTTTAATATACACGTTTCTTACAAATGGGTTTAATATGTTAAGCGTCCATTTAAAATCTATTAATTTCTGACAACTGCAGGTTTTAAATGAGTTGCGGAGAAAAGGCTGTCATTAAAAGCTGGCGTCAAATAAAGCAAACAAAACCTTCCATTTACAAATAAACAGGAAGCAATCAATGAATTTATTTGTTTAACTACATATTTGTGCTAATCGCATATATCTTATTGTATTGAAATATACCGGTTAATTTATATATTAGACTACAATGGAACTCACGTAGATATTTATTATACCTTTCTTATTTTTCTGTCAAAAATATTGATGTTACTTATTTTTATTATAAACATAAGCCATATATAAAGCGACAAGAAGGGTACGGCAATACAATCACAAAACCACGTAGTAAAGGGATACATTTTCCGCTAACACTCTTAAATTTTAAATTTGACATCCGCAACTTAAACCATCCGAGAGCAGTTGACGAAGAAAACTTGATTGACAAAGCGTCCACCATGTCTTCACTTTGTGTTCTGTGTAATTATTGTTTTCACGGATTAATTAATTTCATGTGAGGATATTGTAAACTGATCGAGTTCTCGTCTAAATGTCTACTAATGTTACGATGGAATCGTTATAGGGTATGAAACTGCATGTAGCAGGTTATATTTGCTGTCTCTGGGTGACTTTACTGGTTTTGTTGTCGAACGTATGTTCCTAAGTATAAAGTGTATGGTTTTGTTGTCTACTTATGTTCCTTAATATAAAGAAGTGAATGGTTTTGTTGCCTACCGTATGTTCCTAAGTACAGTGCCGGACTGTCATTGACCAAGGCCCACACAAGTACCCGCCGAAGGCGTGTCACGAACGCAGTCCGAGGGAGTCTTTGGGGCTCTCTCTCCCCCCCCCCCCCCAGGAACATTTTTAAAATTGACAACCGCAAACACATTTTCCAAGCATTTCAGACCAAAGAAGAAAAAGGCAAATGTTTGATTTCCTGATACAATAAGATAACAGAATGACCTAAGAGCACTATCATTAGATAGTATAAAGAAGTGTATGGTTTTATGTTTTATCTGTTACTTAATATTATGGAACACCTGGTGGGCCAATCAGTTTGCATCCTTGTTTTTGTTGTCAACCGAATGTTCCCAAGTGCATGTCTATCTGGTGCTAAATCTTATGGAACACCTGGTAGACCCACCACGTCAATTTCGTGTTTTGGTTGCCAACCTTATGTTAATGTATGGTTTCCATCTTTACAGAGCTCTAGCTTTTGCCGCTGATTACCCATTCCTAGAGATCTACTTTAAAGGACGTATAACATATTCTTTGGAACCATATAATAACCGAAATGGTTTTAAAAGCTCCTATTAATGTAACATGAATGTATATATTAATTTATATTCAATTGCTAAAGAATTTATTGAAATTTCTAATCATTTATGTTGGTGAAATATATGTGAAAAGTACAAATTGAATGACAGTTGTTGAGGCCTGATATGCACGTTTATTTTATTATTATTTTGTCGTTTGTGAATCTGTCATTACTATTGTCTTGTAGGATATGCTTTTCCTTGTTCATTACAAATGGCGCCCGAAATCATAGAATGTTCAGTGTGTCTTAAATACTGAATATTAGGATCCGATATTTTCACGGCAAGTTAACAACTTCAATATAGATTGAAATGGGCCAATACTGAATTCTAATTAGCATTTATAATTTCAAATATTGTGGATAATATAGAGTTGGAGGTTTGGTTCCTTTAGTGTATTTTTTTGTTTGTTACTTAAAATCTTAAAGAGCACAGGACGCCACTTCGCTGCTAGGTTGTCAACAATGTGTTTAGTTTTAAAGGGACAATAACACTCTTGCTGGCTTGATAGCCCCAGAAAATAAAAAATAGCGTTATTCTAAGTACTAGAAGTGTTAGTGTACCTGTTGTGTAAATTATCCATTAAATCCTATTTTACTTGTCCAAAGGGTTCAAAAATATTTTTAAATCCAAGTCACATTTGAAAAGTTTTACGTCAGGCTTTTCAAATCATTTAGTTGAATTTTTCCAATTTTTTAAATTAGGTGTGTTAAGATGAAATTTGTATCATCAATTAATTGGAATATTGTAAAATAGTACAATTTGTTGACCAGAATAAAGATTGGGACATATTATTCAGTTACAACAAGAGTGGTATTGGGTCTTTAAGTTGAACACTGTTCGAATTTTCTTTTGTGCTTTACATACAGTCTGGAGGCTCAGTGATGGTTGGGGGGTAGGGGTGGGGTTCATCAAATGGACACCAAACCAAACCAAACTTTTCTATAGTAAAATTTTGCGTAGAATATTTTGCCGAGTGGTAATCAGGTCAAAAGGTCGAATTGTCCGTTTTTGCATTAGGAAAATTTAAAACAATAAATGCCAGCGTAAAATATAAAAACTAAAACGAAACCTGTTCTAATTAATAATAGGAACATTTAAATTTTATCTTTAGCTGGTCTTAGCAACGAACTTTTACTTTGGAAGATCGAAAAATATCTTGCTTAACAGAACCAAAACACTTCGAAACCTGTTTTTAAAATACGTAAAAACTGTTAAATCAAAATCTCTCCAATTTAGTTTCAAAACTATTGCTATACATAATGAAACTAGTTGTCCGAAAAACAATTGAATAGTTTCATGACTGGAGTGATATTTTCGACCATTTTTAGCATGTTTTCATGATACAAGAATGGCTGCGCATTCATTTTCAGCGCAAATGACCTCATTTGACCTTTGACGCCGAATATCTCGAAAACGCCCCAACGGTGGACTGATTACTACTCAGCATCGTATTGGGTTTTGTTTTGTGCCCATTTGATGGACACCCGCACCCCATCCCCCGCGCACTGAGCCGCCGGTCTATTACGTTTTGTTACCTACTGAAAAATTGTTTGTTTTGTTTTGGAATGAAATGGTGTTCTTCGTCCAACTAGAGCCTATGTACTTGTTAAAGATGCATTATGTAAGAGCCAAATCTGCCTATTGCGGATCTTTATTTTGGCTTCAAATGTTATATTACTATTATTTAGTTATTTAAACACATGACAAGCCTATAGTTAGCCCTCTAGACTATCGGATGGCGGAGATTTAAACGGATTAAAAGACGATCACCACTTAATGATTTAATTTAAGTCTCGAATAACAAGTACCGTTGTTACGGTAATAAAAAATCTATGCCACATCTTGTCAAAACTTTAAACATTTCCAATATATTCATTTGCAATATCTAATTTTGACCTACTATGGCAAGAACGACCAGCTCTGTATGTAAATCTCACATAATGCATCTTTAATTGAATTTCTAAGAACTATGAAAGAGTGATATTGTGATATATTATGATTTTGTTTTACAGCTGTGACGTTTGTTGCCATTTGCCGGTCTTGTACTTTTGATCAGTCTTGTAAACAAACTTATATATATGAAGCTGCTACTCTGGATCCATGCGCGTAAGTATATTTAATATTGCACTTCTGCGGTAATTTCGTGTTCAAATTAGAACTGTCAATAATTGTGTGTTTTTGAAATGATTTACTACATGCCTGTTTTTTTACATTTCTTATTTAATCTTTTCGATTATCGTCGCCCCACACCACCTCTTACAGCCCCAAAATGCTAGATATAGCATTTGCGGTTATTTAATTATGCGCTTTTCATGCCCCAGGTACTCTCCCGGGTTTATCACTCTTGCCCCCCCCCCCACGAATCTGGCTCGGGGATCCCTAAAGTCAATGTTCACATGTACTTTGGGGTCCCTATTTATTCTTGGGATCACGTCGTTTTTAATGAACTGATAAGCAAAGTCGTGTTGTAGAAAGCACCATTTACAGTCAGTTTTTCAAAAATAGAGTGGAGTCCCTTCCCGAGGCCAGGTTCGGGACCTCTAGCCCCCAGTTCGTCTCTATCAAAAGCAACAAGATCCTCCGTGCAAGCTCTAAAATAAAAATCGACAAATCCAACCACATTTTCAAATTTACATCATAAAATATGACCAATCTGATTAAAACACAGATCCTATTTCGTTTCGTTTTTTATAGTTCAAAATTTCGTTTTACTTGTCTTTACTACACTAGGATCTGGAAGAGTTGTTATATTACCGGCGTTTTGGTTGAAGTGAGGGATAAGCCAATGAAACAGGCTGTTACGGCGACTTCTTGGCGTACCATGCACGGAACTGTGGGCAAACCACTAGAAACGCCAACGCTGATTGATTAATCAATGTCTGACGTCAAAGGGTCAAAAGCCGGTCGTACGACTTGTTAGATCTTGATGTAGTGTAGGCCATCGAAAGTAAAAAAAACGAAACGAAATATAGATTTGTATTTTAATCAGATTGTAAATCTGACATGCATCACGTTAATAATTTAACGTTAAAATTGATAATCGAGATTTTGTGTATTATCATAGAAATAGTACTCCGCGACGCGGAATATCTTGTCAAAACTTCAAGCACTCATAACTTTGCTCAGAATAAAGTAATTTGATAGAAATAGTTTTCATTATCTATTTAAGAACTATTATAGCAAGAACGGCCAGCTCTTTATCTAAATCTTACATAATGCATAATAACGGCCGGAGTTCTGCTTTCAAGGAAAGTTCATTACAGAAATTCAAATTGACTGTAAAAGTTATGTTAATGATTTTGTCTGTGCTTTTACTTCATAAATATATAACAAATACGTTATTATTCTTTTGATCTTGAGTAGCTATGTTAGGAATAGTTCCTTGTGGTAGCCTTGGCCATAAAACTGCACAGTTTATTATACACAAACGTTTTTTTTAAACAAGCTGTGCACAAAAATAACTTATTGGGACTATTTAGATTGTCATTCGTATTGTTATGAAACTGATTGAAATAGGCCACATTGTTATTTCTAACGTTCCTTTTAAAAATAGCTTATTATTGCATCTTCTTTTATCATCGAAATATTATGTCTTTTTATTGAGGCCAACACCTGACTACTCATAAAATTTAATACAATTCAACGTACAAGCTGTAGGAAAGGGGATACCGTGACAATGCTTCTACCCATCCCTAAGTTCTCAAACCATATTTTTTTTAATGTCCAGACCAATGCATTATTTAATAGGGCGGGGTCTTAAGAGCAAGATCTGGCATTGAGTTGTGCGGTTTCGATTCAACACTTTTGCGTGGAAAAGCGTAGGATTATCTGTCTAACCTCGTGGGTTTTCTCCGGGCCCCCTGCCGTTGTCCCATTGCTACAAAACCCTACTCGCAAGCGAATTATTGACATAAAATTGTATCAATTGTTAGTTCCCAAATGACGTGGTTTGCGTTAAGTGGGTGTTAAACTCAACCTGCTTGTTGATTTTTTGATTTGAATGTTTATTTACAGTGCTGCCAATACATACAAAGCATGTGTAACTACAATGACGTCAACCTGTACAGATGCACAGAAAGCAGAAGGAGATTTCAAAATAGCTATTGACGAATCGGACGCCTATATAATAAGCAACTGTAATGCAGGACCTCCCCCTCTACCACCAGGAGACGGGGGTGCACGTAGGCTACTTTTGTTATATATTTAAGGGGGCACCAAGTCCGCCATTCAGGCAGCTAGAGACGTTTAATGTTAGTCTCGGACACCCTGAAACTCCTAGTCTTTAACGTACGGAGGGTCTGCATATGTCAGTTGTTATATGGATAATCAACCACATAAAACTGAACACACTGGTACGCATGGGCAATGAAACTATTTGTTGGGGAGATCCGGTCAAAAATATATGCATACAAACGAGAGATTAAAATAATTATATAATTTTATCATAGGAATATAGCAAGAATGTGTTCCCCTAAAAATAGCCCACAAATCTGTAATTTGTTTGCTTCGCTCTGCTCGGCAGAACTCGTGCCAATTTACTGTACTACATCCTACTACATCTAACATATTCTCATTTTAAACAAGCCGAAACGATTTTTGTCTAGCACCGCTCAACATAACTCATGGCAAATCATTGCATATGACATCGTGTCTCACCAATATTGGGAGCCACAGTGGCTAAGTGAGTAAGACACCGGCTCGATACTCTGTCGTTCTGATGGGAGGTCACGTGTACACATTGGTGTGCACGTAAAAGATCCCTTGGCAGTTGTAATTCGAAATAAGAGTAGGCCATAGCGCCGCTGTCCGGGCAACATTCATAGCACACTATATGGCTTATGCCCGTCTTCATTAGCCCAGTCGGAGCGTAGGACGTTAAATTCCATTTCATTTCTCACCAATTATTGAACTCTAATCCACATCCACGTCCATGACGGCATATAACATGACCAATGTGGACATACAGAAATGTAACGGCTTGTATAGTCAGTCATATGAAGTGTTCGGTAAGTGTATGATTAACAGTCTTTTTATACTGGCGTATATCGATGCATACAGTAATACGGAGCTTGGTTTTGGGGTTTATGTTATCAATCTTATAAATTTGTCGTTATTATGTTACGATTTTAATTTTAATTTATCCACACTACACGAAGATCTGGTTGCTTCTTTACCAATTTTCTGTTTTCATCCAAATCCAATTGGTTAAAATCGTTTTTGCGCAAGTGATGATTGACAGACAAGAGGTTAGGTCAGGTCAGAGGTCACTTGAACACAAATTGCTTACAGGTGTATGCTAGACCTTAAATGTAAACAGCACACACAATGAAAATGGCATGATTTTAATATGATATTATGTATTTTATTTATATTTACAGCAACTAATTGTTACAGTGCAACATGTGAAAGCACTTACATGGCAAATGTCGCACAGGGGGATGCGTGTGCGTAAGTATACAGTAAACAACCTTATCTAGATACATGGGTTGTATTCACAACAACCATATCTAGATACAAGGGTTGTATTCAAAACAACCATATCTAGATAATATTGAAGGTAGTATCCATCTGATGACCAAGTTAAAGTGTCATAATTCTATTTTAAATGGCGCATAATTTGCTAAAGCTGTATCGGATGATTCTTTAATCTGATTTTAAAGAAATATAAACTATGACAGTCGAGGTCAAACAGTCATAAAAAAAACTAAACTTATGGTTTACTGGATTAAGCACTGGTCCTTGCAAAATCGAAAAGCCCTTTGGTGATGACAGTTAAATAAAATCCATGATTGGAATATGAACATAACAGGTATACGTACGAATTGAATTTCAAGTTGACAAGTCCATTTAGATTAAAAGCATTTTGAAAAAGTTGAGATTCCTCGCTGATTTCTGATAACCCGAAATGAAATGAAATGGGGATTAACGCCATTCTGATCTGCTCCGATTGGGCTAATGACGACGGGCATACGCCATGCAGTGAGCTTTGAGGGAAATTTTGTGCCCGGACAGTGGTTCTACGGTCTACTCTTATATCGCATCCCAACTGCTAATGGATTTTTACGTGCACGCTCTCCAGTTCAGCCCCCCCCCCTTCCACCCCGGAAATGAAATGTAGTTTAACCTCGTACTTTTCTGTACGAGTTGAGCTAATGAAGACGGACATACGTCATGCCTTGTGTTAAGAGAGGAACTTTTTCAGGATATCGGCACTACAGCCTGCTCTTATTTCGCTTTCCAACTATACTGCAAATGATATAGACAAGTGATGCCCAACCATTTGTTAGTTGCGACTCCTTTCCAGAAACCGTCATCGGAACGCGATCCCTCAAAGAAAACGGTTACCTTTTAAATCTCCCTTTCGCTCACCTGGCAGTACGTCAGATATAATATTTTATATACATATTCGGTTAGGTTTGTGTTGGTAGTTCAGTAAACGTGTCGAATAATTTATGTGTATATAGTGGGTAAAAACGCGAAAGATACTTATATTGGCAAATACTTATATATATAAAATGCCCAATAAAATAGATGGTCTACAAATGATTTTAAACAACCGACTATATTTTAACTTTAGTTAGATGACTTCTCAATACATTTTATATGGGATTGTCTAAATCTTTGGGAAGAAGGTGTTTCAGTGTGAAAGTAACTTTAGGCGAGAAAGCGACAATTTTCCTGGTGAAAGCAGCCGCTCTACCATAGAAACTTAGCGTCGTGAATATATATGTAGGGCATATACGGACAAATCAAATAGTATAAAAAAATCAAGCGTACAAGATAAGTGTGTTAGCTAAATGAATGTAGGTTGTAATAATATTTACAGGGTAGCAGAGACTTTCGTGAATTGTGTAGGACAGATGAAAGCTGCTTGCGGTGCAACTATTCCGCCAGAGGTTACCACAACCGAAGGAAACGCACAAGCGGCTCAATCTGAGAAATGCAGCGGACCTCCGGTGCCACCCCCACTATGTAAGTCTTGTCATTTAAAAAACAGAGAACCTGGGGCCTATTTCACGAATTTTTAACTAAGATAAAATCCAAATTTTAGTAATTTGATTGGATAATATTAGATCGATTTTAGTGCTTAGCCAATCAAAATTGGAGAATCTACTAAAATTTGGATTTTATCTTTAGTTAAGATTTCGAGAAACAGGGCCCTGGTGACCGAGTGGTCTAGAGAATACAGTTTGTCGTCCGTGTTAAACAAATTCGACTCCATGTACGTACGCAACAAGAATTAGGGATGTCTATCAACTTTATTATGTTTTACTCCATCCTTTCTGGTCAACGGCTAAAGAACCCTACTATAGTCCATAAATATGCTAGACTTCATGCTCTCTCTCTCTCTTTCTCTCTCTCTCTCTCTCTCTCTCTCTCTCTCAAGCTTCGATCATAGCATATCAGTATACTGTACAGAGATATAGAGAATGTGGATAAACAATTATTAATTGCTATCGCATGTATGTTTATGTGCTTGATGAACGACATTGTTTTATTTTAGCACCATCATGTAGTGATTGTGACTCTTATAAACCCATCATACAAAATCTAATGATGCAGCCTGGTGTCCTACCATCTACCCACTGTCCGTAAGTAGATTTTATAACATTGATCTCACTATAACCTTTGATAACATAGTTTAATTAAAATGATATGTTCTGTTTTATTCCTTGGTTGTTTATTCCGGGGATCACGTGGCTAAGTGGGTAAGACACTGGCTCGCTAGCCTGGAGGTCGGGTGTTCGATCCCTGCATTGGCCGAGATGCAGGACGGAGGGCCCGACAAGGACAGATGTCTAGTCGTTCGGATGGGACGTAAAACCGAGGTCCCGTGTACATATTGGCGTGCACGTAAAAGATCCCTTGGCAGTTGGAATTCGATATAAGAGTAGGCCGTAGCGCCGCTGCCGGGAAAAATTTCCCCCATAGCACACTGTATGGCGTATGCCCGTGTTCATTAACCCAGCATAGGAGCAGAATAGTAGGACGTTAAACCCCATTTCATTTGTTTATTCCAATTCATCTAGGTTGTTGTTTATTACAAATTTAAGTCCAATACATGATATAATGGACAGTCTGATTTAATTAAGATTATTTACATATAAAGAAGTAATTTTTTCTTTTTTAAAAAAAAAAGGATAAAAACATAAAAAAATCTTGTATATAAAAAATTCACTCTAAAAAATAAACACGGTGTTAAAATTCGCTGTCGTGAGAAGTGAGGGAAGGTCATCTTCTCCCTTAGTCATAATAAAATCTAGTTAAAACTGGACGTCCAGCTGATTGATGTTTAGTATCGTCAATGCGGGTAGAAAAAAATAGTGGGGATAAAGATTCCAGTTGCTTTGTGGATAAATAAAGTTCTGACAGTAAAAACCACATAGCTAGACCTGTGGGTTATTTACAAATTATAAACTGCTTGTTGCGAATATTTCCTTAAAATCTGTTCATAAGGCCCATATAGTTAAAAATTTCAAGTCCTTTAATACAGTTGACCCCTTTAACGTTTAAAATCTTAATCGGTCTGTATGCAGAGAATGAACTATTGACACTCCTCGAAGGACACCACGAAATAGAACTAGTGGATCTTCTGCAAAACATGTGGACCGAAGAAATTTCTACTGAGGAAAATAGTCTAAAGAACAAAGAATTCTTTACCAACATGCCCATGCGTGCTGCAGAAATGGAACGCATCCATACAGAGAGGAACAACAATTGTCAAGATACCGAGGAACCCAATTCATTCGACACAACACCATCACGCGACACTTGGCAAACGGTCCGGAATAAAAAGCAAAAACCAAGGAAGAAACCCGAGACACAAAAAAAAACACTGACAATAAAAACCCGAATGTGCGCATCCATACTGGGAGAAAAAAGGGACTCAGGGGCACAAAGAAGCAATTGCGATAAAAACCAGAATGCTACAGCCAAACTGGGAGAAAAGTGACAAGCGTTCCCAATAACAACCAGCGGTATAAAACACAACGGAGGAACGATCACACATCTCAAGCCCGGAGGCAGTCTGTTCAGAGAGACCAATCCCAACCACAATCCCAGTCCCAGCCACCACCTCACCAGTACAAGAAGAAATTTCAGCGTCACTCAAGGGACGTCCACACAATAGCCAATTTTCAGAACCAGTACCCCCATAAATCATTACGAGCTATCAACGCCTTCTGTAGGAAGCTACAACTAAAGGAATTTTTCGGTGATAGGAAAGACACTGCGCCAGAGAATATTGTGAGGAACAAAGGTCACTTCAACCCCAGGCAGGGCAATGACGTGACGCTGGACAATTTCATCGACTATTTAAACAAGTTGTCACTCCCTATAAACCGCAACGCAAAATCAAATGGGTCGAAGGAGGAACAGTGTGCTATAAATTCCTTAAAACTTAACGATACGATCGTTATTAAAGAAAGCGATAAAGGGGGTGTCATTGTTATCATGGATGTGGAATATTGGGAGAGAAACGTCCTTAAAATACTTGAAGACAAACGGGTGTATACAACCGTAGATTCGAACCATGATAAAAGAACAATGGGATTAATAAACGGCTTGATTCAAGATCACAAAAGCGAACTGACGGACAACGAAAGGATTATCTCCGAAAATTCGAGTATAAAACAAGTCAGTTTTATGGTCTTCCAAAAATCCACAAATCCAAGATGATCAAGGAGTCTATTAAACACCAAAATGCCGAATTCATCAGTGTTTTCCAGCCAGACGATCTCCCATTCAGACCAATAATTGCCGGTCCGTGCTGCCCTACTAATAAACTATCAAATCTTATTGATATCTTACTTAAGCCGTACGTGCCAAATGTAAAATCTGTTATTCGGGATGACATAGATTTTGTTAATAGATTGCCCCAAAATCTGAACGATGGCGACGTTTTTGTAACCATGAATGTTTGTAATGTGTATGGCAACATTTCCCATGACGTATGCCTTCGGGCGAAAGAATATTGGTTGGAAAAACATCCTGAATGCAGTCATGAGAGAATTTCAAACAACTTCATCCTCAGAGCTATACGAATCATCCTGACTAACAATACTTTTACATTTGGCGAAACAAATTACAAACAGATTCTTGGTATAGCGATGGGTACCAAGGCGACACCACAATTAAGTAATTTAACAATGGGATAGAGAACAAGCTAAAAGCAAAAACGATTTTTTATACAATCAGGGGGCTATAATCCAGAAAGTTATGGTCTGAAATGCGCAAATATCAAAAGGGACTGGGAGTTTTGGAATATAAAGATATGTTTTAAGTTTCATCAAAATTCGATAAAAATTGTGACCTCTAGAGGGCCCACAACCTTTGTATTACATACTTATACACAATTTGCGTACAAAGAGCGGCCATTTTGTCGGGCAGTTTCATTTCGATTTTCCCGAAATTCCCATTTAACAATTTAACCTTCATTATGGTGGAATAGTGATATATTCTTAGAATGGCATTTAGTAATTGGAACATAATCAAATAAACACACTATTTAATATTTATGGATAACAATAACTATGGTTTATTTCACTGCGACGTTTCAACAAGATTTCATAACTCTAAAGAAACAGATACCACAAACTATCTTTCTTATAAATCATGTCACCCACGCCATACCAAAAATAATATACCGTTTTCTTTAGCTAGAAAAATATGCTCCATTGTGAGATTAGGTGAGCTAAAAAGAAATTTATTGAAACAGCATTACCCCCTCGGGGTAATAGAGGCTGGGATAAATAAGGCTTTGGCAATCGATATATCAAGACATTGAGGGCTACTAAAGCAAAAGACAGTTCGGATAATAGCATTACTTCTGTCGCTACTCATAACCCCCAACATCCCAACTTCTTTAAAACAATGTACGAGAGCAGGTCGCTCTTGGCATCAAGCAACAACCTTAGAACGAAATTTGATAATGATCAATTCATTAAATCACAAAGACAGCCACCTAATCTGAAACGCCTCCTAACCAAAGCAAAATTCAATTCATCTATCACAAGGACCGGTTTTTATGTATCTAAATGCCTCGATCTTCGATGTAAATGTTGCGAACATATTACGCCAAATAACAAATATAATTTTCATAAGTTTACCTTTAGTGTCAACGACAATATGAATTGTGACACAAAAAATCTTATGTGTGTCTTGACCTGCAATGGGTGTCAAAATGTCTACATGGGGGAGACGGGCACAGTTCTACGGGATAGAGTACGCAACCATCGACGGGATTGTAATATTGAAAATGGGCCCTTATTTGTAAATAGACATATCTTTAGATGTGCACACCACCTACAAGTAAAATTCCAAATTTAACCTTTTTATAAAATGAAAGCCGATAACATCACGAAAATAGTCAATAAGTAACAATTGGCCATTAACTTCATTAATTTTCTTAAATCTATCCATGATTATCTTCCACTCATTGTTCCTAAATTGAACCCATATACAGCAGATTAACACACGCGTGTACGTGTTTTCTATTAGTTAAACATACATTATGCAAAAGATATAAAACACAAATTTATATGGAACACAATCACTGGGTTTATTTCACACTACGTTTCAACAAGTTCCTCTTGTCGTTCTCAAGTAAGTAATGACAGTATAATAGCAAGGATATAAAACACAAAGATTTCTGTGATAATACGATAGGATTTCTGTGATAATACGATAGGATTTCTGTGATAATACGATATTGTTTTAACCGGAAACCACTTTACACCAGAACTTACTAGTAGTATATTTTATTTGTACGCATGACCAAACATTATGGGGATTTTACGATGCCTTGTATTCTTTTTTTCATTTCAGTGTCCGAGCAGATCATCTAGGGTGTCTACATAGATGTGGCGCTCAACAATCTGTGATAGATGCTGTCGCCGCGGAAAATTTGATTTTTTGCCAAAGTTAATATGCTTTTCTGTTACCTTTCTTTTTCTGCTTTGCCAAACAAATTAATAAATTCAGATTAAGACAGTATCCATAATGCTGTTTTGTTTATGTACTAAAAATGTCTTGCAATATTATAATGAAACTTAATTATGTCTTGTCAATAAACACAGAAACTAGTCGGTTATTACAGACAGAACTAACCTAGTGTGCTAGTAAGGAACATCAAACCTGCAGTGTGCTAGTTATAAAAACTAGGAACATCAAACCTGTAGTGTGCTACTTATATAAACTAGGAACATCAAAAATATATCAGCCCTTTATCTAAATCTAACATAATACGTAATACATTTAAACAGCATAAATATGTGACATAGAAAGACTGCCTACTGATATGATACAACTGGGCTAAGTCTTATTAAAGGCATGATTTTATTGCTAACAATATTTTTTCCTTATCCAACAGATTATATAAAAGAAAATTGTACGATATTATATATGCATTGTGATATTGGCTTACCAGTACTTCATCTACAAAATCCAACTTCTGTTTGCGAGTAGGTTTGATCTTAAGGAATTATATGCTACTAATATATAGAAATTTACAATACAACTAACTAACAATTATTAACAAACATGTAAGTATCAAGCTGAAATGTTCTAATATAGAGCAAATCAAACTAGATCAAAATAATATATATTTATTATTAGAGTAACAATATGTGATTATCAGAGTTACTATTCAGTTTCGAACACTGACAAACACTATGCTTTGATCAAGCAAATATTTTCCAACATTGACAATGTAATGTTCAAACCACCATTTTGTAATATTGACTCATGGTATTGACACTAACATTTCTAATACAATCTAACATTTTAACGTTATGTTTTGATCAGACTCATATAAAATTAACATTAAGTTTTAAACATACTAACATTTCTAATACAATCTAACATCATGTTACGATCAGACCCATATACGTTAACATTATGTTTTGATCAAACTAACATTATGTTTACGCTCAGACTAACAAAATGTTATGTTATTGATGACACTAACAACATTTAATGGTTTTGATCAAACATCATAATAATAAAATATTATGATCAAAACCGAACACCATGTTATGATCAAACAGCATGTTGTGACCAGACTACATTTACCTATATATTTACTAAAATCATGTTATGATCAAAAGAAAAATAACATTGGCTTATATAACTAGTGATTAAATCTTTTCTGTTTGCTTCATATGTCGACCAAATTTTGCTAGCAATAGTAAGCCGAAACTTTACCGACTGTGGTATGTATTTGCATATTTAGATTTATATATTTAGATTTGGATATCAAGATAAACGTGCCATAAAACACTCTTTAAAAACTCCGATTCCATCTATTTTGTTTCAGATATGATCGAAAAATCATGATATGCAATGTTTTATTTAATATTTGAAATTTGAGTAAATCTTGAGAGTTAAGGCAATGACTCTTATTTCATAGCTGTACGTTTTTTCTGTGAGTGTTCAAAAAAGGATGTCATTATTAGAATCAACTTATATCAATTTCATTTATCGGGCCCGGGCCTTTGCCGCCGTTGTGTCCAATCATCCCTCCCCAGTAGGCCTGCACGTAAGATTAGGCGGCTTAATCGAGCGATTCTTTTGTGCCCTCCAATGAACTCCACAACAAAATGACCAATATACCCTGCATCTTGCACAACACCCGTCCCATTGATGCAATGTTTTGAATCTGGATTTAGGAAACGGAAACCACCAAGTAGAAGATAAGAAATCCATTGATAAGGGCACCAGTATGCATTAGATAATAACTAAAAGTCAAATCTCTACTGACAGGTGTAAAGAAATTCAAAATCAAAATGCTGCATTAGATTAAAGTGGTGAAATATCTTTGATTTGACTACAAAATGAATTTGTCAATATCATGTAAGTTTGATACGTTGATAAGTTTTGTGAAGTCCGTAGGTTTACCATTAGAGTTTTAGGTTCAACAGTCGGCGGGTTAATTATAAACGAAACGAAATAAAAGTAAACATACCAACTTCAGCTTTATATACCGAAATGAGAATTCAATCGAGTGGAGCATCTTCAATTCGATGCTTTAATTTTCTACTTTAACTGTGTCCTGTAGTGTTTCCTAGATTTACTAACTTCAAGGTAAGTATGCATTATAGCTTTAACTAGTATTAATACTTAATTAAAACTCACTAATCAGCATCCATGATATTTTTAACTAGTATTAATACTCAAATTAAACTCAACTAAAACTCACTAATCAGCGTGACATCTTTAACTTGTATGAATACACGTTTAAAACTCACCAAATCAGCATCCATGATACCTTCCATTAGTAAACTCACTAAATCAATATCCATTATTGACATAACACAGATACAAAAATAAGATATAAATATAAAGATATGCTAGTAATTTATCTGAATTAAGATTAAACCTTTAAGTAGAAATCAAACGGAGATTATTTTATAACTTGAACACATTTAGATGTGGCATAAGACATACTGATCTTATTACAGTTTTTGGTATATTTGTGCAGCCGAAGATTTCAGTCTCTGTGGTGAAAGATTAAGCTATAACTATTCTGCTCAATGCGACCCATTAAAACCACCAGGTCAGTCGATTAGAGGGTCGCTATTTCTGTTTAAAGTTTCAATTATTGCTTTGTTATTAATTTATGAATATATGTTTGCTCTGCCAATATTACCAGGGGCGCTTCGTCGTGTCTGTATATAGACATTTCATTCTAGGTTATGTTTAGTAATGTGCAGAATTTGATTTGTCGACTCAAGACCCACCTTCCAATCGAAACCCGTTATACAGAAAATTGTTTGATCGACTGTCTGATCAGGGTTGGGTGTATTATTGTGCTCTCGCTTCAGGTCAGATGTTAAAAGCGGCGAGAACAAAATCTTATTTTCGGAAATGTTTGACATGACGGTGTTTGCTATCTGACTAAAACGTCTTATTATCTCATTGTCTTAGTGAATTTTGTGCACAAAGTTGTCTGTGTTTACCGAAACTACTACATCGTAGTTTCACCAGTCAGTGCGACGCGTGTCCATTTCTAGTCCACATAGTAAACATTGTTTTACATGAATATAAAATCTAGTCTTTCTTTTCTTTCAAATATCAAAGTCCCACCACCTCAACCAACCGATGGGAGCAGCCCACCCCCAGTCCCACCACCTCAACCAACCGATGGGAGCAGCCCACCCCCAGTTCAAGGACCTCAACCAACCGATGGGAGCAGCCCTTCACCGGGAGCTCAACCATCTGTAAATAACGACAAAAACAGAACGCCAACATTAGGTGAGTAATATTTTATAGTATCTTTAAAAGACAAGCGGTGGAAATGAAATGAAATTGGGTTCTTCTCCGGCTGGGCTAATGAAGAACGGACATACTCCATACAGTGTGCTATGAGGGGATTTTAACCCCGATAGCGGCGCCACCACCTACTCTTACATCAAATTCCATCTGCCAAGGGATCTTTTACGTGCACGCAATGTGCACGCTGGACCGCGTGTATTCGTCATTTATCACTGACAAGGGGAACCACGCCGGAAAATGCCAATGAAGTTTTCGACCAACGCAGGTATCGAACACGGGACCTTTACGTTAGCGAGCCAACGTCTTATTCACTGAGCCACCACGACTCCGCAAAGACAAGAGGAAATAACAGAACTGGTACCAATAATCTTTTCCGGCATTAACGCCCATTCGACACAAACCAGGTCATTTCGAGACTTTACTTCATGTCTCGTACAATCTTTAGATCGATACCCAGTCACTAAACTCAATGACAGGCCTTGTGGTCTAAAGCGCACGTAGTTTAGTTCTTTTCGTGGATATAATATTAAAGTACAGCAAATAATGCGACATGTTTCCTAAAGCAACCAAGAAGCTTACTTTTTGTCAATCTGTTTTACAGAGAATTACGAAAGTCTTCTAATATCTCTGTAAAAGAAGACTGCCTTCAACACGTGCCGTCACAGCACGCGGCGTAAATCATTGGCTGAATGGCGCGTGCATTGTTTACATAAGGCGTTACTGCTTTGGGCAGAATGCTGCCTTTTAGTCATTTTAATACCCATTTACACTAAATAGGAAATACTTTTTACCTACAAATACGTCAAACGTCTTTATTTATTTTTCTAGTACATCAAAAAATGTTTTAGAATTTAATTTGTCGGTGGAAAAAAGTTAATATTTGAGACTCATTAAGTCCCATTGATGTCATCCTTATCAGTGATTGTAGCGGCCTAGCGAATATTCACTGCTGATCAGTGCGACTTTTTGTTTTTAAATTAGTTATTATTCGCGGAGAAAATGGGGGGGGGGGCAGACTTTTTAATAGGCTTTCCCGAAGATCGGAATTCAAATTGGTATGCCCTTATGACCCCCCCTCTCTCTGCATCTCGTCGTCAATAATAATAATAATAAAAAATCGAATATTCTTTCTTTATTGTAGGTCCAGTTATAGTTGTGATGATCACGACCTTGTTAGCGGCCTTCTTCTGTTCAAAACATTGATTTAATAAATCGAATACACCAGTAACAATACACAAAATGGATTACATCTACCCAACCATTCAGCTTTTATTGTACCAAACATGGTTAGACTTTTGATTCTTGACGAACTTTCACGTCATAGGAATCAAACAATCTTTTTAAATCGCAGTTCTTATTTCGTTTTTTTTTTAATAGTTAAAATTTTATTGACAAAGAACAGTTTTTATTGTTTGGTGTCGGTGATTAGCTAGTGACATGACCTGTTTACTTCACCTTTATTTGCTGTGTGCATGAAATTCTGGAAGACACCTTAAGAGTGGAAGAGAACAGCACAAAACATGATGAATTATGAATTATTTGCGTAATTGTGTCGAGGTTCACCTATGTGATCCTAGGCGTGATCTATGACACAAGCTGCTCAGATCTGGGTGGAGTGGAGGCCATCGAAAGTATAAAGACGAAAAGTTGAACGCCATCTAAAACCCCCTCATTTGCAATGTATAACCCTTTTCCAAATCTAAAACATTGAAATTTTAATCAACGGAAAGCCAAATCTAAACCTTTGCAATTTTAATCAACTGAAAGCCTAATCATGTGACAATGAAGGGGCTGGTCCCCTTTGATCCTAGGTTAAGGCCTTTGGTCTTGTTCTAGATTATAGCATATCTATAAATTGCTAAATTGTTGTAATTCCGTCAGTAAACTGTAATTGGCTAAAAATTATTATTTCATTGATTCCATGTGTTAATTTGACTTGCGGGTCGACAAGCTTACATGGTTACAAATTTTACGTCTATAGATAAAGTCCGTATTGAGGTAACACAGATTTTATGTTCTACTGTCGACACGGTATCCCAATATTTAAACTAAAACTAATAAACAAGTCTATTTTAATTCCGCTTAGTTTGACCTGTTATTAATAGATATAACACATCCTCTGATTAATTTATCACAACCACTCAATTATGAAATTTCTTATTGGTGGCTACTTTAACTGTGTAATCTATGCGGGCGTTTATATATTTATTTTCTTTGAGTGTAAAATACATAATTAAACGGGGGGTTGGATGGCTGAATGGTTAGCGTTCGCGCGCTGTATCATTAAGTCTGTCATTGAGTCGACTGGCGTGGTTTCGAATCCCCAGTTGTACGTGGCAAGGAGTAGGGTCGCCTGTCCAACCTCGTGGGTTTTCTCCGGGACCTCCGGTTTCCTTCCACTGCTAAAGACCCCTACGCGCAAGCGAATTATGTAAATAAAATTAAACCATATGTTAGTCCCGAAATGACCTAGTTTGTGTCGAGTGGACGTTAAACCCCATTTCTCCCTCTCTCTCTCTCTCTCTCTCTCACATAATTAAACCGAATCGCTTTGTCTTCGGAAAATGGCAGATTAAATTACAATGTATTTATCAAGATTTTAAAGCAATTCTAAATACATTTTATGGAAAAGCTTCGGGTATACGCTATTAGAACTATTGGATTTTGAATTTTACACTCACTGTAGGATTGATTGGTTGCCATACCCAGGTTTGAACTATAATGACGTTAAACATTTTAAAAAACTTGTTTATATTAATCAAATATATATAATAACATTTATTTATGTTTAAAATATATTTATTGTTTAAAATCTCAATTTTATTTTTCTTATCAAAAATCCCTTTTATACTATATATTTATGAATTTGTTGAATAAAATTATCTGCGGCAGTGAGTATCTTTGTTATGAATTTAGATAAAGCTGGTGTATGTGCTTGAATGCGTTTGTTTTGCTGCCCCAAAACACATGTCATCTAAATCCTTTAACAATTAACTCCAAGTGATTCTCTAGCCTGGTTTCTTCCCCATGTCAGTGGTGCAAAACCCGGGGGGGGGGGGGGAGGGGGGCTGGTATGGAAAAGCGTTTAGTCGATCGGATTGTAAGATTATCGTGTACTGGTTGGCGTGCACGTAAAAGAAGCATTAAACGTCTAAGAATTGTTGGAATTCGGTAAAGTAAAAGTCGAAATGCCGTTGTCGTCAGAGGATATGCTGGGGAGGGTAGGTGCGAATAAAGGCTGTATTGGGATTTGACGGCTGAACATTCGATTCAGAAAATTGTATCTTTCCTCTGGTTGCTTTGTCCGAAGTCTGCTGTTTGTTGAATGTTCAGCTGTTGTCATCCAGGATTTCGAACGATTCTATTTTTGGAAATCTATGAAACGACTGGATGTTTTTTATTTCTTTGTTGGAACTTCCAACTGTACATTTTCACATTTTATAACAATACGACTCGGTATTTAGACCCTCGCCTCCCCCCTCACCCTCCCATGAATGTACTTCCTTCCTACAAATCAAAAAGAATAAACGAAAGCAATAACAATATATTTCGACATATTTACTGTCAATTAGAAGACCAAATGGCTCTTTTGCAGGTTGAGTCTTTGACCATCTGGAGGGCAAAGTCCACAACATAAAAAGCCTAGCTCCATTGGGCGTAGAAGAAATGTGTATTGAGCAATGCCCCAGATCACACTCCAGCCCCGTCATACAAAAATTCCTCGATCCACTCATGGAAAGGTCATGCAAATTTCACGATACCGCAGTAATGTCCTTTGAATATAAAAGGTCAGCTTTTTATATATATTAGAACGGAAATGGGGGCAGGGTGTTTTTTTATTATGGGTTATCAACGTTTAAATGGATGTAGGAATTGAGGACAGGATATCTTTTTATTATGGGTTATAAACGTTTAAAGAGGTGTACGAAATGAGGGCAGTGTTTTTATTGTGGGTTATCAACGTTAACGGGGTGTAGGAAATGTGAGCAGTGGGTATTTTATTATGAGTTATCCAGGTTTAAACGGATGTACGAAATGGTCAATACATGAAATAATCTCAACAAAACATAGAACTCACCAGGCGTGGATCCAGGGGGGGGGAGAGGCAGGGGGCCGTGCCCCCCCCCCTCCTCAGCCCCAGTGAGACTGGTCATCACTGTTCATCACCTGCAGCCAGCAATGGGATTCACAGATTTTAGTTTCTGTTTAATGAGGCCGCGACGAAGACTCTGGGGACTACACCAAACCACTAATGCATGCGGCACTCTGATGATTACCCTTAACCCTTTGCTCCAATGTATTCCCCCCCCCCCCCTTGACAAAATCCTGGATCCGGGCCTGCACACAGTGCACAGACTATGTGAATCTAGACTGAACACATCTTCAAATTCTCAAAATGAATCCAGCTTTTCCTAAAATCTGGGATTTAACGTTTTACTTTTCTGTGGTGTTTTTAAAGTAAAGGAATCAAAAGAAGGAAAACTAAGTTTTATATAAAAAAAATTTTTATTGCATCTGCCAAACTTCTACATTTGAAAACTCAAACAACGTTTGTTTACAATAGGTGGCGTTATATATAGTTATAAACAATCAACATTATTAGATAATATGGCAAGTTCCAGAGTTTAAACTGTTCAAATTTCTAAATGAATATGCATATTCAAAAGTTAATATGATTAAAGGGTGTAAACTGATGAAAGACACCGGCTTGTATATAGACTTTATGTCGTTTTAAATTTTATAAGAGGTTAAGATGACACATTCAAGTATTTGAAAACTGTAACCATTTACCCACAAAAATGTAAATTTGAAACCTAATAGCTAGCAATGGAGCATGAGATAATATAATAGATATGAAAAACATGATATCACAAACAAAAGACCGGTTAGATAAATACTTAGATTAACCAAAACTATTGCATTGTATTATTGACTGTATAAATCTTAGTCAACACCGGGTTAATTCGCAAACGCCATACACACTAAGACACCGAGGCCCCCATTAGACGATGCAATTGGACTGTACACCAAAATGCAGACATAACAAATAGTATTCGAGCATAGCACAATTAATAAGTAAACGAGGGTCACGCTGAGAGACAAGTGGTATTAGGTGGTCCCCTTTAAGCCCACTTTCCGCCACTCTTTTACATACACAACCATCATTGCCAGGACGGGAATGGGGTTCAGCGTCTTGTTAACACAATAAGTCATTTATTTTGAGAATAACACACGGTTAATTTATGTTTCCGTCCACAATGTGCTATGGGGATGATTTTGCCCCGACAGTGGAGCTACGGCCTACTCTTGTATCGAATTCCAACTATCAAGGGATCTTTTACGTGTACGCCAATGTGTATAATGTACCTCGGTTTTTGGTCCCATCCGAACGACTCTACGTTGTCCCTTATCTATCCCTCTGCCCTGTACCTCTGACGGGGGGGGGGGGGCACGCCGGAAAATCCCGACGAACTTTCTCGGCCAACGTAGGGATCGAACACACACGTGAGATCCAGGTCTTACACACTGAGCCACCGTGGCTCCAACATTAAATTGTACAATATGCTAGTCCCGAGATGACCTATATGTGTTGAGTGGCCTTAATAAGGAAAGTTATTTAAGCTGTTGAGATAAATTCAGGCTATAAATATATAATCGGTAGCTCCCTTAATGTGATGAGTTGTATTTGATCACGCTGAACTAATATCACCCTTAACACAAAACATTATCGTCAAGCTGTAAAGTGAAGAGCAGGGAGGGCTAAATACTTGTGGGTGAAATTTGTGTAAACCACCGTCCTACAGCTTGTACCAACAGGAGTAATGACGAATATGTCAAGTAAAATGCTCAAGGCATGATAAAGAGGAAGAACCCATCCGTCACCCTATTAAGACTGTCTTACTAATAACTCTGATGGGTTTTTAGTCTTCACTAGATGTGCTTGAACAACCACCGTATAAACTCTACACTGGATAATATAATATTATAATAACAAACAATAAGGTATGTATTTTCGGTATTTATATCGTGTTTAACTAAAAACCTTCCTGGTTTGATACAGTGGGTATTAAAACAAACGCCTGGTTTAGTAATCAAGACCTAGACAAACAGTTTTATTTATTAATGAAAAAGGGTAATGTTTGACTATGTTAAAAGTTTCTATTATCAAATGTACATCATTTATTTTCAAGTGCAAATTAAACAGTTTTAAACATGACCGGTGTCTAACTGAAATGAAATACGGTTTAAAGGAGCTAAATCGCTAACATTTGGGACCTAGAAATTGACAAAAGTGGGTCCCAACGCATATAATACTGTAGTATGAATGTATATAAACTGATTTACATTCAATGGTTTCCGTTTTTACTCCAATTTCAAATCAGTTATGTTCGGCGAAATAAGCCAGCAGTCTACATATGCCGTTTGATTTGGTGCAATGTGTCTAGCCTCGTCCCTTGAGTCTCTTGATATAACTGGGGCTGAAGCGCATTATGGTACACGATTCGTGTACCAATGGTAAAATGTTTATTTTGTCTTAAATATTGGATATCAAAAGCCCATCTTTTTCCGGTAAGCTCACAACATGAATGTTGATTTAATTTGACAAATAAATCGTGTTTTCAATGTTGAAGATTTTGGATGATATTGAGTTAGAGACTTAGCTACTTTAAATTCTTATTTTTCTGTACCAAACGGGCGAAGACGGGGATAAGCCACGCAGTGTGCTATGAGGGAAACTTACGCCTATACTCTTCTCCCTTTTGGGGGGTTGGATGGCTGAATGGTTAGCACGTGCGCGCTGTATCATAAAGTCTGTCATTGAGTCAACTGGCGTGGTTTCGAATCCCCGGTTGTACGTGACAAGGAGTAGGGTCGCCTGTTCAACCTCGTGGATTTTCTCCGGGTCCTCCGCTTTCCTCCCACTGCTAAAGACCCCTAGGCGCAAGCAAATTATGGAAATAAAATTAAACCATATGTTAGTCCGAAATGACCTAGTTTGTTTCGAGTGGACGTTAAACCCCATCTCTCTCTCTCTCTCTCTCTCTCTCTCTCTCTCTCTCTTCCCCCTTTTACAACTGTCCAGTGTTCCAACACGGTGTGTTGTTCGATTCGAAAGTGGTTTCCCCTTGTCATTGGTGCAGGATGGGGGACATGACAAGGACAGCTGTCTAGTCGTTCGGATGGGACAAAAAACCGAGTTCCCGTGTATACATTGGCGTGCACGTAAAAGATCCCTTGGCACCTGTTATTCGATATAAGAGTAGGCTGTAGTGTGTCTGTCCGGGCAAATTTTCCTTCATATAGTACACTGTATGGCGTATACCATACATTAGCTTAGTCGGAGCAGAACTTGAGCACCTCCTAGATCTTGAGCTTATTAAGCCTATAGTAGCAATTGCAAACAACAGCATATGAAATGAAATGAAATTAATTTGGGTATTAACGTCTTAGTGTTCTGCCCGTCGGGACTAATGAAGACGGACATTTTGCCCGAACATGGCACTACGGCCTATACTCTTATATCGAATTCCAAATGTACACGGGACCTCGATTTTTTTTCATACCATCCGAACGACTAGACAGCTGTCCTTGTCGGGCGCTCCGTCCTGCACCACTGACATAGGGAAAATCCCGATGAACTTTCCGCGACTTCCAGAATAGCGAGCCAGCGTCTTAACCAAATAGCGTATGAAGATACACATTGGTTTCCCCATAATTTAATAATTAATAAACACATCCCCATAATTTATTAACTATTAAGCACACATAGGAGGTTTCTATAATAACAACATACCTTACAATACATTTCGAGTTAAAGATACATTATGTACGATTTAGATAAAGAGATGGTCGTTCTTGTTATATTAGTTCAAAAATAGATAGTTCAAAAATAGATATTTCAAAATGAATATATTGAAAATTTCATTCAAATATCATTATTCTGAGCGAAGTTATTACTGTTTGAAGTTTTAACAAGATGTGGCATAGATTGTCTTATTATCGCAACGGTGCTTGTTAATCTAGACTAAGCCGCCATTCACTATTTTTAAATTGAATGTCAAACAAAATGTAAACATCTGGGGAAACCAAGACTTTACATAATTGACTATTTCCTTAACACAAAATTTGCAATGAATCATTTCCTAGTTATTAAGTGTTTTTGTCATTTATAAAATAAGTATTCAACTCCATCAACGTACATCTTTATAAGTTTTGAGCAATATTTGAAAATATATTATAACATAATTTCAAATCTGGATTGGACATCAATTTTATTCTATCAACATTATTACAATGTTAGAACATCGAGAGACCGAGTTCAAGTTAAACAATACTTGTCCGATCGCTAACCCTGTTACAATATATAATGCTAATAAACCGGCATGTTATTGAAGAATGTTAATTGTTTAGTTTGTCAGCGTATGGACAAGGACGAATGGAGATTGAATAAAACTACATTGTACAATAAATAGACCCCAGATAACCGAGTAAATATTTGAAGATAATATTTCAGTACAAGCTTTGCATAACTTGTTGCCCTAAATATGTAATGCATTGTGCGTGTCGAACTCCGCCCATACTTCCATGACAATATTAACACTTTACTGCATTATATTTATTCAAAACCAAAGCCCGCCTTCGCAGAGTTCTGGTGCAATAAAACAACGATGCCCTATCCGAATTTGAGTGAGTAGGGTGCTGTTGTCCAACTTAATTTCTCCTTGTTAGTAGTGCAGGTCGAACGGTCTTGCAAGAAGCAGTGTCTAGTCTATCAGATGGTACGAAAAATCCGTGTACATATTGGCGTGCACTTAAATGAACCTTTGACAGTTGGAATTCGAAATCAAAGAAGGGTGTAGCGCCACTGTCTGAGAAAAATATCCCTCATGACATATTGCATAATGTATGCCATCTTCATTAGCCTAGTAGGTGCAGAAAAGCAGAACGTTATAAATCCTATTTCATTTCATTTTTGTATTATGGACGTACTGTTATAATTATGTTTATGGGCAATTGTTAACCTTTATTATATTATATCCTAAAAATAACGTACATTTCTACATTGGGTGGAGAAGAAGGCCTTTTTTAATTTAGTGTATTTGTGTAAAGGTTAGTCACCCATAGTCGCCAAAGGGTACTTATTAATTTTGGAGTCGTTGATATATTTGGTTCAAACAAATCTTTTTTTTTTTTAAAGAAAAGAGAACTAAAACTAGGTTCTATATCCGATTTTATACCTATGAGGTAAATCGGGTTAAAAATTCAGTCAACTTTCTGACCTAATGATCAGAATTATATTTTTATTCAGAATGTGTACAAATTGATATACCTCAAGGCTATAACATATATTTATGATATACGTACATAAATAACACTAATTAGACATCTACCTAAGCCAGCATAAATAGAAACCCAATTAGTGCATATTGGAGTTTTTTCACCCATTGGCCTAATTGTCATATATTATACCTTAAAATCAACTATATAGAGGCTTTTGGGAGGTCTTAATGAGTGTGTGTGTGTGGGGGGGGGGGGGGTCAACCAATTGTTTAAAAAATAATGATTTTATCCGATAATTTCCTAAAAAAGAATAGGAAGGATCTGTGTCAATCTAACTGAATCTATTTACATTCTGATGGTTAAAACCGAAAACTTAAAACGGAAATGAAATGAAATGAAATGGGGTTGAACGTCCTACATTTCTGCTTCGAACTGGGCTAATGAAGACGGGCATACGCCATATAGTGTGATATGAGGGAAATTTTGCCCGGACAGCGGTACTATGGCCTACTCTTATATCGAATTCCAACTGCACGCCAATTTGTACACGGGACCTCGGTTTTTCGTCCCATCCGAACGACTAGACAACTGTCCTTGTCAGGCCCTCCGTCCTGCATCACTGACAAGGGGGAACTACGCCGAAAAATCTGGATAAACTTTCTCGGCCAATGCAGGGATCGAACACCCGACCTCCAGGCTAGCGAGCCAGCGCCTTACCCACTTAGCCACCGTGACCGAACAAAGTATTATTTATAGTTATAATTAGTATTATTTATTGTTATAATTAGTGTGGCCCGCAATGTCTGGTTTTAATCTTTTTTATCTCTCCTTTTGATATGTTTTGATATGAAACTATGAAAGCAATTCTTATCTAAAAGCTGGTGAAACGAGTAAATAGACTTAAAAGTAATTGTTCATACAGCTGTTACGTACATTCTTTACTTATTACCGGGAATATTGAAAGTGGTATATTGCTATAGCGAATGCCTGTGATATTTAAAGTGGTATATTGCTATAGCGAATGCTTGTTATATTTTATTGCTATAGCGAATGCTTGTGATATTTTATTACTATAGCGAATGCCTGTGATATTTAAAGTGGTGGTATATTGCTATAGCGAATGCTTTTGACATTTTATTGCGTTATATTGCTATAGCGAATGTTTGTGACATTTAAAGCGTTATATTGCTATAGCGAATGTTTGTGACATTTAAAGCGTTATATCGCTGTAGCGAATGGCGGCTTTACTTAAAGTGGTATATTGCTATAACGAATGCATGTGACATTTAAAGTTGTTTATTCCTATAGTGGGAATACTACTGAATAGGCAATAGAAAACAACAATAATAATACAACAACACACCAATATTAAACAAACTATAAATTCAAGTGGCCACGTGAAAAGGGCAGTTAGCAGCGTGAACCTACATGGCAACCCCTGGTCACAAATTAGCCTTGAGACACTAGTTTATCTGAACAGAGTAAGCGTACCTTGTCCCGTGCTAAAACAATTAAGTATTGTTAAGTTTCAATTCCATCAAGCCTATCATTATTCAAATCCAGAATTTTTGAAAATAATGGTAATAATCTCCAGCTCTAAATTATTTTGCGTAATACGTTATAATTTCTTTTTTCCTGTATGTCGGCTATATAGGATCCAGAGCAGAGAGGGTGTCCGGGTTGTGTCAACGTCAAGTTTCGCGTGAGGTCTCTGGGATTACCCGAGAATTTGGTAAAATCAGAGGCTCTGAGACAATATTTCTTCTCATTTAGGAGCATTCATCATGTATAGGCTTAGAGTGGGGTGAAGCCAAAACGGTGGCAATACATCGCACGTTCGTTTATTCGACGTTATATCGACATTAATATGCTGCGTGCGAGCAAGGGAGGGTCCGGGGCCCATCTGGATACGCGTCTGTAAAGGTATACATGTGGCACTTCGTTCACAAGGTGAAATGACTGCCTTAGAAAGGTTAAGGACCACAATGAAGGATCCATTTAAGATTAATCCTTATTTTTTTTGCCACACGCTGGTGTCCAAGACTTATATGATAATTCTAACTACCAGAATGTGCAGACTGACAGGAAAGGTATGTCTGTTCATTTTGATGAGACTAACAACGAGGTTCCTCCAAGACGCTGGTAGCTAGTACACGTACTACTACTACAACTACTAAAACTACTACTACTAATAATAATAATAGCTTTATTTGAAGCCTTTCTACCACCCTGCCCTTCATAAGAAGTATAATACAAAATATGATAGCTCAACAAATAAAAGGATAAAGATGAACAATGGGTATTATTTAAACAGGATAAAATTATAATAGAAAATACAGCACCAAAAAAGAGAAATACAACTTACAAAATGTATGATTAATGCAAAGAGAATAAAAAACGTAAAACAATGGAAATTACCTATTTATATGGATATAGAGGGTACCAGTATTATTCTTTGACAGTGAGATATTAAATTAAAAAGTTGTTTCTTGAAAGAGTTAATGGTCAGTCTTATAGAAACTGGTAGAGTATTCCATACATTGGAGCCTTTAAAACGGATGCTGCTTTCAATTTTGGTGTAGGGAGTTTCATAGAAAGACAAATGGTCGAACAGATAATCAGGACATTGCTTAGATAAAAGGCCAGTTTGAAACTGGAATTCGACGTCAATTAGTTTATTGTATATTAGATATAATAAGAATGTTTGTTATGGGAAACCAATGGGTTAAATAAAACTTCATAATAACCAAAATGTTTCAAGAATTTCATTTATTTTCTATTTGGTGCTGTGTTTAATGGTGAAATTGCATTAGTATAGATGTTCATTTACGAAATATGGTATTACAGAATGGTTATTTTTTCTATGTTCACATGTGCTATGTTAGGAAGGGCAATTTTATCTTGACCGTTGCGCTTCCGACTACTCTTCGCCGATTTCTAAAAGCCAAAGGCTCTTTTGCATGAACGCCAGTGTGTACACGCGTTGATCTTGGCTCCTGTCCCACCTGAACGAGTAAACAGCACTTTATTTGTAAGCCACGTAAGTGGGAACAGAGTTTGAACCCGAACGAGCCCGAAATATGTATTAAAGTAGCCAAGTCTTCGACATCGCAAACACAACTTATTGGTCAATTTAAATCAACATTGACGTTGTTAACTTACCATGAAAAGATGGGCTTCTAGTATTCAATATCTAACACACAATGAAAATTTTAAACTTGGCACACGAATCGCGTGCCAGAATGCTTTCGAGTGCCATTTGTTATGAAGTGACTGGATGATCAAGATTAAGCATATCCCACAAGGGAAGACTACCGGAGTAGACTTCAATAACCAGATGCCAAAGACTGCCATTCAATTTGCACTCTTCGCCTATTTCGCCGAACATAACTGATAAAAAATTACAGTAAAAACAGAAACGACAGAATGTAAATCAGTTTATATACATTCATATTACATTATTATATGCGTTGCGACCCATTTGTGTCCATTTCTAGGTGCCAGAGAATGACGATTTAGCTCCTTTAAGTAAAATTTCAAATAAATTTGTATTGTAAACATAATGGCATACGTTCCTCTTTTTGTTACAGAATAGGTGGACAATGGAGCAACTTGAAAATTTAGAGTAAGTATAGACATCATGTTTAATTCAAACTTCAATGAAATAGGGTTTAACGTCCTACAGTTCTACACTGACTGGACTTGTGAACACAGGCATGTGCTATGAGGGAAATTTTGCCCGGACTGCGGTGCTACAGCCTAATCTTATTTCGAATTCCATCTGTCAAAGTCTACACGGGACCTCGGTTTTTCGTCCAATTCGCTGAAAGAATCAGATAATGGCGTTCGATACTTTTCAACCAAAAAACATGTATAAATCCATCCATGTACTAGCAGGTTTAAGCAGCTACCGAGAGTCGTTGTATTTTTCGCGCGATTCCATGGATTATTTTGGCAATCTTATCACTGGTCTTCTTTTCTCAAATAGTCATGAGATAATAAATAATACTTGATCGCCAGTCAAATTTTATGGATTTTAGTGTTAACGATGGTATAATTTTGATGTGGCTATTTTCAATACTCATTTCAAGTAATGGTTAGACCTTTTTTTATAACGGTCTTGTTATTTGGCAAAGCCAAAAAATAAAACAGTATTCTTTTGTAACTTCCGCGTAACTCTGTATAATGTTTTCCAACCACAAACACTTCGATTTTTAAAAATATAGAACTACAAATAATTATTTCTTTATGGGATAAGGTGTCAGATGTCGTTATTTTTAATTCACTGCTAAGAATGAAACAGAGATCAGTTTTCAAAAGACATTTATAAAACTTCGTTTTCTCCAACATCACCTGATTGAAATTTAGTACATCTCTCTGGATAGAACTACATTCCACAAGATTGTCTAGATGGAATAATTTTAATACATGTTTTTGGTCGTCTGTGGTGTTTTTTACAACAGGAGGTAACAAACATTTCTTCCCAGGCCCCCTTATCTCTCTGTTTGGTACCACATTCCATAAACGTTTTACCCCAAGAGTCCTACAAGATATTTTGATTAGTGTTTTTGATATATTGTGTGTAGTAAAACAGTTTTATAATACAAAGTTTATTCACCTATTTAATTTTTATTCCTAAAAAGGTGGTTTCATCCGGCAATGAACAGACATACAGCTGAAAGTCTTTTAATGCAGAATGCACAAGAAGGGACTTATTTATTACGACCTAGTTCTACAGACGGGGAATGTGCATTATCTGTCAGGTATATCTTACACCATGTTTTATATTGCATTAACCGTCAACGGTCAACCTAAATAAAATATTATTCCATATTAAAGTTGTTCCGGGCCCTTGCAAATTACAATATTTGAAACAGGAATATTATTCCAGACTGGTCCAAGATTGGAAATCAGAATGCTCTGGAGACGACAGGTTAAATAAACAATATTTTAGGCAGGATTAAGGCGTGAAAAATGCAAATGACGTTCAGCCGCTTTAAAGTAGCAATATTATTGAATATTCGTTGACGATATTAGCTTGTTATTTAATAATATTGGGTATAGTATTTGGTAGTATTTTCTTGTGGTTTGGGTGCCACAGGGAGACAAATAGAAACGCGAGATATCCGTAATCGCATTGAAGTACATTTCCGCCATATAACTCACTATTTTTGTAGTATTAATTAGTATGTGGTGGTATTGGGGTGGCATTTGGTAGTATTAGGTAACCCCCCCCCCCCCTTCAAAAGCCGCTCTTACGACCCATGACGCGACCTTACTGTACAACTGGTCGGATCTTAATGCAGTGTAGGCCATCGAAAGTAATAAAATATGAAACAAAATATAGATCTGTATTTTAATCAGATTGACCTATTATTTGAGGTGTAAAATTATGATTATTTGAGGTGTATATTTGAGTTCTACTGAATAGGTGTAAAATTATATTGATTATTTGAGGTGTATGTTATATTTGAGATCTACCGATTATTTGAGGTGCATATTATATTGATTATTTGAGGTGTATATTATATATTATGATTTCTACTGATTATTTGGCACATTGGTAACGAAACTATTCTTTGTCTTGTAGATGTGAAAACTCAGTTAAACATTTCCATATTGTATATACGGGTACAGAATATAAATTTGGTCATGGGAAATTTGAAAAACTTGAGACTTTAGTAGAACATTTTCAGAATCAGCCATTGATTGGTGGAGAATCTGGTGAGTAAACAGCATTACATGGATGTTTATACGCCCACATTGAAATATGGTAATATATTATTGTCATCCCTGTCCACCCGTCCATCCGGCCGGCTGAAATTATCGTCCCATTGTCTTTAAATGCATACAAAGTGTTTATATTTATGAGACGAGATTACTTTGTCTTCTCCGCACCTTTGTCTGGTCGATTTTGTTTCCGTTTAGTTGGGTCCTCACGCACTCACTATTAAAAAGTTATAGCCTTTTGGTCACTTACAAAAAATCTTGAGGGCATTATAGAGGCTATATTTATACACGGTTTTTATGTTCAGGAGAACAAAAAGTCATTGATCACTTTTGGGCGCTCACGGTGTTTATGCTCATGAGATGAAGAATCCTATTGATTTTCAAATTTAACAGCTTAGTTATAATCTGATTACCAGTGCATGTTTTGTTTATGTTAATACCATGAAGAAGCCTTCAAATTTGAATTATTTCTAATAATTGCGTCATGGGTTGTTGTCCTTGATTAGATTTTAGTCACCTAAGTTACCAATAACAGAATAAAAATCTGGCAACCATTAATGACTGACCGTCTTCAAGCAGCAAAACTAAGCAATAAAAAGCGAAAAACTGCGCATGAGTGCTATAGAAATATAAGTCATACCCATTATAAATGTTGTTATTATTATATTAAAGCTTTGCCAGCCATATAACTTTATTCATAATATTATATGAAATAAACACCAATCAATGCCTCTAGTATATTATATTCACAAAGTACTAAGTATTCTATTGCAAATTTAAGTACTATTTTATAACCCCATATTAAAGTAGATTAAAAGGCAGCATATAGATTTTTCTAGACAGTCTGTTGTCCATATAGAACCCATATTGACAAAAGGATTTAAATATTTCATATATATTGAAATAACTTGTTCCGATCAAATTCCAACACCGACATATGGTATAATGGTGTTAAAATCTGTTTCCATATTGGTCGCAATTAGAAATCATAGAAGTTTGATAATTCTTTGATATTTATAATTGCTAATAGTTCAAGTTGGTACAAAACCATTAACTGGGCCCGTTAAACGGGACATGGTGACCAAGTCCAAGTGAACTTAATTGCATTCGGAAACTTAATAAAGAAAATAAGTTAGGTCATTGGGGAAAGTAGAGAACTAATGTAAACGGCAAAGTGATAAAAGTAAATGATTATGTAATGTGACGTAAATGAATGTGTTATAAAGTTGGTACAAAACCATTAACTGGGCCCGTTAAAAGGGACATAGCGACCTAGTCTACGTGAATTTAATTGCATTCGGAAACTTAAAGTAAATAGGTTAGGTCATTGGGGAAAGTAGAGTACTAATGTAAACGGCAAAGTGATAAAAGTGAATGATTATGTAATGTGAAGTAAATGAATGTGTTATAAAGTAAACGATAATGTAATGAATGAAATGAAAAGTAAATGATTATCGAATGAAAAAATGAATATGTTATAAAGTAAATGATTTTGTAATGAAATAAACGAATATGTTATAAAGTATATGATTTGAAATGAAATAAATGTATGCGTTACAAAGTAACTGAACTATTGACAGGTCAATTGGTGTTATTAAACTCACCCTACCCACGGGATATAGAGGAACCTGATAATTACGAGTCAGTTACAGTACATGCTGAGTTCAGTTCCGGTAGAAACAAGTTACAGCAAGAATTTTCAGTAAATATTATTTTATCAAGTACAATAATTAATAAATTTTGATTCGATTAAAACAGATTTATTCACCAACACCAAATGGGTCAAATCCTTTGGGTGTCAATGTACAAATTTAAGATTTTGATTTAGGCTCAGATTGTGCTACAAGAAATCATGTTGTAGCCGATTCAACGTGTCATATGTTTCAACACATTATTTCTCGATCAGTTTAAAAACTGTCAGTGATCAAATACATAAAATTGCTGTACAATACCAAGCGATAATTAAAGCTATTCAACTGTTATTATGGGCTTTTCATTCATTTTCCCCCATTTTGTGATTTTCAGATAAACTCCAAAGAAGGTTATTTAACCAAGTTAGGTCTAATATTCAAGGTAAATACATTTACATTATTTAGCTTGGACATGACCCGGCGTGATTGGGGGTCAATGGTCAAACTGGAGCTGACATTAGTATGAAACACAAAATAGTTGGAACCCGACGAAGAGGACAACGCTATGAGGACAGTGTATTCGTATAGCGGCAAATACATCGAATTCGTCCCATGCGAATGTCTAAACATTTTTCACTACCAGGCCCTACGTCCTTCACCGTTGACAAGGCAAAACTGAGCTGGAACTTTTTCGAACCCAGGACCCTCTGGTACGTGACCCAGCAAGATCACTGGGGTTTTTTTTCGTGCACGCCAATGTGTACACGGGACCTCGGTTTTTCCCTATCCGTACGACTATACGTTGTCCCTTGCTAGGCACTTCGTCCTGCACTACTGACAAGGGGGAACCACGCTTTCTCGGTCAACGCAGGGATCAAATACGGGACCCCCGGGTTAGCGACCTAAGGTCTTACTCACAGAGCCACCGTGCCCCCTCCCCCCGAAGAAGAATGAATGGAGACGTTTGGTCTCCTACATTGTTCGAATTGACTGTTAGACTGACCATGGACCGTATATTACATTACGGTCGATGGACTGACACAATGACAATGTTTAAATTTTGTATATTTCAGACGTGGAGATATCGTTGGTTTGTTTTACAGAGAAATGAATTAAAGTATTATAAATGTAAAACAGATAAAATGCCAATACGTGTTTTAGATTTAAATGAATGTACAGAATGTAGTAAAGATAATTCGTTTAAAGATAAATGTAATCTATTCAGGTACGTTATTATCTAACCATAACATTATATATTTTTCATTAAGACATTAATACGTGACTGTCCATCTCTAACACATAAAACGTGAAATGAAATCAAATGGAGTTTGGGCTAATGAAGACAGGCATACGCCATACAGTGTGCTATGAATGAAATTGGGTCTGGACAGCGGCGCTACGGCCTGCTCTTTTTCGAATTCCAACTATCAAGTCTTCTTTTACGTGTGCGAGGGACCTCGGTTTAGGCTCCCCACCCTGCAACATTAAGGAACTTTCTCGGCAAACACAGGGAGCGAACCCTAGACCTCCAGGTTAGCGAGTTAGCGCATCACCCCACATAAAAAGTCTTCTTTTACGTGTACGAGGGACCTCAGAATATTTGATTTATATTCTAACCTGTTTTCTATAGGTTAAAGTTTACTTGGAGAACATTTTATTTCTTTGCCGCCACAGAACAAGATATGGATGAATGGATTCGTGTGATTACTTGGAGATTAGTAAGAACCTTTACATTATATATACATAAGTAAACATTAAGTTCCGGGAGATATTTCCAATTAAGTTGGATTTTTTGATTGTGTTTTTTTAAAGTAATATTTCAAGTAGAATTAGCCTTATAACATTTTCAGATGATATTTCTTTTATTTTACAGCAAAACCAGAGAAAGGTTTCTACTAACTCTCAATAATGAGACTCAGTTGCAATTATGGTGTGGTTACCGCAAGTCGATGATGGTGCAATGAAGATACGTATGGACAGACACAAACATAATCTTTAGTTTTACTCTGAACTGACGTATTCAACATAAACTTATATTTGTATTGAAATATATTATCTTAGTAAACACAATCGTGCATTTGCTGTATCTATAAATTTTGGTGATATTCTGTTCCATACAGTAAATGTTGATATTCTATTACTCGGATTTAAGACGTTCTATTTCTTGTTTGGCGTATATCTGACTTGGCCTTCATTCAAATAAACAAGATCTTGAAACGCAGGTTATTCTTAACTATCATCAAGAAATCGAACTTTAAAATCAGATGTTATTTAATCAGTGATATATATTTTATTTAATCCACGTTTTTGTCAGCTCTTTCAGTTTTATTGTGTTTATATTTTAAATGTTTTATTTGTAGCAAATCAACTGTATATAAAAGAATGCCCAGTGCTATGTGTGATACATATACATTACTTGTTTCTTTTTAGATAAGATTGTTTCTTATAGAGCAAAACTGGTTTATGGCTTTGGAGACTAAAGGGCGATAACTCATGTTCAGAAGAATTCGACTAGACAATTTTTCACCCATTGACTATAGCGTTAAATCCCTGATATTCCTCAGCCTGTAAAATTTTTGTGAATATTCTGATGATTTTAATCTTTATAACCACAAAGAGTTGACGATTTCAGAATCATCTGATAAAAATATTCAAGGGGGTTGTACGTCGCGTCAAGTAAGGAATCTGGGCTGTGACATCATTTTCGTACGCGATGTGTGTATTCATACCCTGATCCGTGCTTTTCAAATTCATGACTACACACCAAAGGCTGACAGATATTCTAGATTAAATAGTCACCAAAAGATTTTATGCAAAAGGAGTGAATAGGGAAAGAATTGTTATGAATAGAGGAACTATTATTATTTTCATAAAATCTGGGGGAAAATACTATTATTAATCCTGACACGATATTTAGTAAAATATAATCTTAAATTAAAGTAGCTAAGTCTTTAACTAAATATGATCCAAAATCTTCGACATTGAAAACCCGATTTATTTGTCGGTTTAAATCAACATTGATGTTGTGATCTTACCGGGAAAAGATAGCCTTATGATATCCAATATTTAAGACAAAATAAACATTTTACAATTGGTACACGAATCGTGTACCATAATGCGTTTCAGCTCTATTTGTAATAAGTGTCTCGAAAAACGAGGCTAGGCATATTCCACAAGTCATGTCAAACGGTGACGCTATATTCTTATCTGGAGAGCATGCCCAATAAATACTATCGGCGTAGACTGGAATAACCAGAAGCTAGAGATTGAAATTCGATTGAGAACACTGGCGTATTTCGCCGAACCTAACTGATTAGAAATTACAGTAAAAACAGAAACGATTGAATGTAAATCAATTTACATACATTCATACTATATTTTTATATGCGTTGCGACCCATTTTTGTCAATTTCTAGGTCCCAAATATTAGCGACTTAGCACCTTTAAGTCTAGAAATGGTTCCAGTCTTGTTTTAGCAACAGTAATAGATGGCTCTAAAGCCTTCATTTGCACAAATTTTGTCAAGATTTGAGTACAAAACATGCAGTTACAGGCCTATATCTCATTTGATTTACAATTAAAGTTAAACCCAAAATTCCACTGGACATAGCTTAACATAAACTTATTCTTAAAATAAAGGTGAAACTTTACCATAGGCCTACAAATTTGTGATTTTATCAAATCCAACAGCTACGCGATATTTCTTTCGTTTTTAAAATGGCCAGCAAACCAGAATTGGAACGCACACGTGTTCATCACCTCGAAAATGTAGAAAAACTATTTGTAACATAATTACTTATTTCCATGCAAACTTTGGTGATATGTGTTGAGAAGTATGCTATTTAGTTGCGTAAAGCCTCGAAGAGTGTAAAAATTGTATTTGCAGCTAGAATTAAGGTAAAAACTAAAGGTAGTCGCAACTACAAGGGTAATGTCACGATGTGCAATGTTAGCCGACACTGTAAGAAATAATTCTGTGAAAAAACAAAGTCCGGTAGTACGCCCTCTTCCTTCTAGATGGCAAACGTATGGCCTTAAAAAAAGTTGGGAGCTCATGCAGGTGAGCTTAACGCGATTTAAAAACTTTTACCCTAAAAATGAAATGAAGTTTAAGGTCCTACACCGACAGGGCTAATGAAGACGGGCATAAGCCACACAGTCTGATATGAGGGAAATTTGCCCGGACAGCGGCGCTACGGCCTACTCTTAAATCAAATTCCAGCTGCTAAGGGATCTTATACGTGCACGCCAATGTTTTTCGTCCATCAGAACGACTAGACGTTGTCCTTTGCCAAGACTCCTGTCCTGCCTGCATTACTTTCTCGACAAACACTGGGATCGAACACGGGACCTCCAGGTTAGCAAGCCAGCGTCTTATTCACTGGGTCGCCGTGGCTCCCTTTACCCTATACCCATCTACACTTTGTCCATAAACTTTCACCATAACACTGGCAGTTTATTTTTTTTTTATTTTAATATTTATTTGCATTGCGGTAATATAAACAATCAACAAATAATATTTCCCTTATAAATCAGGCGTTTTATAATATCACATATTGATAACCCTGTAAAATAATGTAGAAATAAGCAGTTTTGTGTATATATATATATATTTGATATATTCGACTGTCGCCTAATTCGACTATTGATTAATTATGTAATCCTATATTCATTCTCTCTGTTCGATCCACCGGCACTGTCACTGTAAATGACGTATTTTGAAAACCACATAAGATTAAAAATCTTAATTGAATGTACTTATGGCTACACGTATCGAAAAGTTCCGAAGCCCATCTTATGTGCACTTTAATTTAAGCGTTATAAAGTTATTATGAATGGACACGTCAGGAAATAAATCAGGAGTACACTACTTTATAAGTGTCATATTTACAATAAATTCTCCCATCTTTGTAACCATGATCGTTTGATCTATTTACCGCTGCGAAGGATTCTTTATCTTCTATCTTTAATTGATCGTGCCAGTTTTACATTGTACGAAACTTATCTGATAAATTATGCATACGTTTCCTAGTTAGCGGTTCAATATAAGTAGGCTAACTAACAAGAATATTTCTCGGTGACAAAATGACACCAATCTGATTAAAACACAAATCCAATTTCGTTTCGTTTTTTATAGTTCAAAATTTCCTTTTTACTTCTTTACTACTACATGCAGTGTAGGCCATCGAAAGTGTAAAAAACGAAACGAAATATAGATTTATATTTTTATTAGATTGAAATGACACTGGACGACAATGATGGGGTGTTGTTTTATCGTTGGTTACTGACTGTATTATAAGATATTGAATAGATTATAAAGATGAACCATGATGAATATGATCGTTTATATCACCACTACATAGAGAACTCGTACTATCAGATGATAACGATCTGTTGTCATGGGAACATTTCAACAAATTAACTACTAAAGCTGTCCATCCCGTTTGATGACTGAAATATAAAAATGAAAATGCAATCAATGGCGTTTAACGTCCGTATTTAAGGCAATGAAGAGAGTTTTACCCGGAAGATTAGTCTACTCTTCATCAAATCCCATCCGTTACTTGTTCGTTTACGTGTACAGCACCGTGTCCTGTATGACTGACAAGAGGAAACCAGGTTTAATAAAACTCAAGGAACTTTCTCGACCACCACCACGATCGAACCGGTTACTACCTGGTTAGCATACCAGTACCATACTCACCAATCAACAAATTAATTATAAAACCACAATAAACACAACATTAGCCAAACATGACGTCATATATTTATTGGTTTGTCTGGGGTGGGGAATCCAGATTTCAATTTTTTTTTTTTTCGAATAAATTCAAACAGAATTAACAAAATATTCTTATTATGCACGCAGACTCTGTAGTACACAAACAAGTTCTAATGTCTCTATAGGTAACGTTAATAATGGGCAACGCTCTTTTAGACAAGTTTCATTACATAAACGACTAGAAACGACCGCTTTTTAATACTCTGTTCGAGACTTCTAATACGATTTAGTTAAATTCAATATTCCGATACTAACCTAGCGCCACAACCTCGACCAGTTTCAGCATGAAAATATTCATAAAATAAAACCAGATCTTTAAAATGGGGATTCTTTGTGTACCGTTCGTCTTCACCTAAAAAACAAAAGTGGTTACACAATTTTTAGGTAATAAATTGTTGGTTTTTTTATCAGTAAAATAATGATTTATAGGAATAATTACTCGCGATCAGTCTCTGTTTCGACTACCAGACAAATGGTCTGCACAAAATCACGGTAAATTATTAGATCATACAGAGATAGGAATCAGATAAGGGTATTGTCTATTATAAAGATGTTATCTCCCCTTACAGAATACGATTCTATCCGTATTCCAATGTAATGTATCGATGTTGTTTGTAATTTTTATTTTAAATCTTTAACGAACATTTCTAGATTGTGTGATCATCTTGATAGGATTTAACGTAAAGTGTAAAGGGCTTGAGGGGGCATGTCTGGACATAAATTTGGGAGGGCAAAATAAGACATTTTTAGGCAACAATAATTATTTTTATTCAGTATGATTTTTCCAGGAAAAAGTATTATTTTTCATCGATAGATATAAATATTTTACAGTACCCTTATCATAATAAAACACTTACCGTGACATGCTCTACTTCCAAAAATATCAGGAACCACGAGTTTGGATAATCTACATGATAATTCTCGAGCAACATCTTTGAGTCTCATTTTCTTTCCGGAACCAGTTGGACATTCAACTTGTAAAGTATCACCGTAGAAATAATCATATCTCTGTAGATTATCTATTAACAGATAATTCACTACAAAAAGAAATGAAATGAAATGAAATGGGGTTTAACGTCCTACTGTTCTGCTCCTATACTGAGTTAATGAAGACGGGCATACGCCATACAGTGTGCTATGAGGGAAATTTTGGCCGGGCAGTGGCACTATCGCCCACTCTTATATCGATTCCAACTGCCAAGGGATCTTATACGTACATTTCAATGTATACACGGGACCTCGGATTTCGGGTCATCCGAAGGACTAGACAGCAGTCCTTGTCAGTCACTCCGTTCTGCACCACTGACAAGGGGAAACCACGTCGGAAAATCCAGATGAACTTTCTCGGCCAATGCAGGGATTGAACACCCGACCTCCAGGCTAGCGAGCCAGCGTCTTAACCACCTAACCACCGTGGCCACTACAAAAAGACAAAAGGAAATGATAATAATTATGTTATGTTAAACATTTAACGCGTGTTCCTTATAGCATTGAGTCAAGTGGCGTGGTTTCGATTCCCTGCTTGACAAGAAGTAGGATCGCCTGTCCAACCTCATGGGATTTTTCAGGGTCCTCCGATTTCCTCTCACTGCTAAAAACCCCTGCAATTGAATCATTTAAATAAATTTGAACCATATATTAGTGACCATTTGACTTGACATAATAACTGCAGACTGTGGATAAGACAAAATGGAAGGACTTATTATACTAGAATATATTTTTTCATGGTTACTATATATAGAAATAACAGGTAAATCTCTCTCTCTCTCTCTCTCTCTCTCAATTACATCACATTGTAATGTGGAACCAATCATGCATGTGCGCGATAAGAGCATAAGCCAAACAGAAGCAAAATTATTTGATATAGTTAAATATACATTATGGGAGATTCGATAACGAGTTGGCAGTTCGCACTATAATAGTTGAAAACTAGATAATGTAAAGGCAATTTGTTGAAAATTTCATTCAAATTGATCCACTATGAACCGAGAACTAAGCGGTTGAAATTTCCGGCTAGCCTTGATCATCATTACTAAAGTCAGTACAATAAACAGAGTAGTCTCAATTATCCATTTAATCGCTAAATCGTGAAGGAAAATTATGCAGTAAATCGGCTCATAATCCACTGCCATCTAGAGTTGATTATGGTCTGGATAGGTTAATTAATGTCTAATTAATAGTTTAGATAACATTTCAGGCCTAAATAAAGACCTGCAATAGGCAGATTTAGCTCTTGCATAATGCATGTTTAACCAGAAAAACGATGGTGACGGGTGTTTGTAAGAATGTCTGGTAATAATGTGTAATGATGTAATAAATACCGATAGTCATCAGGTATGTTAATTATGGTAAAATTTACAAAACCTTTTTTGTTTGCTAGTTATGAATTAAAAATCAAACATGTAAATCAATGAAATCCTATTTACATAATGTATGTTATGTAACATTGATTATTAGCATAAAAATATAATACAAGCCCAATAAGTTCGGCATTTGGTGTCGAAGACATTATTAATAATGTTCTTGCGACATTGCCTGTGAGGGGTCACGGTGGCTAAGGCACTGGATCGCTAGCCTGGAGGTCGGGTGTTCGATCCCTGCATTGGCCGAGAAAGTTCATCCAGATTGTGGTTCCCCCTTGTCAATGATGCAAGACGGAGGGCCTGACAAGGACAGCTGTCTAGTCGTTCGGATGGGACGAAAAACCGAGGTCCCGTGTACATATTGGCGTACACGTAAAATATCCCTTGACAGATGGAACTCGATACAAGAGAAGGCCGTAGTGCCGCTGTCCGGGCAAAATTTCCCTCATAGCACACTGTATGGCGTATGCCCGTCTTCATTAGCCCAGTTTAGGAGCAGGACGTTAAACCCCCATTTCATTTCATTTCAGACATTGCCTGTCATCAATATCACCCCGGTGGAAGCGGATGTCAAATAAAGCTATTTCAAAACATGGTGTCACAGACTATTATCGGATTATTTTTAAAGCAAAACAATGTTTTCATCAAAATATGTATCTAAATAAATAAAATTAGAACTATAATGAAACGAAATCTAATGTGTGTTTTAATATGCACTTTATAAATATATTTAAAAAAAAAAACCTACTTGGTAACCATATTGGACCTCTCCAATTACTGTTTCCACCAAATAATTTGGATTTCGATTCACCAGGACTATAATCAACACTGTATTCTGTACCGTTTAAATGAAGAAATACTGGATTCTTTTCGTGGTACTAGAAAGGATTTACGTCAAAATAAAGATTTAAAATCAGTTGAGCGGATGTGATTTTTCTATTATAGTAATTAAAAAAGCTATCGGATTAACCTATCACAATATACGGCAAAAAGCAACTGGAATCACTGTAGTTTTAGCCGAATACTAATTGAACATTTACTTCCGCAGTGTGTTATTAATAAGCGATTATTTCCAAAGCATAGGTTGCCCGGCAACGAAACATACGCCCAAAATAACTAAGTCGTTCCAGCAGTCCATAAAGGTTTTCCATATTTTTATTATTTTGTAGGTACAATGACATTTACCAGACAGTAAACAAAAGGATAATTAGAAGGACTCATCTAGATATATATCAAATAAACTTAACCATCATTTACCTTCGATAATGATCTAACGCCATATGGTGACAGGAATTCATTTTCATCTAAAATATAACTCAGTATTTTTATCAGTTTTTCTTTTGTTACTATAGCTAATAATAAAGTTTCACTCTGTCCACCCGGAGCCATGAATGAGATCTGAAATAATATATAACAATTTTAATTTCTTTACTCCAATCTGATTAAAACACAGATGCTATTTCGTTTCGTTTTTATAGTTTAAAATTTCGTTTTACTTGTCTTTACTACACTAGGATCTGGAAGAGTTGTTATCATTGACGTGTTCTGAATGATGTGAGGGATTAGCCAATGAAACGGTCTGTTACGGCGAGTTTCAGGCGTATTTTGCACGGAACTATGGGTAATCCACTAGTAACATCAATGCTGATTGGTTAATCAAATGTCTGACGTCATAGGTTCAAAAGCCGCTTGTATGACCTCTGATGCGATCTATCGCTACAACTGATCAGATCTTCATGTAGTATAGGCCATCGAAAGTATTAAAAAAAAAACGAAACGAAATATAGATCTGTATTTTAATCAGATTGTCTTTACACCAACCCCGGTCAAACTGACTAAAATGTAAAAATACCTTTAGTCAGTAGGCATAGGATTTCAAACTAGAGTATGTAATGGGAAGGCACACGTAGTTGCCAATTAAAAATTGAAACAATAAGATCGTATTGTGATGTTTCCATGTCGTACTATCCTTCTTTATTGTATTTAAAATACATTGTCAACTGCAGTAACATCAAACAACAAACCCATGGCTGCCATGAATATGCCAAACAACATTTCAAGGGTTTAAACCCCGAGAATATAGCGGAGCCGGGCATACTCTGCAAACTGAAACAAAAGGTTGTCTATTTGTGTTATTAATACCAAGGCTTGCTTTTTTAAAAACATAGCATCAAAATATCATACCAACTTACTGTTGACTTCAGATCTTTACGATGTTCCAAAAACCACTTTGTTCGTTTATAAAAACCAGGATGTCTTCGAAGTTCCGTTTCTTTGAGAACAAAACATGTAAAGAGTGGCACTAGTCCAACCATAGATCTAACTTTTAATGGAATACTTCTAGAATTGTGGTGTATATGATCATAGTAGAATCCGTCGGTTTCATTCCATAATCCTGTAATAAACCCAAGTATCCAGGATGTAAATACGATGTGGTGTGTCATATGTATTGGTTTATGGGCATTCTGCACACAGAGATCCATCTACTCATACTTCGAGAATAGATCTCTGTCCTAAATGGCCGCCATATCCAAAATTTAGTATACTGTTTTGTAATGCAGTCCTACTCCTGTTCACGTCTGTTATAAACAAAACGACTAATTAAACCTTTTCAATTTTATTATATGAAAGCAGAATATAAACTTCTCAAAATTCTCGAAATATGTTTAGTGTTTTCGACGAAAATCGTCGATTTCGGACTTAAAATGTCGATCAACTAGCTTAGTGTCTGTTCTCAAGAGAAGCTAACTGTAGACAGGTAGCCTAAGTTTAGTATGGGTTTATGGGATGTCTGGAGCCACGCTGACTCAGTCGGTATGGCGCTGGTAACCGTAAAAGGAGATCCTGGTGTTGGCAAAAAATGCTCCTCGTGATGTTCAAGTCCTGGTTTGCCCTTGCCAGTGGTGGTTTGACGAGTGCATGGCAAAAAATGCATAATCTTCCGGATGGGAGGAAAAACCCATAGTGTACTCTTTGGTGTGTACGTAAAAGAAGCCCTGACATTTAGAATTCGATGAATTTCGAGTATAAGCCATTTTCATTATAATGGTTTGTGCCGAGAAATACATACTACTCAGTGTTTCGTTTGATTAGCGCTAATTTCACTTAACACTGCTGTAATGGAAGGGAATTTATTTTCCAAATTATGACAGGTCAATAGTCCGATTAACAACCAATAGCTAACTGTGTGGTACCCTCCCATTTCGCCTACGTCTCATTTCGACTACAACTTGTAACAACAGATTATAATGGTCTGGTGGTTTTATTATCCCTACTTATATACCCTCTCTATAGCTAAAATAGATTCTTCCATAAAACATCCCATTTACGCTACAGCGTATATCAGATTACATCAAAACAAACAGAAAAAAGAATGAAAAATTATAAACAAATATTTCAACTTGCAAATTCCCAAATTTGAAAATAAACACAATATTTGTTATAAAGGAATTCTAAAAAGATAACAAATATTTTGAATGAATGATAGTGAACTTGAAGAATAAATTTTAAACAATTCATCTTATATAGATAAGCAAGTATTAAACTCAATGTAATCTCCAAATATTACAAATATTTGTCAAAACAAAAATGAACACTTGGCGTTGACATTTTTGCTTTGATGTTAAGGAAAACAAGCTATAAGATATAATAAAATTTGTAGTCGAAATGGGGTGTAGTCGAAATGGGACGTAGTCGAAATGGGAGAGAACCAACTGCGTAACAATATGATTACACTTTAAACACAGCTTCAAATTGGACCAAATATGTTTACATAACGTTACGTCATGACTCACGATTTTATTACGCCCAATTAACCAGTGTATAGCAATCTAATTGAAATATAGATCTATATTTCGTTTCGTTTTTTATACTTTCGATGGCCTACACCAAGTGTAGTAAAGACAAGTAAAAACGAAAATTTGAACTATAAAAAACGAAACGAAATTGGATCTGTGTTTTAATCAGATTGAGTGCATAGCAGAATTTTGCAGAAAAACTAACTGTGTGACAAACGAGGCTATCAAAACGGATGCAATGTAAACACTACTGTTTGGAGACGAACAATACTTTCGCCGTTTTTAATACCTTAAATCACTGACCAAAGTTTTAGGTAAGACCCCAGGGCTGCCATGTTGCTGTACTTAAGAATAGATACATTTAAGCAAAAGCTCAAGTAAGTATCAGAAGCCAATCCAGCAATGCCCTGAGAGGGATTTCTCGGGCCATTGCTTCAGGGATATGCGAGAAGTAGGGCGCTAAACCCTATTTCACTTCATTTTATCAGACACCTTGATTGGTTTGTCGAGTCTGTTCGGTGCTGTCTCGAATATAAAAATACTGAATTTGTCGTGAAAATTTTTTCTTTGACTCACTTGGTAGAGGTTTGTGGATTCTATGCCCGAAATCACTGTTTCGATTCTCCCCGGTACATTTCGAACAAAACTTAACATATTCCTCGCGATTATGTACGCAAATTCTTCATGGAGATTTGGAATTGTACAAGCTGCCCCACTTTATTTCAATGAACCGTTTATTTCATCCGGATTACCAGACCTCTGTACCCCAATGAACGCATGACCGTGTCGCAGAAATTCGTGTCTTTATGTCACAGAGTCATCTGGCGTGGTTTCGATTCCCCGGTTGTACGTGACAAAGAGTTGGGTCGCCTGTCCAACCTCGTGGGTTTTCTCCAGATTCTCCGGCTTCCTCCCACTGCTAAAGACCTCTACGCGCAAGCGAATTATTGAAATAAAATTGAACCATGTGTTAGTCCCGAAATGACCTAATTTGTGTCGAGTGGACGTTAAACCCTCTCTCTCTCTCTCTCTCTCACACACACATAAGTTAAGACCACAAGGTCTAATAGATTACCTCTTTCTGTATGTTTATTCATGGCGTCCACAATGGCGACAAAATGTTCAAAGAATTTACTGGCCATATCTTCATATATAACATCTCTCTTGGCTAATGTTAAACTCATATCTAACATTATAGCACAATAAAACGCCATCCAAGCTGTAGCATCAGCCTGAAGAAGATAGAAAACTGTATGATGTATCTAATTTATGAATCGCAACTGAACAAAAAGTAATAAACTTTGTGTTATATCTCTGTTTGCTTAAAATCGATTTCAAAATAAAATATTCCCATAAATACAAAAGCTGTGAGTGTAAACATCTAAACGATCACGCCACTGACGTAACCAATCTGATTTTTAGTTGGGGGTGGGGGGCAACATTGATTCAGAAACTCGAAAAACTGTACTAGAGTATAGACGACAAGTAGAGTCCCCACCCCACACCCATTCACTTCTCAATCATCAAAATTATCTTTCAAGTTTCGACTTTTTTTTAGTTTATAGCCGATCGCCTCATATACAAATTATCGACAAACTTAAATAGGGTAGGCCCCTTGTGAGAAGAGTTTGCAGGTGATCTATGAAGTAGGGGGCTCAAACAGGAGAAACAGCAAAGCTGGTTACAAGGTGGATCCGTCCAGAAACAGTAATATTTTCCCAGAAATTTAACCTTACTACCTTGACGGAGATATAATTGTACGTACCTGTAGAAGAAACCCGTCAGTAGGTAGTGGTTTAGATCTGTCAAATAATCCTATATTGTCTAAACCCAGAAACCCACCCGTAAAAACATGTCGACCAGTTGGATCTTTTCTATTTACCCACCTACAAAATACACTTACATATAACCTATTTACCATCCATCTTGAAATTATTTACCCACCTACAAAATACACTTACATATATCTTTAACCTATTCAACATCTATCTTGAAATTATTTACCCACGTACACATTACACTTACTTATATATTTAAACTTTTTACCTTCTATCTTGAACTTTTGTAATTTGTATGCTTGATAACGACCAGTGAAATCTTGTCGAAACGTCGTGTGTATTATAGTGATTATTATGCATAGAACTGTTTTGTGTTATATACTCTTCAAAAAAGTAGGGGATATGGAAATACAAATACCTATGCAGGTTGTGATATGATAAATAGTCATGGACACTTGATATGCTTTGAGAGTATGTTCACAGATGAAGAACTTATCGCCCCAACAGAACCACTGAGCTGCATGTGCGACTCGCAATAGCGCCATACACGTGGGAGGGGTTCATTGTCAAATTTGACACTTCAAGGAAGGTTTGATGAAAACTGCCGCTTGCTGATTTATCCTATCCATGTTTGCTTTCCTATCGGTTCTTGCATAAGATTTACTGTTTAGCGTATCTTTGCTTTAGTGTGTTACGTTTAATTTGATCAGGAGACATGTTCGTCGACGTCAACGTCAACCGACAACACTGCAAGAATTGGCCGTGGCACTGCAAGAGAAGTGGGTCAGATTGCCCCAAATCGTGATTGGACGGTTGGATAGGAGCATGCCACGGCAAATTGCTGAATGTCTGAAGATTGGTGGAGCAATTACTCATTATTAAGACAAAAATCAAAAACGTCCGTTTTCACTTTTGACAGTGTATCTCTTTGCGAGTGAAATGGGGCCCTCAGATAAGCCGCCCATATGAACTGTTTATGTTCACGTGTAGGCATTTGGCCTGTTATTAACATACACTGGTTACCGCTAATAAAAACAGCAGTGCAGTTCCGCAGTTTTGTATTGTTTCTGAATATCCACTACTTTTTTGGAGAATATATTAGGTTCTATCGCTAAATGCCATTCAAAGATTATATCTTAAACTAATTTACCCGTCTATAGAATCAACTTTACTAGATTTGCTGTTACCTAATACGGATCTAATGAAAATTATTTAAAATTCTTACCATGTGAAATTTAAAACTAATTTATGGAAACATCGAGCAAGGAATGTGACGTCACGATAACCCCTTTCCCCCGATTTCCTGTATATATTTATACAAGCCCAGGCATGAACAGGCGGATTAACATCATCAAAACTAAATTCATACGCAGGTATCTGCAATAAATATATAGAGAGATAAATGGGGTTTAACATCCACTCGACATAAACTAGGTCATTTCAATTTCATTTCAATAATTCGCTTGCGCGTAGGGGTCTGTAGTAGTGGGAGGAAACCCGAGGATCCGGAGAAAACCCACAAGGTTGGACAGGCGACCCTACTCCTTGCCGCGTACAACCGGGGAATCGAAACCACGCCAGTTGACTCAATGACAGATCTTATGATACAGCGCGCACGTGCTAACCATTCTGCCATCCACCCCCACCCCCATCTGCAATATTGTTTACATAATTTCAAACGTTATATAATTAAAATTTCTTAAAATCTATCTTGAAAAATCTTCGTACATGGCACCTTTACAACATACATGAAAAAATTAAAGCCGGTTATCGTCAAATGGATGGTTTTTAATCCGTAGCAAACTACAGGTGTATATGTAGAACAAGGGGCCGTTGTGGCTCAGCGAGTAAGACGGGGACCTCGGGTTAGATCCCGGTGTTGACCGAGAAAGTGTCTTGGGATTTTTGGCGCGTTTGCTGCTTGTCAGTGGTGCCGGATGAAGGGCATGCAAAAACCGAGGTCACGTGTACACAGCGTGCATTTAAACGAACCATTAACAATTGGAATTCGAAGTAAGAGTAGACCGGGCAAAATTTCCCCATATCATACTGTATGACGTATGCAGAAAACTAAGACGTTGAAACCGATTTCATTTTATTTCATTTGGAATAAAAACATCTCATATTATAGTCCCGAGATGAATGGATTTAGTGTAGAAGACATACAATTTGTATATTTAAACAGAATGAATCCTTACCTGTCCATTCGGATGCATATACCATTCTCTTAGAAACAATAACAACTGTTCTTTAGCAAAATGAATGTCGATATTAGCAAAGGGTATCATATGAAAAGCGAGGTCCCAAGATGCATACTGAAATATCATAAGAAAATAATATAAGTAAATATTAAAAAGACACATGTATATTTCACTGAGTACCTTGATTGTCAATCTAAAACAATTCATTAAATTCTAAGAGATAAGGTTTTTAATTTACTGATTTACACAAAGGCAAGAAACGCGCGATCCAATTATATAATATCCGTTATTATGTTCACTAAAAACCTTAATTTCTAATTTGACACACTCTAAAAGTTTGGCATGTTTCATAATGTTTAATATTAAGGGCTTATCCCCCCCACCCCCACAAAAAAAATGATCCTGCACCAAGAGACTTGCAATACAAATATACGAGGTACAAAATGAGATGTGATATCAGGTGTTCTGGAAAAAGCATAAACTGTCTCACGCACGACGATCAACACTACTTAAAGTTAACAGGGACGATGGTTTAGGCCTGGATTTCTGTACCAAAGGTTTCGTGTAAAACAAAGGTATTCCATACCCAAGGATATTCCCATTTATCAGGAACTGATATAACATCTCTATTAAACAGGTGTTGCCAGTCATGATTTCTACCTTCGAGTCGTTCTATTGGTGGCTTAGGATGATTCTTATCTCCACGCAACCATTCTTTAACAACATAATGATAAAACTGTTTACTCCATAATATACCAGCATAAGCCTGTCGTACCACATTCTGTTCCTCGTGATTTTTAAATGGTATAACCTGTCATTAAATAAAAACCTTGTAATTATTTTAAGAAGTCAAACCCGGCGTCACTTATTTGGTTGCGGTTTCGATCCCATGGCTATGTGCATATGATAAGGTGCAGGGTCGCCTCTGCAGGGCACTTAAGACTCCTACTAGTATTGCTACAGACCACATTAAGCAAGGGTTACAGTGAGATGAGAATAAGTATCTAGCCTACTTGTGGTTCCCAACCTATTCCCACTGTGATACATTTTGCAAATCTTCAGGGTTCCCCCACATAGGGCATTTGCACTGTTCCGTCAGGTTTCCCAAATGAGGACCTTTAGAACGTTTCACAAACTTTTTTTTGAAAAAAATCTAATATGGGTCATCTTAGACAGAAAAAATAAATTCTGAAACAATTTAATCTCACTTTCACTGCCCTGAGATGTAAACTCTGCAGCAACGAACATCTGATATCAAATAGTGAAATTCATTGTCTGAATACCAATAGATTCATATGCTTGACCCCATTTTCCTACGTTGACTCTCTGCGAACCCCTTTGAATTCGCGGACATCAGTTTGAGAAACTTATATAAATGACAGGTGCCTCTACAATGATCTATAGTTCCGGCGTGACAGAGATTTAAAACTGTTTGTTATTATTCACCGATCGTTCTTCAACCGGAGATCTCAACTTATATACATGATATCTGAGATAGCCAGTCCAAACGAATATAGCTATTGCGACAAATTGTATCATTTCAATTGTCGATATATAAATAATTTAAAGGGCCACATTGCAACCATTAGGTATGTTTGATAGCACCCATTGATCAAATGTACTATTTAGTATAAGTTTAATGAATGTACAATTATACAAACCTCCTCATAGAATTCATTAGCTTCGTGTATTTTAGTTTCAAATATTTCATTAAAATGTAAAAAGGCATCTCCAGGAGCTTCATCAAGATGATATAGACGCAATCTGATCATAAACGATTCACCGCCTTCTATTCTTAGCTTATAGACTGCTGCACATTTTGTACCTTTATTCTCCGGATTCACGACACTTTTATCACCTAAAATAATTTGAAAAAGTCAGAAGGTATGGTCCGGTATGTTGTGATTGGAAGCGCCTGTTGTCATTTTTTCATTCATTGAAGAAGAATATTTTCATATAAAAATTAGTTTTAGGGATACAATATTCTAATTAAATGATCTAATAGATATAGGCAGACTATACACATTTTAAAGGAAAAGTACACATTCTTTGGCTATTTTAGATTAATATATTGATTAGAAATGAAAATGGTGGAAGATACACAATCTAGACAATTGGAAAACACGCTTCCTGTAATGGAAGATGGACATTGTCTATAGTCTAGATGATCACCCTGTTTGCAATTTTGAGAATAAATTATTAGAATATATTTTTTTATTTATGTGATCACACACACAATACAGGGGCGGGGGGGGGGGGGGGGCGCAAAATCAGGGCACTGACCGCGGAGACGCGGCACGCCGCTGAGAGTGGGGGGGGGTCCCCCAAGAAAATTATCCGTCATTTCCTGCATCTGTAGCCATTCCAAGAGCTATTTGGCTGATATTTTCGTCTAAGTAAACGTTCGGAAATCGTTGAAAAAATAGCCTTAAAATCGAGCAAAAAAGCCAGTTGAACACGCGACTCGAAAATTGTCAAGGCGAGCGAGGCATTATGATGGGGAAAAAGACGAATCTATTCCCTAGCCACTTCACTATTTAAGCCTTGTACTTTGTACTGTCCACACATGAAACAATGCTACATCAAGTTGCACTAACGCGCGTCGGTGATGGGCATGAGTGTATAGTAGTATACGCCGCCGATTCCACACGATGCTATCATTGATGTCTGTCTATAGTCACTCTATAGGATTAGGGCACCGTCAGCTTAACAACAAGAATTCGTTTGAAAGTGGAAGCATTAATTAGACCAGACTGGTGTGTTTGAGTCGATGGTTTGAGTCATTTGGGATCCCTGCAACGGGTTGGGAACGGACATAGTTGGGTCTGATAAAAGGCACTTTCAGCAGTAAAAACGGGCACTTGGATCCCCCTCTGCAATAACCTTTGGAAGTATTGGTTTTCATGTAATATAGAGTAAATAAATATCTTACCGTGTATGATGTAATTATGAAATGCATCCTTAACATATTTTGCTTTATTTTCCCCGCCAAATAATCTTTTATAATTTGTTTCATTTTCAGTAAAAATCAGTTGTGGTTTATTTCCATCTTGGTCAATATCTACTTCAAAATTAAACTGGCCTGAAATTATTATGTGATCAGGTCCATTCTAAAATTTATTTAATTTATTTTGTGTAACGGTACCATGTTAGTACGTGTACTGGATAAATGATTCGTTTTTATATTTACGATAATAAAAAATCCAACTTAATGGTACAAATGGATAAATATAAGAGAATAAATCACTTTAAGGTTTGGAATTTATGTCTCACTAACCAGGACATCCAGTTATCGAACAGGTGTTTGTCGAGAAAGTTTCCTTTGTCACGTAAGTGTCTGGCAATGAACAGCCTCTATATCCGTTAGGGTAGGACGAAATACCCAGGTCCTGTGTCGTGTACGTAAAAGATCTCTTGGTAGTTTGAATTCCCTGTCCGGGTAAAATTAACCTAATAACTATCTCAAGTACAGCAACATGACAGCCCTTCCTTTAATCTGGGATCTTCCCTAAATCTCTGGACAGTGATTTAAGGTATTAAAAACGGTGAAAGTATTGTTCGTCTCCAAACGGTATTGTTTACATTGTATCCGTTTTGATAGCCTCTTTTGTCACGCAATTAGTTTTTCTGCAATATTCTGCTATGCACTGGTTAATTGGGCGTAATAAAATCGTGAGTCATGACGTAACGTTATGTAAACATTATTTGTTCCAGTTTGGAGGGGGGTTCGATGGCTGAATGGTTAGCGTGCGCGCGCTGTATCATAAAGTCTGTCATTGATTCGACTGGCGTGGTTTCGAATCCCCGGTTGTACGTGGCAAGGAGTAGGGTCGCCTGTCCAACCTCGTGGGTTTTCTCCGGGTCTTCCGGTTTCCTCCCACTGCTAAAGACCCCTACGCACCATATGTTAGTCCCGAAATGACCTAGTTTGTGTCGAGTGGGCGTTAAACCCCATTTCTCTCTTCTCTCCAGTTTGGAGCTCTGTTTAAAGTGTAATGATATTGTTACGCAGTTAGCTATTGGTTGTTAATCGGACTATTGACCAGTCATAATTTGGAACATAAATTTGCTTCCATTACATCAGTGTTAAGTTGGGTTAGGTCTAATCAAACGAAACAATGCGAGGAGTATGAATAGTGCATGATGGTTGCCATTAGTCCAGTTGGTGCTGAAAAGCAGAACGTTAACCCCCATTTTATTTCTTTAATACAACCTTTAGACCAGACCCAGGACACTCAGAAATATGAGATAATGGCCTTATGCCATCACCCCTCGACTAATTTTGGCTTGGGTTCGGTGTTTGGGTTTAGACGAAGAAATGTCATTCCCTAAATTTATTTTTAGATTTCATTGTCTAGCAAAATATTCTCAGGTTTTTACGACATATGTGATGTATGTATTTACCTATATCAGCTAGTTTACAGGAAACTTTACCATCACGTGTCTTGTGCATGTGTGGTTTGTCTGGAGCCCATGCCTAAAATAAACCATAAGTTTTATAATTACATAAGATTTATTGTATATCCAGGGACGTGTTCAGATATGTGAACAACCGATTGGTCCGAGGTGGAGACGCCATTATGACGTGAGGTCTTCGGGGATTCCCCGAGAATTTGATAAAATCAAAAGCTCTGAGACAATATTTCTGCTCATATTGAACAATGAAAAGGTGGAAGAGTTTAATGACATGATCATGATATACTTACATCACAGTCGTCACCCCACGACCAGACGTTTCTAAACCACAACTGAGGTAAAACATAGATATCACGTGTTTCTGATGATCTGTTGATTATTTTATATCTACCTAATATATCATTTGGTGTGGTCTTACAATATTCTACCTTTATATCCCAATAATCATCATTATCAAATATGCCTGGAAATATAAACAACATTATTATCACTATCAAATATATCTGGAAATAAAGGGAAGCTATGGCCATCAGTATCAAATACCTTGAAATCTAAACGGCGTTATAATCATCATTATATACCTGGAGATATAAACAACGCTATAAACATCATTATCAAATATACCTGGAAATATAAACAACGTAATAATCATCATTATATACCTGGAGATATAAACAACGCTATAAACATCATTATCAAATATACCTGGAAATATAAACAACGTTATAACCATCATTGTATACCTGGAAATACAACTCTATAATCCTCATTATCAAATATTCCTGGAAATATAAACAACGCTATGACCTTCATTATCAAATATAAACAACGTTGTAATCATCATTATCAAATATACAACGCTATATGACCATCATTATCCAATAATATTCGTTGACGCCTCCGTTCCTGTTTCGAAAAAAAAACCCTATTTCTCTGAAAATGAGAGCGTTAAAACAACTTTTGTTGTAAAAAGTAAGAGTAATAGTGTATATATTAATTTGCATCATAGGATGATATTAGATTTACTTTATTATCTTGAAAAATGAAGATTTTTTTTTTCTTACCTGTATCTAGTATCTCATACTCTCTCATCTGCGTTGTACGTCTACCGTTTTCGTGTATCAGTTTAGAATAAGGGAATTCAGCTTGTGGATATTTATATAGAGCCATCATATAGGAATGGGTGGGTGTACTATCTAAATAATAGTATAATTCTTTTACATCTTCACCGTGGTTACCCTGATAAAATTATAGTGTACACTTTTATACCAAATATATGAAACGAAAGTGAAAAATAGAGCACGGAGTCCAATCTACGAACGGACATAGAACACAATGTCATTTTGTCTACATCTGATTACCATGATCCCCGACTGCACCAAAGTTTAAATTATGATACATTAATAATAAACTTTCTTCATCAGGGCATTTAAGTGAATTGATATCGCTAATTGAGTTGTATAGCATGCAAATTATTACTAACCAGTGCAGCATGCATTCTTGCATTTTGTACTAGTAAATCAATTAAGCATGTTATTAAAATATTGGCAAAGATAGATAGATATACATGAAACATTTTTTATGCCAGTGCGCATATAAACGTTTCACTATAGAGGAGGTTTTGGTCGAAATAGAAATATATTGCGAGTTTGGGAGAATGTTGGAGTGTTAATTTATTTACCTGAGAACCGGTCAATCCAAATAATCTTTCCTTTAATATTTTATCTTTGGTGTTCCATAATGCTAGAGCCAGACAAAGCCGACATTGTCTATCTGTTACACCCATCAATCCATCTTCTCCCCATCGATATGCGCGAGATCGAGCATGGTCATGGGGAAAATAATCCCAGCTGACAAGAAAAATAAATAATTGTTTAATTACTATACCTTCACTTCAAACCCGTGGGGAGGAGGGGGTGAGGTTTATTCTATTCTGGTCTGGAAGGTGGGGAGGAGGGGGTGGGGTTTATTCTATTCTGGTCCAGGACGTCCCTGGGTGCCCCCACCACCAGAGGGGTGGGGTGGATGGCTGAATGGTTAGCACGTGAGCGCTGCATCATAAAGTCTGTCATTGAGTCAACTGGTGTCGGTTCGATTCCCCGGTTGTACGTGACAAGGAGTAGGGTCGTCTGTCCAACCTCGTGGGCTTTCCTCCCACTGCTAAAGACCCCTACGCGCAAGCAAAATATTGAAATAGATATTGAACCATGTGTTAGTCCCGAAATGACCTAAATGTAGTTTGTGTCGAGTACTCTCTTTCTCTCTCTCCCACCCCACCAGAGCTGAGCTCCCCACCCCCTCAACAAATCCTGGGATTGACCTTAGTCTTTTTGTTATCCCTTTGCGCAATTTCCAAAATCAATTCACTGAGCGTTGTTAATCGGGGAACTGGGATCGCTCGGATCCAACTTGTTAGGGAAACGTTATCTAGTCTTTCGGGTGGGACGAAAAAAACGCGGTCCACCTACGTACACCCTTGACTATTGAATTTCAATGCAGAGAGAGCGAAAACGTTACTGTTCGGGTAAAATTAATCACCAGTCGACGGCTCGACCACCCGAGTATTAGTCTCATAATGAACGGAGTATTATGTCCTATATCTTTTAAAGAGATTTCATATTATTTTATATAGACCTTATAGTAGTTTTCGTTACTTGTACATTGTACATTATTACATAGCGGCGTCAAGTAACATGTTTTCACACCCAGTGTTTCATATTACCAACTATTTATATAATATACTTACCCATTTTTATACAACCTACTGTTAGTAAGAACTAGTTTAACACATGTCGTATACAGGTTGATGAAAAAACAACTTTACACATGTTATAACCAATAGCGATTCTACTGCCCTACATTGTTACATAAGAATTTGACGTTGACATGCTTCCAGGTTATTGACGCGCCCCGCCCTCTTCTTTTGTCTGTTGCCCGATCAAGGCACCAAACCCAAGGCATTTAAAGGGACAATAACACTCTTGCTGGCTTGACAGCTCCAGAAAATAAAAAAAATAGCCTTATTCTAAGTACTAGATGTGTTAGTATCCTACCTGTTGTGTAAATTATCCATTAAATCCTATTTTACTTGCCCAGAGGGTTCATAAATATTTTTAAATCCAAGTCACATTTGAAAAGCTTTACGTCAGGCTTTTCAAATCATTTAGTTGAATTTTTCCAATTTTTTAAATTAGATGTGTTAAGATGAAATTTGTATCATCAATTAATTGGAATATTGTAAAATAGTACAATTTGTTGACCAGAATAAAGATTGGGACATATTATTCAGTTACAACAAGAGTGGTATTGGGCCTTTAATCGTTGTTCCACTGTCCTGCCACAATGTGGTATGTTTTATTGACAAAAAGCGAATACCATTAGGCTACTGAAATCCTCGCATAAACCATTGCTCTATTTCGTAACAAGGGATGTGGTGCTATTGCAGGGTATGAATACATTTCTAGAACACGTTACATCATTCATTAATTGTTTTAAAAGTCCACACAGCTATATTCAAATATATATATGATAGTATCCTACTTTAATTGGACGTGATGCTGAGAGATAATGAAATGCATCTGACAATATCAATTTACTCTGTCATTTTGACTTACCAATTACCATCTCGAGAATAATCCTCTCTAACCGTACTCCATTGCCTCTCCGATAAATACGGTCCCCATCGTTTCCAATTTTTAGTTCTGGACCGATCTTCTCTCAACCTTTTTTTCTCTACCACCATTTGGTAAAGTTACCGAGTTCTGCAGTTCATCTAAATACTATACTAGTATAAATATAAATACACACCTCCGATAACTATTCCATCAATACATGATTACGTACATAGCGGATATAAATACTACAGGGTCGGTCTACTATCGCAATAGGGATGACAGTTGGTATGGTAGAATTGGTGGCTGAAATATCTAGTCTACGCGAAAACAGTACTACATGAAAACAATGGCAAGCTTAATAAACACGATGTGTCAATATGTAAAATATATAACAGCTGTCTTCGATTTAACGGTTTGACCATGAACTTGTCCAAGGTCAGTTTTTTCCATGCATTTCTATTTGTAATAATATCTCAGGTCGTTCACTAAAGTGCTGAAAACATTTCATACTGACCGAAATCTATAAGCGCGTGAAGGGAATGCAGTCATTGCACGCACAACCGAAAGCTTACCCATGTAAATGGTATTCTATCGGAAGAATTCTGGTACGGCCGTAGACAGGGTTCACTACAAATACCCTTATTATATTATTCATGTGCAGACGTAATCATTATAGTAGAAATCGTAATTTTTAGTTTCCAGATTCGAAATGAAAGGAAATGTAATGGGGTTCAACGCTCTGCTCCGACTGGGCTAATGAAGACGGGTTCCAGATTAGAGTTCTTGGGCTTTTATGGTGTTGTTGTCTTATTTTAGTATACTTTGTGCATGGCAGGGGTTTTCCCTGGTAGGGAACCGGAGTGTCCGGAGTAAACCCCCTCGACACAAACTAGGTAATTTCGGTACTAACATGTGGTTCAATTTTATTTCAATAATTTCAATATGGATCTTTAGCTGTGCGAGGAAACCGGAGGACCCGAAGAAAACCCAAGAGGTTGGACAGGCGAACATAGCCTACTCCTTGTCACCTACAAGCGGGAAATCGAAACACGCCACTTGACCCAATGACAGGTCTTGTGATCTAGCGCGCACGCGTTAAACGATTCGGCCACCCAACTCCATGTAAACCCACAAGATTGAGTAGACGCTCCTATCTCTAAGTCACATTCTCTCACACCAGGGATCGACACCAAGAACGTAAGCCAAGTCGCTGCTCGAAGCTCGACGCTCCCAGAATCTACTGTGTTCGATCTTTCTCTGACTTCTCTTCCAAATTTACAACTGAACCTATCCTTAGCCAGTCGAGCACAATTTTTTTGTTTGGTTCTGATTGATTGCTAGCACTCGCCTGTCCCCTGAAAGTGGTCGTGCACCCACAACGTCCAACGAATCTGCTAAGTTTGATTTAGATTGATCTTATTCTTATTACGGGGCGTCCTGTAAAGAACGAACGTGGGTCGGTGCGAAAGTGATGAACGCGTAAGCTCCAGAAAGAAGTGGAGATGCCAAAAATTATTCCACCGTCCGGATGGGTCCGCTCTACTAATGGTCGTCCCCATGGAAAGCATCGACCCCATTCCCTATCATTGTCAGTCCCTGTTAAACCAAAACGGACTGTCACATATTCCCTTGTAAACAAAAAATAATGGCTTGGAGCTTGCCCCGTTACTAATCTAAAATAACATATCAGATGAAGACTATTTAATACTTTATTTCGACGTAAATGAAAGAGGTTATATGTGTATACTTTATTGTTTACTTTAGGTCTCACAGGTTTATTTAATGATAATGTCCATCATCACACCACAGTTTGTCCAACATGATGTAAGTATTGATAATCTTTGTGAATCTGTGCTGAATAGATATTTACGACTTTGTTGTTATTCAACCAACATTGAACTTTGTTTTGGAGTTAAATTAATGGCAACATTTGCTAAGGTTCTCACGAGTTTTCTTGACAATACTGTCCACTATCACCAACAGCAAGTTGGTTTAAGTTTTGATAATGTCGAAATCTGTCCTGAGAATACCATTAAGGTTTCGTTATTCAAATAGGATTTAGCTTTGTGTGAAGTTCTAATGAAAATATATGCTGATAAATTTACAGTCCGCATAAAGTCTGAATTTAGTAAATATTTTTTTTGTATTGCACCAATAAAATGTTGTTTTGGCGTTTTCTGTAACATTTAAAGCAAGCGATTTCTAATCTGCAACACTGCTTCCAACCACCGGACGTGACCACTCTGCTGAGCTCCTTCGTCGAACACGAAATACTTTAAAAGCCTTTTCTAGTGACTGATTTTGGAGATAAATGTTCATGGAATTTCTTTCGTTCACAACGCTGCTCTGTGATCGCATCGGTAGATGTCCGTTTTCAGTGTCACAAAACCGAGTGTCCTGCAGCCAGTGTTTACGTCGGCTACGAAACGTTTCAAAGGATTCTGTTAGATATTTATTGTTTAAAAGTGTTGAAACTTTGTTTAATTCAGAAATGCTGCATTTTAATTCTGACGATTTATGATTCAAGGTAGCATTTGCTTTGCATGTTTCGCTCGGCCACTCCTCAACTGAACTGCAACTATTTTGTTCTTGATTTTCTAACATAGAATGACTTCTTCGGACACGGAAAGCTTTAAATGAATCATTTAAGTGTTGATTTTCCAAAAGAATGGACACTGATGACAAATATCGAGATTGTGGACGTTGTCTACCTGAGTGCTCCACTGGAACAGCCTCCACATATTGTCGAGGCATTACGGAATAGGCAGTAACAAAATTATCCTTATTTGTTTCTTGTTGCTTGGTCCTGGGTATTACTAATGATGTTGTGATTTTACCGTTGACTGACATTAGTTACAACTGAAGATCTATCTGAAAATAGAAAATGATTTAAAAACAAAAATGAAAATTAAATGAAAAATGTGGTTTCTGCTTTTCTGCGCTACGACCTACTTTTATATCGAATTCCAACCGTCGAGGGTTCTTTAACGAGCACGCCAGTGGGTACACGGGACCTCGGTATTTCGTCCTATCCGAGCGAATTAAAAAAAAATAAATAGGGTGGCATACTGTCATATACAGAAACGTAATATGTATGACGGTATTCAAAATTCTAAATTTGTTAGTGTTTCTATATTCTGGTTAGCACGTGCGCGCTGTATGATAAGGTCTGTCATTGAGTCAACTGGCGTGGTTTCTATTCCTCGGTTGTACGTGATAAGGAGTCACTTGTCCAACCTAGTGGATTTTCTCCGGGTCCTCCGGTTTCCTTCCACTGCTAAAGACGCATACTCACAAGCGAATTATTGAAATAAAATTAAACCACGTGTTAGTCCAGAAATGACCTAGTTTGTGTCGAGTGGACGTTAAACCCCATTTCTCTCTCTCTATCTCTTTCTCTGAACAGGCGGGTTGTAATAACTAAAATTATAGATTGCAATGACGACTGTCCTTGTAAATCTACCAAACAAATTAGTTCATACAGGAGATATCTAAAATCTAACCAATAAACATCTCTTTAAAGGTATTTATGGGCCCGTATTCGGAAAGACCGACTCTCATATTCGACGGAAAAATCGAAATTTAAATTTCAATCAGTTTTAAAGGATTTAAATTTTAGTGAATAAAGGCTATTTTAAAACAACCATAAGAGAAAGAAAAAAACAACTCACCTCTGTTTAAGTCCAATAGCTAGTTTTAACTGAAGTCAATAAATATATAATATTACATAGTTAATATACAGGATGTTTAACTACTTCCACAGCTCTTTTAGATTATACGTATTTATAAGTACAGGGTAACAGTAACTTAATTAAAATAAAATATTTCCTGTTTTAAACAAATACTAGAATCACGTTAATTATATACATATTATGAGGCACCATGAGAAAATCTTAAAACGTTTTAGATATCTTTGTACCGATTGACATGCATACCAAATTTAAGTAATTGTTACGTATGAAATGAAATTGGGTTTAACGTCCTACTTTTCTGCACCGACTGGGATAATGAAGAAGTGGATATGCCATACCGTTTGCTAGGAGGGAAATTTTGCCCGGACAGTGGCGCTGCCAGGGGCTCTTTTACGTGCACGCCAACAGGGACACATGGCCTAGGTTTTTCGTTCCATTCGAAAAACTAGACGCTGTATTTGTCAGAACCTTCGTCTTGCACCACTGACAAGGGGAAATCACGCTGGGAAATCCCGGTGAACTTTCCCGGCCAAAACTGGGGGACTTAACCCACTGAGCCACCACGGCTCCGAATTGTCAGGTATGAAGTTGTCAAGTATCAAACTTGGGGATGCTCAGGGCCAACAACTCACGGGTCCCGAAGATTTAAAAGAAATTTACTATCGACATCCTATCAGATTTATATTTCATTTTCGGTTGGGACTTTCACTGCCCATTTTTCTTTTTTGGGTGTGGATGTTTGACATCATCTTTCGCATTAATTATGCTGGCGTAGAGAAACAAATGGTCATTGGGGCAGTGTCGTTTTCTCCGCACAGAAATATAGGCCAGGGCATATAAAGGCAACTGCCCAGAGCCCGTTTGGTAACTACGGTATGTAAAATCAATTAGAATTGTTATCAGGTTAAAACAATGGCATCTCCAGGATTTTGGAGGGGGTGTATTAAATTTTCAGATAATACTGTTGAACTATCGAGCGTAGCGAGGCCAAACACAATTAAGGCCTAAATTCAGCATTTCGGCCTACTCGTCATCGTATTCCAAAACAGCCAAGGGTTCTTTTACCCAACAACGTGTTCATGGGATCTAGGTAATCCGTCCAATCCGTAACACTAGAGGACACGGTTCCTTGCTGGGCACACCGTCATGCACCACCCATAAAGGAAACCAATCAGACTGAAAATCACGAGGAACTTTCTAGGCCAAGTGGCCAACACCGGGGTTGAACAAGGGACCCACTGTTTAGTGAGACAGGGCCTTACTGAGTCACTAGTGTTCCAATATCCAAGAGATTGGACACTCAAATGTGTTTTGGGCCGTTATAGCTTTCAATCATGAAAATCAAACTCATTTGATATCGGCATACTCCTTGCAGTGTTTTGATTAGACTGAGGATTTTTCGGGTCGTTGCTTCAGGAATATGGGTAGTGTGGGGGGGGGGGGGCTTGGAAGTAATCTACGCTGGTAAAGAATGATCAGATCCATTTTAGACCTACAGCCTCATAACTAAATACATGTATTCAAGTCATGATATTTCACATTGATTCAATATTTTATTACATTTATTTATAGACAAATAGCATGTATTATAGTATATACAATGATTTATATCTAGTGTGATATACAACTAGCACTTTTAATATTGAAAATATTATCTACATGATTATACATGAAGAGTGAATAGCTTGATGAAGTCAGGTGATTTAACATCAGCTTCATGTTTATACTTGTAAAATGGAATGAAGTACTACTGAAGGATATGAAAATGGCCTCTTAGAGTAATTTTATTTTGAAGAGAAAAGCTTTACAACAAACTTAAATTTAATGGAGGGGCATACAGGATGTACGAGTAGGTCATACCTGGGGTTACATACAAATATACATGTATAAAATCTTTCAATTCATTTTTATTATTTTATTAATCTAGCAGTTTGTTCAAGGTTTTAATTTTCTTTGATTAATTTTATTACAAATACATTGTTTTCTAGGGCATTCATTTCAGTCACTCAATTTGCAGGTCTTCCATATATCAGTTTTTTAAAGTTTATTTTAATTATCTTTGAGATAAAGTCTAGCCTGTATTTCTTACTAAAGGTTCTCGCTTTTACTATACCTTTATAAACACAAGTCCTCTACAACAAAGCCAATATGGAGTATCTAGCAATTTTATATTCAGCCACTTTTACATGAAATCGGTTGAAAAATCTATGTTATTATAAAATGTACAGTCACCCACTCCTACTTTGATTTCTAACCGTGTCCAGTATTTCTTGACTTTAACTTCAAAATATTTTGTGTTAATAAAATCACGGAAATTATTTCAAGTGCGGTTACAGCCGAGTTAAAGAAAGAAAGAAATAACACAACAAGGCCAACCCAGTTTGAAATTTTTGTTCTATAGGAATATCTATTAAAATTTTGCTTACACTTTCCAGGGGGATTAAAATATTATTTACAAACAAAAGATATTTGGTTGTGCTTCTTGAGTTCAAATTTATAAGTTTTGTAACTATAAACTTCAAGAGAACTGAGACCTATTTATCAAGAACTTGAAGAACTCAAAATTAAAAAGTTTTGGCCTTAGTGTTATGTGAAAGTAGGGTATGGTGGTGTTAAGTGTTTAAGGAAAAGAATAAATCCAGAACATAAATTAATATAGACTTAAGTAATACTTGTACACTTGACAAAAGAAAATTTGTTTGATCTTGATATAAATGAAGAGAGGATACATAACCTTTCATGAAAATGGATGATCATAAAATATAAATCGGAATATCTGAATAAAACATTCTTTTAGATAAAAATCAAAATATTTCTTCTCCCAAATAAAGTATAGATCAATCTTCATGTGATCTTATTTTAGTACGTTTTATGTACAAATTGCATTTTCTGGCATTGCTGTTGTTTTCTCGCTATTACTCATAATAAAGATGTCATAATGATAAAATATAAGACAAGTCAGGCCTAAGAATTCAGTGATTTCACAAGAATCTTCTATAATTCACCTTTTAAAGGAAATGTGCAGAAAATTACATGTAATTCAAAGTGAATTTGCAGAGTTTATCTACTAATGTCCAACAAATTGTTGAAAATTTGGCTAAAATGTTGCAAGAATCTCCAATGATTCAAATGATATAGAAAGAGTTTTCTATTCCTCAAGTTCATGAGACAATATTGATTGAAATCTTTGATCAGGTTTTCTATTCCTCAACTTCATCACAAGGGTCATCTTAAAGGAGGAAATATAGATATTTTTGAGCTAAAGGATTCATATGTTTATGTACTGCAAAAATCTGCATGCAAATAAGATTTTGAGATCTAGTGAATTTCTAGGCCGTATAGATAACTACTTATATACATTATGTACAAAATCAACAATTTCTCATTAAGCGTACATATCTTCGCGATCAGCACCAATTGTTTCTGCATCTTCCATTGTACTGAAGTTTAAGAAATGAGACGGTCGATGAACCTCATGGTAAAATTCTTTAGGATTTGACAACTGGAGTTCATATCTCATGTTGGGGTCATGTCGTACACCTGTATAATAAGAGAAAAATTTAATATATAAATTTCAGTAAAATACAAATTAAAATAATTATTTAGGATCAGAATTTTTAACAATCTGATTAAAATACAGATCTATTTTTGCGTTTCGTTTTTTACACTTTCGATGGCATACACTACATTTATAATTATATTGGGATTACACTTATCTTTCTATGATAGATACCCCAAATAAAATGAAATTGTGTTTTACATCCTTACATTTTCTGAACCAACCTGGCTAATGAACACGATCAAAGCCATACAGTGTGCTATTAGAAAATTTTGCAAAGGCAGCAGCGGTTCTTTGTACTCTTCATCGAATTTAAACTATCAAGAGTTCTTTTGTGTGCATGCCAATGAGTACACAGGCCAACCTTAGTTTTTCAACCCATACTTGAATTTTTTTATTGCATAATGCATTATGAAACCACAATCCTTCTTAAACTCTTAACAATGATATGAATGAACTTACCCATAAAGTTATAATTCCAGGAACAAGTGGACGGCACCATGAAGAAACCGAGGAATCGATCAGATAATAACATCTGTACCCGTTCATAATGTGAGGGTAAATAACCTTTGGGATTATTACCCGTATCTTTATTCTGTCGACCCCATTCAAAACCTGTTGGAGTTAATTTATAGGCTGTCAGAGAACACGAACCTGGTGTAAAACTGAAAGTAGAAATACAAATTATAACAATAATACTAACTATAATGGTGGATGACTATTTACTGAGCAGAGTCAATGAGAATTTTTTTCGAGAATTGAAAACATTCCTAGGCTAGGCATTTTGCTAGTAAAATTGAAATGACTTTCTATTGATAAAAATAACAAATTAACCATAACACAATATGCTAATTATGAACAGTATGGAAGAAAAAGAGCAGCTAACAGAAATACTGATTGCCAACATGTAATATAGGTTTATTCAGTGCTGGTATTTGATATAAAACTTACCTGCATGTAATAATAACCGTTTTTTCACCATCCCATGCTGTGTTATCAGCCATAACTTTGGCATGTGTTGTAATATCTTGAGGTGAAAGCTGGGGTAATTCATTAGGCTGTGTATGTAACCATCCTAACGGCTCCATTTCCTACAACAAATACCAAAACAAATATGTTATAAACAAAATTACTAAATCCCAAACTACTACTTTAAAGCACAAAAGTAGGATGTTAGATCCCATTTAGTAGAGCTTACAATAAGACAGAGCAGTTAAGTGATATTTTTTTCAGAAACAGACATTTGAGAACAGAATTCTTAGTGATCATTTTATATAGAGATTCTTACTTTAAGATATTCATGATCAGGTAGTATATTAGGTAAATGAACTGTTTGATGTGTTCCCCATTGTGGTGGTAAAACAATACATCGGATTTCTTTTACTTGTGGATTATCAGGTGGACTATATCCATATAAATAACCAGCAATCTAAAATATTCAATATAACATATCAATAACCAGCAATCTAAATATATTTAATATAACATATAACCAGCAATCTAAAATATTCAATAAAACATATACGTAATTAGCAATCTAAAGTATTTAATATAACATATAAATATTCAATAAAACATATACGTAACCAGCAATCTAAAATATTTAATACAACATATAAATAACTAGCAATCTAAAATATTTAATATAACATATAAATCATCAGCAATCTGGAATAATTGTTCATTAGGATTTAGAAAATCTGACATTTTACAAGATGGTTTTATAGTGTTCAGATTTCAACTATTTTGCATGAATCTTCAAGGAGTCAGAGATTTAGTTCTGCAAGACTGACCACATAAATCTCTATGCATCTGTTCACAAATAGCAATTTTCTACTGTCAGTTTACTATTCAAAACAATAGAATTAGAGCAATAATTTGTAGAAAATCAATGATTATGAAAATGGTATTTACTTTAAATTATATATATGTAAAGAATCTAACCTGTGCTCTTAAATCAGAAATAATGATGAATTTTTTCAGGATATTTTTGGGTAGAATGTACGTGTAGCCAGTTTCTTTTATGTCATCTGAGGAAACGTAGATGTGATTTGTACGTAAATGTAAATTAGTAGCAGATATAGCTCGAACACGCCATTCTGTTTTGGAGGAGAAAGTCGATGTCTCGTAATTACTGGTTGTTGATGTGATAATCTCGTCACCATGTTTATTGACTGTACGAGTTGTAGTAGCAGTCAACTGTGATTGTTCTTTTGTCTGTTTCTCGATCTCGGCAATCTGTTGTCTCTGTGCTGATGGTGCCGAGATCTCCATACCCAGAATAATATCTCGAATCTCAGACTGAGTCAAAGAGGCAATATTAACGCTGAAAGTAAAATAAACATATAAATAAAATAACCACAGGCCATTAATTCTCATATAAATATATTCAAAGACAAATTGAAGACCCCACTAGATATCAATTAGACAATTTAAATAATAAAACATCCATTTAATTTAGATATTACCACTGATAACCACAATCAAATTTAGACAAAATCTGTAAAAAAAAGTCCCTAATAATATGGTATACTTTAATATGCACAAAGAAAAGTTGACATTAGATAGTAAGTGGTCTTACTATAATCAGAGAGAGAGAGAGATGGGGTTTAAAATCCACTCGACACAAACTAGGTCATTTCAGGACTAACACATAGTTCAATTTTAATTCAATCATTTGCTTGTGCGTAGGGGTCTTTAACAGTGAGAGGAAACTGGAGGACCCAGAGAACACCAACAAGGTTGGACAGGCGACCCTACTCCTTGTCACATACAACCGGGGAATCGAAACCCCGCTAGTTGACTTAATGACAAACTGTATGATACAGCGTGTGCGTGCTAACCATTCGGCCATCCAACCCCCCTTGTTATAATCAAGGGATCTGAAAAACAACCCTTTAAGTAACACTTACTTATTCTTTTTGCCATAATCTGCTAAGATAAGATCTTTGAGTTGAACCTCAAGTTTCATCCATTCTTCATCAGTAAGTGTAGGCCAAATATGATGAGCTTCTGTTATAGTTGTTTTATCAGGTTTTAATATTATCTTAGTTCTATCATTATTTACATGTAAAGCTCGTAATATTAAAATTAAACGAGAGAAAGCCTGAAATAAACATTGAAATTAAATAAATAATTAATTGTACTGGAGTGAAATGTTTGTCCAGGCATTACAAAATTCAATTTTAAGGCTTATATATGGTATACAATTCAGTATAAATAACCAATATCTGCATTGTTTGGTGTTTCTACAGACTGAATATCTATAACCATTATATTTTCCATATATCTTTATTTTTGAATAAAGATAATTCAAGTGGTGAATATAACTTACTGTATACGAGGAGATAGTTTTCAGCCAATCATCATAGAGATTAAATAATACCATCTGTGGTTCTGTAGCTTTCAATATAAGATCACCAAATTTCTCTACCTGTGTAACACAAATACATCAATCATTTAATTCATCAGTTATAAAATGAACAAGTACTAAAATTTAGTCTTGAAAACAGCATTTTCTCCTACTCATTGCATTTAAGTTGCTAGTTAGTAAAGAGTTTAGTACTTAATTTGAGCAAAAAGGCACTTCAATCTATCGGTCCAATAGCCTAGCCAAGATGGAGCAAAGGGGTGTGGCACTATTGGTCTACTACGGCACAAACTCTACCTATGCTACGGCCACTAAAATACAAACTACCTAAATATCCTTTGCATTTGGTTATTGAACCGATCTTTTGTATTTCTTGCTAAAAATAGTTTGAGGTGCCATTTTATACCTGTAAATTCTATGTTATCTTACCTTTAAACAAGCTTGGAATGGCAACTGTAATTCACTTCCTTTGATGACAATGTTGGGGAAATCAAGTAAATGTACCTATAACATAATAAAACACAAGTTGATGGAAATATATTGACAAATTTTTTTTTACAATCAAAATGTTCATTCCGGTTGGCAGTAATTCACATGTAAAGTGTAATTCACATAACTGTAACCTGCTAGAAATATTAGGAAAATTATCAAATGACCTTTAAAATTGAGAGCCTATGTTATTATGTTCCCTATGATTGTTAGCATTAAAGAGACAGAAGTGTTACCTCAAGAGGATCCAACATGCCCTTTCTAGTTACAATAATCTGTTTAGGTTGTTCTTCTACAGGTAAAGATCTAATTAAAGCAGCTACTTCTTCAGCTGTCTTCCATTTAGCCAACTGTAAGAAAAAAAAAAGTAAAATATAAATTAATTGGTTACAAATAAATATAAATTAGGATCTAGAAACGTACAGAATGTATTATTCTGGCTTGTGTTTCTTTAAGCTGCAGAACATGTGATTGCCAATTCAACACTTTCAACTATGAAGAAATCGTAGGAATGTTGGGTGGCAAGGCATGCTCTAACTAAATAATTAATCACCACCACCAATATATGCTTGATTTTTTCATGCGTCTACTCACAGCACTTCTGTTATTAGGAACTAAAAAAAGCCTTGATAGAACTCAATTCTGTGTCATATAATTGTATTTTTTCAACTAAGCTAGCTTGATCAATTGTAGGTCACTTAATTGTATTTTTTCAATTAGGCCAGCTTGAACAATTGTGTGATTTATGTATATAATTACGTACCTGACCAAGACGTTTTTGTCCAGCCCATACAGATGTATGGATAATCTTTAAGAAAAGTTGACCAGTTCTAGGATTGAATATGAAAATAGCTCCATTGATAGGCTTGGTTGTCAAGTTACCTTCAAATGTCTGTAATAAAGAATATATTAAAATATATTATATTCAAGTAATATTAAATAAGAGATTGTACGATATACAACCATTAAAATCTGAGTGAATATAAAATTGTATATAAAGATTTTATTACCGTAACAGCAACAAGTGAAAAGATTTCATGAAATCTGCCTTTTCATTGGTCAAGAGCTAAAATTTGTACTTCGATTTGAACTCTCATCCAATGAAATGGTTGAATCCTTTAAATTGGAATAATATCACAAAATATTTTCAGAATGCAAAATATTTTTACCAAACACATTGCAATCAGCGATAACCTTGTCAAATTTTCTTGAAACTGGGTGTATATAATAACAAAGACATTCGCTTGGTCTATTGGCATATAACAGATAAATAAAGTATAATATTCATAGATTACCTTATGTATTGTTACTCTGTAGACATTAGTATCATCAACAAACCAAATAATCTGATTAGAGAAGAGTTCACCATAATTCTGAGAACTAAGATAAGGTTCAGTAGGTTCTGATGAGTAGAGTTGTAGACCCTTTCTAATACGTTCACGTAATACATACAGGGCAGGATTAGCTTTCATTATCTTAGCCATACCTGATTGTATTAAAGGTTTTGATCCAGGGAACCAATTACCATAAGCACTGAAAACAAAATATCAACAGCACTATGAAAACTATCTATCAATATAGAAGGTTCAGTGGTATTACTTGATCATAAGTGTTGTGGTTTCAATCCCTGGCTTGTACCTGACAAGGAGATAAGGAGTAGAGTTACCTAAGGAATTGGATAGCCTGACTGACTTCGCAAGCCCTCTCTCACTAAGAGGTAAAGGTATAATAATAACAGAGATTTTAATAAATTGGAGAATATATTATTATTTCTAGATACATATTCAAAGTTTAAGGGTACAGGTCCACAGATAGCTTACTATAGTAATTTATACCAACATTCAGTTATCATACGATTTATAGTGTCAGCATTAATACCAAAAGTTCACAGTTATCATAAAGATGTTGTGTATAGGGGTTCTACTGCAAAATTAGGTGTACTCAGGAAATCCCTAAATCATTGGTAAAATTCAAGTCCTAGAGTTTTAGTAATAGATTAAAACGACTCAATATCTCCAATATGTGATAGAATAAATAAATATATCTTACCTATGAAGACTGTAAGCTAGATCTAGAGCAATGAGTAGTCCAGTTGGTGAAGGATATATACTCATGTTATCTGTTGTATAATCTAAGAACTTGGCTCTAGCATATCTCTCTATATCATGTGAATCATAATCACCCCATCGTAACTGTACATCTATCCAATATTTCTGTGTTGTAGCACCATCCATTACATCTCTACAAGACATTATATACATAAATATTAACAAAACATTATAACACTTAGGAAATTTTTTTCCAGCAATTACAACAAATAAGATCATCATATGCACAGCGAAAATTTACCTTTTCCAATTGTGAATTTTCCAATCATTACTAAATTGCCAACATTAAATGCAGGTAATGTCTATCATAGAGGCAAATTTCTATACAAACTACTCTATTTCTAATTACAAAATATATTTAGCCCGTTAGATGTCCACATGGATGACGTTAGATCTTGGTACGATAATTAAAGTTTTAGAACTTACTTAGAATCAGCCAGTAGAGATGATTTTGAGACATTCCATTTATAAGCAGCAAAGAGAAGTATATCAGCACAAGAACTGTTCATTTTATACGATTTTCTAGGATGAATTGTTTCTTTCTGTACTGTTTCTATCTCTAAAGCATCTAATTCTTGATCAAATACCTACAATAAAATTTTAAAATTCAGAATATGACTATAAAATTACATAATACAGGTTAGCATCTCCTTCAATTCAAAAAAGTTGGATTTAGACCAAATTAAATTTATTCAAATGCACAAAATTTAACGAAACTAAGCATGGCACACATACACAGCCCTAAAATAAATTTGTTAATATTGTTTTGTACAATATGGTACATACCTGACATAAATCCATGACAACACTTTCATGGATCTTCTGCCATAAATGAGCTCGGAATATTTGAATCAAGGAAATCTTGAGTGTTGGTATTTTACCATGCATGAAAATACCTGTTAAATCTAACTGTACCTGGAAACCTACATATACCTGAAATACAACAATCAATAATTAGCTAATAAATTATTATATTCATGACAATAAAAAAACAATCTGTAATATAATCAAAGAGAGAAATGTTTTGATTGTTTTTAATACAACTGAACAATGTAAAAATACTTACATTAGCTCTGTTTATAGTAGGTGACCACCATAGAGTAAATCTTCTATTAGGAATTTGATTTAAACCTGATCTCTGGGCATTAGTCAACTTCTTATATTTCATTGATTCTTCAAAACCACTAGCCTTTTCCCTGTAGTATACAATATTGAAATAAAATATAATTACATGATATTTCTGCAGCAAGAAACAAAAACATTTTGTTTGAGCAGAATATAATGTGTGACACTAAATAATTTATCAATTGGCACTGACTGATGGGGGAAAAAGATTAGCTTCGCACAAAATAAAATAATAACGACTGATACGCAATATAAAATTTAATGAGCTAGATAATGAGCTAGATTTAATGAGCTATGTTACAAGTAATGAAATGAAATGGGGTTTAATTAACATCCTACATTTCTGCAATAATCTGGTTTATGAAGATGAACATACATGTATGCTATGCAGTATATTGGGAGTGAAAACAATGTTATATGTTAATTTACTCACCAGAAGAGACCTTCCCATGTTGGGAAATACGTTCCTTTAAACAATGTATGTTCTAGAATACCCTCCACACCACCAAGAGCTTGTATCATATCTGTTCTATAGTTGTTTAAATTCCATAGTTTACCATCATGGCGTTGATGTGTCCACCAGAATGGATTCTGTTTTAATACTTGATATTGTTTAAAATCTGTTCGTACACGCCAACCCTTGTCGTAAGCCAGTGTGTGCCTGTCTTTCTGAAACAGTGTGTTGATACGTGGTATACCCCGATCCCAACTGTCTTCAAGATCTTCTAATGTTAAACGTCTGAAAAAAATATATCATACATACATCAGATATCAGAAATAGAAAAATAGACCACATCTCTTTAAAGTGTGTTACTTAACTTTCAGGGTAATCTATATATCATAGATAAATTATCATTCAGTATTACAAATATTTTATACAAAGTTTAAGCTTTTTTTTGAATAGATATATTTTTAGATCACGCCATGCAATGTCCAAATATAAGGACACAGCATAACCCTTTATCAGGGAAATAATTAATCTATACCGGAATTAATGATGTCTGCTAATAAATGTAAAAAATGAGTGGTAGTGATTTCCAGTGCTCTTGCCAAAAGTTCTGTTTACGTGGATCTCCAAGGAAGATTAATTCACTAACCTATTATGAAATTTTAAAAGTTAATTTACTTATCATGCATAAAGCTTGTTTCAAAATATAGAACCTACCTGTTTTGAGCATTGGCTTCTTGTCTCTTCAAGGCATACTCTGCCCACACTCTCTGAGAATCAATGAACTCACTCTCCCAAGGCATCACATATCTATACAAGTTAGGAATCAATTGATCTTCATCATGACTCATACCAGAACGGAAGTGAGTAATACCCACATCAGTTTGTTTCGACCATCGTAAATCCGACTGTGGAATCAAAACGTGTCCCATTGACAACATTCCTAAACCTCCCAATTCTTTTGGTGTATAGAATACGACTGGAGGAAATCGACTAGGCATTTTAGAGTTTAAGCCAATCTTAATACGAGTTTGTATTTTATTTTCACACTTCACTAACAAGTCCAATAACTCTTGTGTGTTGACGACAGCTTCACGGAAATAGGTCATTAAACCAATCAATGCTGTGTTCCATTTATTTACAATCTGCAAATAAAACCATTACAATATAACTTATCTGAAATCAAAAGTATATGACAGAATAAAACAAGCTCCTTCCAAACTTAGTAATGTTGGTAAATATGGTATTTGGTTTCTGAATTAAATTATTTGTGCAGGTGGAGATATTCTCACCTAGTTCATCTGCTAAATAATCTGTAACGTACACCAAAATTTTTTAATGACTTCCACACAACTAGATAAAATTTCCTTGCTGGTCTTGCCAATGTCCCCTTTTAGTATAATGTTAGAATCTGGCTTTGCAGCCCAGATAAAGGACTGCAGTATACTAATTGTAATATATAACTGTGTAAATTTCAACTTACCTTTGTGAATGTGGTAGAACCGGAGGCCATGAGAATTTGTCGAACCCGATTGTGGAATTTACCCATAGAATCATCGTCAACTCGTAGAAAACATTGAGCTGTTCTTTCTTTTGTTACCTGTAAAACAATCATCATTGTTACAAAAACATTCTTGAAACAATACAAGGAATAAACAACATTATTAATCAAATGTGATTGACATTATTTCAATTGTACATGAGTAATGGACTTGATGTAAGAGCATCCGTTTCATAGTTTGTGTTCTTTGTGGCAAATATCTGGGTTATTATTGCTGTGTACAAAGTTCACACTGAAGAATATTGTTTCCATGACAATCTAAAACAATTAACAATAGGTGTTTATTTGGAGATATTTCTTAAAGGCAAGCGAAGTGTTATGTTTTATTCTGTTACTATCCTTACCTCATTCTGTAGATTCCAAACTCCATCTTTATGTGTAAATTCTTCATGTGTTGTTCGTAATTTGGGTAAAATACGACACTCAAATCCACACATATTAAATAACAGATTAGGATTATCTTTACTATAGACAGACACAAAACTATTTTCCCATTGGATAGTTGTTACTGATCTAGGCAGACGGTTCTTAATATCCCAGAATACAGCTCTTCCCCTGTAAAATATACAATAAATGATAATCAAACATTTGAAAAATATTGCCTGTTTTACTCAGTAATAAATGATCACTTGCTAAACAAACTACACCCTTCTATCAATACATCCTTATATTACAGCATCAACATAGTGGAATTTTAAGAATCATGTACAGTTGTTATCCACAACAAGAAATGAAATGAAATGGGGTTTAACGTCCTACTGTTCTGCTCCTATACTGGGTTTTTCGTCTCATCCGAAGGACTAGACAGCTGTCCTTGCTAGGCCCTCTGTCCTGCATCACTGACAAGGGCCACAACAAGAAGACAACCAGATTCAATATATATGAAGGTCAGAATGGACTGAGGAATGTGTCGTCCCAACAATACTTCGGTCATTTTAAAGATATACGTGTGGTTTCTTTGTTTATGTGCACAATGCGTGGCAGGAAAATATTGCAGAACAGTTGTGTTTCTTTTGTGTGCATAGCAATGTGTGCATGGGTGGGCCTTGGTTTTCACCCTTATCTGACGGACTTGACACACTGTCCTTGTTGGAATCGCAGGGATGATTTGACTTGATGGATCTTCTCGTCCCTGAATACTTCACTACCACCCACCACCAAAAATTATAAGTAAAATACAATATTTTTGAGAACTTACAGATTAACATCATGTTTCATTAATCTCATCCTGGAATCTCTTGGCCAACATTTCTTATTGTTATAACCTACAATATTCTCATTATTAGGATCAGGATGTTCAGTTAAATATCTCTGTATCAAATCACGAGCCTCTTCTGCAGAAAATCTGTAACATACAAAAAAACATATGAAAACTAACTAGTATTTGGATTGACATTTATACAACCAAAGCTTTGTCACAACTTTCAATTAGTTGAGTCCATATTCTCTAGTTAACAAAATCAAAATGGTTTATTTTCTTTATTCTGATATGATATTGATATTATTTATATGTCCCAATTTATTTTTATGGCGCTGTAGTTCTATTTAATTTTGTTATACAATCATAAATGTTTAAGAAAACAAAAATAAAAAAACAACATATATATCTGCTAAATCGTCTGCACACTGAAAATGGTAAATTCTTGTTCACCTATATTATCAAACTATTCAGAGAGAGAGAGAGAGAGAGAGAGAGAGAGAGAGAGAGAGAGAGAGAGAGGTTTAATGCCCACTTAACACAAATTAGGTCATTTCGGGACTAACATATGGTTCAATTTCATTTCAATAATTCGTTTGCACGAAGGGGTCTTTAGCAGTGGGAGGAAACCGTTGGACCCGGAGAAAACCCACAAGGTTGGCCAGGCGATCCTACTCCTTGTCACGTACAACCGAGTAATCGAAACCACGCCAGTTGACTCAATGACAGACCTTATGATACAGCGTGCATATGCTAACCATTCGGCCATCCAACCCCCTCAAACTATCGATCACATTACAATAAAATACCTGTCCTGTATATGAATATGGTCAAGTGTGAAATAAGTGTTTATAAAAATATAACTAGTTTTATTACCTGAAGAATATGTGTATTTTATCAATATAACGAGAATAAAGTCGAATAGGATGAGATGTCTCTGTAGCCACATCTTGAAATGTAAGGAACTCATTCGGCATCTGTGGTGGACCAGCCATTTCACTACCTCTGTGTAAACCTAGCACTAAGAGATCTAATACCAGACCATAGAACTGTACGATGAAGGATGAAAACTGTAGACCACGGATTATACCATATGAGTTGGTGTGGTTCATGTCCTGAAAGCATTAAATAATCATTTATAAACTTACAGTTTAGATATAATGGATGGGTTTAACGTCTCTGGTTGATTTGAGACTAACATATGGTAATTTTTATTTCTGTGCAATGCGATAATGTTCTGTTTAATCTCATTCTATTTCCAACTGTCAAGATTTTCTGCCCTATCCGAATGACTAGGGACATTCTAATCAAAAAATCAAGAGCCCTGACTATTTGAATGAATATATGCCCCCCCCCCACCTACTAACTTTTTGTTCAATGACTGTAAATAGTAAATTCTTACCTTATAGTTGATAACTACGTTGTTTTTAGCTGTCATATAATCAGCTATATTATGATCTACTATAAGACGTAACAATCTGTTTAATAATGTTAAATCTATTTTCTCGTACATCTTCTCATAACGTGATTCTAACATGACATTACATTCACCTTCTGATGTATCCCATACATCCTGTAAATTGTTAATACCTGTAATAGAACAACAGATTTTTTAATATTTAAATGTAGCAAATCATCAATCAAATTCTAATGATCATTTTTTAGATAATATTTTGCTTCTTTTTATTTTTAAAGATTTTGAAAATTTGTGAACTTTTAATCAATATTGTCCTTCATATTTGTTATAAGTTTTCGAATGTCAGTTAATTTCATTGAATAAATATATTAACATACAGGAGATGAAAGCTGATCAAATACCATAGTTTTAACTGACACTGCATAACAAATATTGAACAATCTGTTTAAATATCTTAGAAAATGTATTTGGATACAAATATTCAATTATTTGTGTGGACAATTTTTCAAGCGATTTAGAGCGTGGAAAGTGAAAAGCACAATAGCAGAATTACTAGTCAACAATGGGGTTTAATCTTACTTGAATCACTATACTTAATAACTAGCCGTGCATTTTTCAAACATGTTATTAAAGTTCTACTAAAATTGGATATCTTTTAACTTGATCCAGATAACTATTTGTATTCGATTGTAAAAATGACATTTTGATATTGATCAATGAAACTAGTTATAATGTGCAGAAAAGTTTATTATCTTTACCTTGACACCATTTATAAGTGAGAAGTGGTGGAGGTTCGGAATCTGATGGTTTAATCCAGGATGGGAATAGACGTCTTTTATCAGCTTCATACCATAAATATTGATCTAGATAGGCATCAGTTATCTTCTCTAATGGTTCAACATCATATACTGGTATCAAATGACTGTATAGATCCATAAACTCTATACCAGCCTATATAATACAAAATAATTACTGTCAAAATATTTTATTATTAAGGATACATTATGTAAGATTTAGATAAAGAGCTGACCATTCTTGCTGTAATAGCTCAAAAAAGATAGTGTAAAATGAAAATATTGAAAATTTCATTCAAATTACTTCATTCTGAGCCAAGTTCGTGCTGTTTGTAGTTTGGACAAAATGTGTGCATTTTGGTAACCAGGGCACTGGTATATTCAGACTTAGTCACACTTTCCCATTTTTAAATTAAACTTTTAAATGGTGAACCGTTCTAATCTAGTTAAAACCTTGAGTATCCAATGCCATCAAGAGTTGATTATGGTCTTGTTTTGTTAATAAATGTCTAATTAATAGTTTATATAACATTTCAGGCCTAAAGAAAGAGCTGCAATAATAAGCAGATTTAGCTCTTACATGATGAATGTTTAATATTTTAAAATTATGAACAATTTTAATTAAAACTGAGTACAGATTCATGTAAATTGTAAAAGAGTTAAATTGTGGCACAAATGTTCTGGTCAATATTAAGAAACTATTTCTGTACATACCTCTTTGAAAGCTCTCTGTGTTAACAAATGACGTTTAATTCTAGATAAAGCTTCATGAGGATTATCATAAGCTTGTTCTATTAAACCTAACTCTTCTCTCTGTGACTGATTTAATCTACTCTTTACACTGTAATATATCAAAACTTACATTAATATACTAGATCAAATATACAACAGGGCTGGCCACGAATAAATTGATGGCGAGCAGATGACTGCTCACGCAAATTTAGGTTTGGGCGAGCAAGGCGAGCAATAAAAATTGCTCACGCAAAATGTTGTTTGCGTGAGCACACATTTTGCAACATTGTTTCAATTTAAAATCATAAGAAAATTGCTATTCCTGGCACAAAGTTTGCAGTAAACATGTGTGACCATCGCTTTCTGTTTTTGACAGTCATACGTACTCTTCTTTATTAAAACCAATTTCCGTATGGATTTCTTCACCCCACGAAATAAATGTGGATAGGGCAATCAGGTTGCCTTTGGCCATTATTACGCTTAGATTGAAAATTATACGACTGCACAATGGAATAAAAACCGAAGTTCTGATAAAATAGGAAATACCGATAAATATTAGTTTGAAACGTGTTCATTTAGCGTGAATGCCTAATGCCGGATGTAAACAATCTTTACTTTAGACTCGATTATCACGCGTTCGTTACTGGTGTTCGTAGGAAAACCAGTCATAACGTTCAGGTCTAAAGTGTATTTTTAGTAACAAGAGTGCTGAGTAACTTTTTAGCCAATCAAATTTAAGGAGGAAATGCCGCGTGCAGCTGGGTGAATCTCAGTTTGACAGACGAATTTATGAAGTTATTGACATTGTTGGTTTAGTTTCGGCAATAAACTTGTCAATATTTTGATTATTTTTACAGGGTTTTCTTAAAATTTTGCGCGAGCAACGAACCGCTCGCGTAAATGTAGATTTACGCGAGCACAGCGCGAGCGCGAGCAAGTGCTCGCGTCTCGTGGCAAGCCCTGTACAAAATTTCAATTAATGTCTGAAATGAAAATGAAATGGGGTTTAACGTCCCACTGTTCTGCTCCTAACCTGGGCTAATGAAGACTGGCATACGCCATACAGTGCGCTGTGAGGGAAATTTTGCCCAGGCAGCGGCGCTACGGCCTACTCTTATATCGAATTCCAACTGCCAAGGGATCTTTAACGTGCACGCCAATGTGTACACGGGACCTTGGTTTTTTGTCCAATCCAAACGACTAGACAGCTGTCCTTGTCAGGCCCTCCGTAATGTATTACTGACATGGGGAAACCACGCCGGAAAATCTGGATGAACTTTCTTGGCCAATGCAGGGATCGAACACCCGACCTCCAGGGTAGCAAGCCAGCGTCTTACCCACTTAGAAAAGTGGTACCCAATTAATGTCTGAAAGATTATAACCTGATGGTAAGGGTTGGAGGATATTTTGGGTTGACACCAGCTTCCATTCTAAGGTTGGTCACATTTTTTCATATAATATTTTCAACCAGCAAATGGTATATTTTAAAGATGACCCCGCCCACCTCAATACATCAATAATCAATTCTACCACAAATGAACATCGAATGAACCTTGTTTTGATAAACTGAATTTAACATACCTATAAGCTTCTTTCAATCTCTCTAGAGCCAAGATAAGTAGTTTTGTGTCGTGTTTATAAGACAGAGGAGGGAATGGTATAGGTGAAAATCTTCGACTTTCTAACCAATGTACCATGGTAGTATATATAGCTACAGCTTCTTCTGCTGTGATATACGGACCATCCTTTAAAAAAATATACATTTTATATCAAAATATTAAAATTCCAGTTTAACTGGTAACATTCAGTCCACAATTTTGCAAGTTTGTCAAATATTTGATGTATCATGTTTACCTCGGATTAGCAAGTTATTATTTTCTAATTCTTTAAAATTTGATATTTAAAGCATATAAAAGGACTGACAGGTAAGACTAGCAAATATGACTGAAACAACAGCATTTACGTATTCCAAACTGAGAATCGCAGATCAAAATCTTGGCAGGAGCTATACCAGTCACATATACAAACAACAGTTGGAATATGTACATTTAACGCTTGTCAATACTGTAAATATTACATAATGGGCCTACCTTCAAGTAATTATGTTGTCTTTCTTGTTCAGCTTTCAAGTAAAGACGAGTCAATCTACCTAGATTCTTCTTACATACAGTTTTATCAACCTGAAAGAAATAAATATAGTATATCATCACTCTCACATGAACCATAGGCACTAAATCAATAGTGATACTTTTTCATAATCTCTTGTAACAGTTGATTAAAAGTTGAAAATCTTGCAAATGTAGTTATAACATGTAAACAAAGCAACCATACTGAACACAATCTTAAAAGCTGATGATGGTCATTTGGGGTTTTTAAATCCTTTGCAAACAACACTATGGTGAAAGTTGGATCTCTAAAAGGGGTATCAGTCCAAGAATGATAAGATTCTGTTCAATTTTTACAAAGATGTCATGAATTGAAAATTTCGCAACATTTGTCATCTGCATATTATATAAAAACAAGCCAGCACAACCTATACATGTTGGGTTATTCTTTTTAAGCACATTTAATGTGGATTAAGCCAAGAAAAAATAGATATTGTCTGAAAAAGACCAAGTTTTTATCTTTGTATAATATATAGACTTACTGTGGCTCCTCGTCGAATTCTCTCTCTATTATAATGAGCTGTATTTGTCCACCAATCAGCTTTAGCTTTAACGTATCGGAGAATCATATTTTCAATTGGAGTGGGTAATCCAGGTACCTGAAATAGTCACAAAATAGGGAATATTAAATCACAATTTATATGGAAAACAATCACTGAGTTTATTTCACAATATGTTTCAACAAGTTCCTCTTGTCGTTCTCAAGTAAGATAGGGAATAATAACAATTGTGTTCCAAAAAAAGAATGTCTTTCATTTGTTACTTAAAATCATCAGTTGTACAACAAAATCCACAATTATCATGCAAATATTTAACAAATAATGTCACTTAAGTTTCCATAATTAATTATGTCAACTATTCTCAAGCTACAAATATCGACCAGATAAATCCATTTTTCAAACTGATAGAAAATAAGAATAAAACACAGCTATCTTAATCAGTGGATAGAATTTTCCATGGATTAATTAGTAAATTCTAGTAATGACAGAAAGAAAATGGGTCAAAATAAGAGAACTTTCTTTTTATGGTATATACTAATATAAACAATATCTATTTACCTTCCAGGGTATATTAGCTTTCCAACATCTCCATGATTCACTAAGATGTTGTAGAATAGTTCTAGCTTTATTCTGTTTAATACCTTCTGGCATCATATCTAATATATCATGCATAACCTACAAAATAATCACATACAAATTATACCTCATGGGTTATAACTCAATAGAACTAGATCATTTAGAGATTTAAAGGAGACTTTCTCTTTATCACATACAATCAAACCTTTGACTGATAAGACAACACAGCTCAACCTTATTGTCAAATACACATTCCCAATTTGTATAACTTGATACATAGCAAGACATTTAGCTGTCAAGACTTCTTTAATCTAAATAAAAAATCCTATAAATAAGTGTAGATATTAAAAGAGGAAATGATTAAAACTAAAACTTACAGCAGCTCTCAATTCTAAATCATAATGACTCTCTACCCTCTGTTTAGTTACAGTCTTAGCTACACCTTTAGAATGTCTTCCTTCAAACTGTCTTGAGAGAAGATTACCCAGCCATCTTTCTAACAGTGGTGTTATACCACGCATAAAGAATAACCAGACTCTCCAACCTGCGGCCCAAATACCACATCCTGGTCCTTTACCAACGGGACCCTGTAAAATATTAATCCAGTCATTAATAAGTAAAGGAGTTAACCTCTTTGAACTCTGATCTGTAGGGTGGTCATACAGATGCAAGACGAAGGTGATGACAACATAAAAATAAGAGAAATAGTCTTCAGGCTTAACCATGTTTAGATATTTAGATTCTTCAGAATTAAGCAATATTTCTTTGTTGTCGCTTTTCGCCGTACACAACACTGTTATCTTAACAACAAATAGACATCAGCTAATTTTAATTTGTACATTTTGTAAAATTACGAGTGTTCGTAGTAAATTCAGTGCCTATAATGTTTACAATAAATACAATATACTTACAGTGTTAAAACGGTAATATATAAGATGTTTGATATCTTTACACATTCTAATCTGTCTCATTAGTTTATATTTATATCTGTACATACCAGTTAACTGACCAACATGAGCAAATACATACTGTATACCATCTGCTAACTACAAATAGAAAACAATTTATCACTCATTATGTACAAACAGTAAAGGTTGAGTCTGCAGAATTATTTTTCTGATGCATCTAATAACTGCTCAGAAAGAACAAATATTTCATTATATACAAATTTACCACACTTCTCGAGCAACAATATTAAAAACAGATTATAATTGATAGCAGTTAGATTGAATGTTATAGATGCCATTGCAACACATGAGTCAATTATGTAATAAGTATTATCATTTACTAGAATTCTTTAAGGATTATTTTACTGTCAACAAACTAATGGTATACACAACTGGTCCAAAGTAATGTTTGAAGTAGCGTTCAAGATAACAGTAATTACCTGATAAGCATCCACATTACCCAGTCTATATTGTACATGTCCATCTATAACTAATTTAGTTAATCTCAATATTTCACGACACAGATGGAAAGCATTACCAAATCTAGATTTCTTTCTTTCCTGTAAAATATAAATTAATGTAACAGTTAAATTATATGGAACTTTCCTTTCTAATAAGAAAAGACTGTAAATAATGTTTCCTCAACAAAATATTTTAGTCATTATGAGACTATGGTATGGTAAACATTTCAATGGTTTCATTTTCAATACAAGGATGTGCAATTTACCCAGATTGCCAAGGTAGGTTTTTATGTGTCTGTGTGAACTGGTCTTGGAACTCTCAAAAAGGTTCTTCTCTTCCTACAAGTTTCAATATTAAAATTCCAAAGATCGTTTCTGATAAATCTATGTTAGTACTATGATCTACCCTATGCCACCTACCTTAGTTGTAAGAGTTTTAACTGGTTTTAAATTAAAATTATAATCCAGATGGAGATAGTTGAGATTTTTACGATGGATCAACAGATTCAACATGTTGTAACCTTGACGACAAACTTGTAAACCAACTTCTACCCAATCCAGTTGTGTGGTCTGGAAAAACTTTGTTGCTTTAAAAGATCGGAACAGATATCTGAAATATCAATCGTAATTTATGTAAATTTGATTTGCAGTGACATAAAATTATTTCCTGAACTTCAAGAAACAGAGTGAACATATATATAGATATAAAAGTAAGATTTAAGAAATGATAAGAGGTTCAACGCCCTACTTTTTCGCACCAACTAGGCCAGTGGAGATAGGGTAAGATTTAAGATATTTCTAGTTAACTTATGGCTTCTTTTTTCTTGAAACATATCTTTTATTATGCTGTATGGTTTTGGGTGTACTCAATTCATTTTTACCTATTTCCTACATATTTTTTGAGTTGTTTTTTTTTTTAAATCTGCATTGTCATAGATTTTGCCCTATGTTTCTTTGAGCACTATTACTTCTTAGTACGATAATAAAAATAATTTGTAAGTAAACATACCTTTTCTTTTGAGCCTTTGGTGGCTTATGTTTCAGGGCATTGATGACAAAATATTTGAGAAGTTTCTGGTATGAGACTCGAACTTTAACTGGCATTCCAGCTGGACAATGTTCTCTATACCTAGAATTAAACAAAATTAACATCAAGCTAGTTTTATCAAGCACCAAGCTATATATTTATATTTTTTTGAAGAAAAATTATATCATGTTTATGTCGCACAAAAGTAATATTTTATATACAAACTATTCATAATTTGGCTTAAATGTATCCAAAAAATAAAGAATACAAAATCAAAATATTAACAGTAAATTTTCTCACAATTTGGAGGGGAGTCGCGGTGGCTAAGCGCGTAAGACGCTGGCTTGCTAGTCTGGATGGCACAGGTCTAATCATTCGGAAGGCGTGAAAAACTGACATCCCATATACACATGGCAGTTGGAATTTGATATAAGAGTAGGCCGTAGCGCTGCTGTCCGGGCAAAATTTCCCTCATAGATAGCCCTCTGCATGGTGTATGCCCGTCTTCATTAGAACGGGAAATTTACAATTCTTATCCTCGTAAATACTCCATGATTCAAAATCCAACAAATTAAGATCAGCAGCATTTAACTGATTATAAATAACCTACCAATTTTTCACTAGAGGTACATCAATAGCTCTTCTACATCTACCAGATCGTAAGTTAAACGGTCTTGGGGCCCATATTAAACCAATACCATTAGCTGTATTATCAGAATAGAGAGGTGTCTCATGTAGGAATGGTTGGACATATTCTGGTAATTCAAACTCCTCATCATCTTCAGGTAATGGATCAGCACTCTGTAATGTATTATATTCATTAGTAATCTGGGGTATCAACTTATTCACCAAAACTGAAATGCTCACCATAACTTTCTGTGTTATATCAGTTTTGTTCACATCCCAAAGATCTCCGACTCATTTTGCTATCAGGGGTAACACATATTGTAAACAATGTCTGGCAACTCACATATAACTATCTCAAACTTTGAATCGTGGATTATAAATTAATTACACTTCCATACAATCGAAACAACAGACAAAAAGACATTTATAGATAATTATAATGTCATTCTATTTCACAGAGACCAAATCACAGACTCAGAATTGAAATTTATTATTTATAAATTCTAATGACACAACATAAAAACATTCACAAATGCTACCTACCTTAACGACATTTCTATGAGATATAGGGTTGATCAACGGATCAAAATAAAAGGCAGGTAAATCTGGATCTTCTGTTTTAATAAATACAACATTTGGTGTGTGGTACCTGAACATAAATTAATATATGTTTCACTAAATCTGATAAAAATTAAATATTTTTCAATTCATTTTATTTTTCGTATTTTACCAGACTCAATCTTTTCTAGATATTGTGTCTTTTTTTAATAGTGTGTAAACATAAAATCTGGCCTTTTTTTTCTCTCATAAGACATGGATATATTGTAGGATAATAGATAAATAGCCTTTAATTTTGTATTAATAAAATCACCTGCACAGAACAAATTGTCTGGCAGCATAGGAAAACCCTTCACATGGTGAAAATTAAAAAAAAATTGTTTTGGGTATGTGCACATCCAGCACAAATTGGGGATCAAAATGGTCTATAAATGATCAAAAACGGTTGATAACTTGTGGAGATATTCATAATTTAATACAAGAAAATGACACTTTCGGAAGAAAAATGAAGGGGAGAAAATGCAGTTTAAACATAAATGTTGATATTTCACAGTTTCGGGGCAGTTTATAGCACTCATTTTAACGCAATGTCACACTATTTTTTATTTATATTAAGAAGACAGTATTTATCTTTGTGTTAAGAAATATTTACAATATTTTGGTGTTTTAGTTACTGTGTCTTCGAAACTTGAAGGGGGTTTAAATGTAGAGAAATCTGATTTCCTTGTGGGCGCCACCATCTTGAACAATTTGTAAACAATGGAATACGACTAGTGTTAACGTATTTCGGTAAATAACTGACTTCTTTTTATTGAAAAGGTTATAAAACTCAGATCAAAATCAATTAAATAGATGTTGTTTTTGTAGAATTTAGTCTTGATTGCACCTTATAGTGAGAAATTTACTCAAAACAGGACGTAAAAGTCAAATAATTGAGACAAGGGAATGGACTTGTTTGTTTGATGCGCGTGGGAACTATTTCTTTTGTATTTATGCGCACTATAGCTAGTCTTGTACTGCTCATTGCAGGCTTTATAATGATGTGTGATATGTGTGAGTGTGCAAAAAGGCAACTTTATAAAGAAAACGACGAAATAGGCCGACATTGTTATGGCACTGGCACCGTTCTGCAAGTCTCAAACGGTTCAGAATTATTTCAAAATAAATGTTTTTAAAAACATTTTTCTATTTCACAACTTTGTAGTTTCATAGATAAATGTATAATAAATGTAAATAAGTCAAGAACGGAAAATTGACCAATATATTCTTTGCCATTGTATTTTGGCATATATCTCGGATTGAGCCAGCGCGACATCAGACGGGTTTTCCTGTTCCGCCACACAATTATTAAAAAATTGAAATTTTAAAGAAATGTCTACTTACCATGAAAGATGAACTTTATAAGGCATGTTATTATATAGATAAGGAAAAGCTATCCTATATTCTGTTCTAACTGGTTGACGTATAATAATCTTATTGATATCATTAAACTCATTCCAATCTTCATCTCTATAATAAACAAATACATATCAAACTATCAATATTATTACAAGAAATCAACCACAAAACCTCACAACATAAGATTTTTGAAATCAGCACAAACTTCATTAGATCAATGGAAATTTATTTTTGATAGGGAAGTTGTCATGCTATGATGGACAGTACCTGTGTAGCAAATCTTTTCTCGACAATGTGCCTTAAAGCAGCGAGTAATCTCAACTCTCATATTGGTTTACAATATATGCTTTGGATATGGTAATGTTTTAGACAACGCAATTTGCTTAACAACCCATTGCCAACAATTGAGTCAATCTAGTTTTAGTACAGAATGTTTGTGTGAACAGCTGCCGTGGTCGAATTATTTGGTGATGCTCGTAGCAAAACTACCTGTTGATATTTTACTCAATTTCAAAAATACTTGAGAAAATAAGCCCATATACTTACTGCCAGTCTCTGTCTTTAACAAGTGGTTCAAACTTAGGTCCACCAGGAATAGCTAGATTTAAAGCTTTAGCTGTGAAAAATGACTTAAGATCAAACAGATAGAAAAAATTTTCATCGACTAAATCAGTAAGAAGCTGATTAGCTAATCTGTATAGTACTGACATGATTGGTAAACTTAAGTTCCACTTTCTATACGTTGTTCCATTCACATACCTAGAAAACAGAAAATATTCACCAATAAAAAATCATTCCATAAACATATCTCAAATTAGTGAAACAATCTATCAATATAATATACTATGTTATTTTTCAAACTGTACAATGCACTGTTTGTTTTGACACTTCTATACTGTTGGTTTTAAATTGTCTTGAGTTAAGTGACAAAGATCAATAGAATTAACCATTTTATGTGTCATAATGTAAGTAAAAGTGAAACAGTCAACCTAAAACTGAGCTGAGATTATTAATAACAGTAAATGTCATACTTAAATTAAAAAAGAGAGCATGATGTGACAAATATATAAAACTGAAAACTACCGAAACTTAAATTTCTTACTTGGAATCAGAAAGAGGTTTATGATCATAAAACCAGTCGGCTATGTCTTTATCTTCCTCGGGATCTAATTCAAGTTGTATAGCTTCTAGTGGTTCAACATCTAACACGTTATCAGCATAATCTAATGGTGGTTCTTCATCATCAAATGGAGGAAATCTCATCCTCTTAAAATGTCTTCGATCTCTCTTTTCCCTTCTCATAATAATCCACATTGTCCTAAAACAAATAAATAAAATATTCACTAACCCTGTATTTGCAAACAATGATTAAGGGAAAGGCTAAAACCATTTTTAACTGTAAAAATCAACACTAGGAAGCTTTCAAGAATGTAGAATATGATCCTTAGGAACCATTAAATAATTCTAACCTTAAATGTAAAAATGGTTCCAGGGTTTGGAATACTTAAGACAAAAAAAATATAAGTTTAGCATTTTAAACTCCAAAGAGAAGTATTAGTGGGTCAAAAAACTAATTTGACTTTAATAGCAAAAAAAATTACAATATGGTTGTAACCAGAGAGAGAGAAATGGGGTTTAACGTCCACTCGACACAAACTAGGTCATTTCGGGACTAACATATGGTTTAATTTTATTTACATAATTCGCTTGCGCGTAGGGGTCTTTAGCAGTGGGAGGAAACCAGAGGACCCGGAGAAAACCCACGAGGTTGGACAGACGACCCTACTCCTTACCACGTACAACCGGGGATTCGAAACCACGCCAGTCGACTCAATGACAGACTTTATGATACAGCGCGCTCACGCTAACCATTAAGCCATCCAACCCCCCTGGTTGTAACCAATGTTGACAGAAAGCCTATTCACTCATGAAAAGAACATCGACTATTTATATAAGAACAGAAAAATAAAATAAATTGGAGTACATTGATAAACATGGTGAACACTTACCCCCACTGTGCAATATATACTGGTTCAATAACCCAGGGTATTTCATTTACAAATGTGATAGCTCCAGTAATATGATACAATACTTTACAATCTCTGATCTGTTCCCAAGGCATAGGCATATTCTCCATCAGTTTCATTACAGCATGGGGCATGTACTTCAATGCTCTGTAAAATAATAATGATGTTTTATTCAATTTTGATCAAGGAATACTACAAAGGATGTGCAAACTGTATGAACTATTCAACTTCATGTAATCCAATACACATATAAGTAATTTATACATACACCATGTAATTAATTTCTTCAAAAAATCTGTATAATTAACTAAATTTAAATTTGTGACTAAAATGTTGATAATGGTTTAAAACATACCCTAAATATACTCTTTTATCATGACGGAACTTTCTATTTGTCATATCTCCATGATCTCGCACAATTTTACGAACATGTTCTGGAGGCATGTCTTCTTTCTGGGCATCAATAAAGCCAAATTTACGTTTCTCAGCATATCTTTTTGACTGAAGCTGCTGCCATTTCCTTGCTGAAATTTTCAAAAGCAGAATCTGGTGGTTAAATAAAGTTGTGTTGGCCACAAACGTCTTCAGCAGAAAAATTACCTATGAAATCATGCCACGTTGATTTGTTTTGTCTTGTATGTATAGCGCTACTCCGGCTTTACAGTATCATGTCTTTGCAACAAAATATCTCAAAGCGAAATTTTGTGTTCTTTAATATTAACACTGACATTTCTATACCTAAATACTTAAATACTCACCTTTTTCTTGTAATTTTTCTTCATTTAAATATTCTGGCTGTTGGGCCATTGGTTGATGTGATTGTTGTTGATGCATGGGAGGTCCCATTGCAGCTTGACTAACAACAGGCATCTGTGGTACCATAGCTTGCTGCATCACTGGTACCTGGCCTGTGATGATAAATGGCTGTCCCCCTGGACCAATAACGGTATAGGGAAAAGCCATCTTGGTTTGGTCTAGTTATGGTGATAACCTGAAATAAATAAAAGAAATTTCATTGCAAATAGTGAGATCTGGTTGATAAAATTTTAGTCCAGTTGTTTAGATGCCCATCTCCACCACAACGACCACCAATTGCCATTTTGCTCATGCTAGAAATGATTTGACTTGATGTGATTCTAACCACAGACTAAAACTTACTCTCTTAAACAAATGATGCCAAATCAAGTGGAGCATCCTGGGAGTTTGCTGCATATTAATCGAGATATTTTCCTTTTGAATTTCAAAGAAAATTTTTGAAAAACTATTTGAACCAGGGCTGGGGACATTACATTGCCAATGTAACTACATTACCATTACTTTTTAAATGTTACCATTACAATTACTTTCTTATTTTAAGCGATGTAATTCATGACCATTACCCATAACATTGAAAGTAATTGATTACCATAACCCATTACTTTATGACATATAAATAACAAAAAATTTTTTTATGAACATTAAAAAAACACCTTATATTTCTGTCACGAAACGCCTAAGAAATCTCATTATAACAGTTTTCTGTATGAATTGTTATTTCTATCAAATATCACACCAAGGCAAAAGTAAATTTTTAAGCAAGGGGCATTGCATGACAAAAACTATTTATGTACCGGTAACTGTATGGCTTTGAAAACTAAATTTAAAGTGTAGTTCACTACATTTGATTTTAAGTCAATAGATGAAATTCATAAGCAATCCAAATAGTTTGTCGATACAACTTTGAACTTGGAAATTATTCAGCATGATTGTAAAACAAAATATATATATATATTTTGTATAAAGTAACCATAATTATAAAATGATGGAATAAAATGTTGGCATTTGTTTGGTTTCACACTTGCCACCTTGAGATTATCCTGTAATAGGACTATCTATTTAATCCAACTAATTGATCGAAGGCTAATTAACACTACTCTTTGACGACAATCTATATGAACATTTTTTCAGGAATCAACTTTGCTTATGTTTTAAGTCTAAAAAACTCGGTTCTAAATTAAAAATAATAAAATTAAATAGTTAGGCTATGTTTTCATCCCATTTTGTCATAGAGTTGGAAGAGTTATGTTCCATAAAATGTAATTGAAAAGTACTTGAAATCTAATTGACCATTGCATGAATTTTCGAAACGCAATTATTCTCCATTTCCCATTACTGTTGAAATATTCCATTATTCACTCATTAGATGACCATTACTTAAATATTGTAATGATTACATTCCATTACCAGTCCTGATTTGAAATAACTTACTTGCTACAAATCCCTAACATAAATTCAGATATGTGTCAGTTTATTAGTAGCTTATAAAACTAATTTTAGTGTCCATCTTTATTAGGTACATGTACAGTACATATATAATAAGGGCAAGAAGATTTACCCAACACTAACTAAATACTTAATGTGAAAAACTAACACATTACTACTGTAGCTATATATTTTAAAAAATTGATAGTACTGGGTGATCAAGAGAGGTAGCCTAACTGGTATAGCGAACATTGATCATCACTTTTGCAGTGCATTTTTTGCAAGTCTTCCGCAATTAATTCCATTTTTTATATATAAAGTAATATGTTAGTTTTTCATAATATTGAGGTAGTATGTAGTGGTATTTGGTAGCAATGTTAGTAATGGGTAAATCACCCTGCAGATATAATAATAATTTTATTTTAAAAAGACCATCAAATTTTTTGGTGCGTACATATAGGCTGACTTCGATATGTCACTGACATTACTGATTTCAGTTCAAAACGCGACATACATGTATCAATGAACGGGATCAGACAGTCAGCAGTTGAAATTTAGCCCACTTTCAATCTACATTTTGAATTAAAATTTCATTTAAATGTATTACTAGCGATTGTATTATAATACTATAATATCAATTTCAGTATCTACAAAGATTCAGAGTCAAGAATTATCGAAATCCATGTATAAGCAAAATTACCGTTCACAGTACAGGAGACACTCAGAGAAAAATACTGCTCTGACGTCAAGCGGCCAGGGATTTTCCATCAACTCGATTCACTGGTTAAATCTGCACCTTAATTTTTCATGGGATTCTAACATAAAGCCAACCAAACGATAGATAAGATTTTTGTGATTATTATGGCGTATGATACCACAATTTACGGCAATGAAAGCCGTATAAAACATGATTTATCTGTTTTACTGATTGAAATTTGCTAGATTTTGGCTAACTGTAGCCTGATTTTTTTGTGGCATCATCCAGATTATAATATTTGATATATCATCATTCAAATTATTGCGATTTTTATCATTCTTACGGTTTAAAACTGGTTGAGATATTCTGACAGGGAAATACTTATACTGCTTATGACATCACTCAGATGATTACATGTCATTTCGGTCCCGCGTCATTTCGGACTTACGACATTTCGGATTTAAAAAAATATGGCCTCGATGTTTCGGACTCAGGAATAAGTTGAACACAACTGTCAAATCAATCTATAATAAACCAAAAGCGATTTTATAAAAAATAACATGCAGGTAAAATTTACCGCTCGCAAACAAATACAGCACGTGGAATCATGGATCACACACCGTATAGATTTCTCAATGTTTATCTGTAATACATGTATGTATGAATTTATTTGAAATAGGCCAATTCAAAACACGAAAGAAAATATTAACATGAAACACATGGTTATTAAAAGACTCTACCAAACGATAAAACATAGTTGTACTTACAGTTCTTTATCATCATTTCCCGTAAAAATAATTTATTTTATTGAAAAAGAATATGCTGTAGAATTTATTTCAAAATGACCTACACAACAAAACCAAGGTAAACATTTACGGGTCATTCCATATCAACTGATGCAAGGTTTTAACCCGACCCCTCTGGATTTTTCCAATTTTTTTATATTTTGTTATGGATCCTTTGAGATGACCATATGCCAAATTACAGGCCTATCGAACAATTTTTCGCGAAGTTATGGCACCCAGAAGAGTTCTATGTCGGAAAATTGAGTCACATCAAACCACAAATTTGCTCAGTTCAAGCCACGAATTAGGTAGGTTCAAAAAGCCAATAGACTTATTTTAACTTGCTTTTCTAATGGAACTCTGGCCAAATTTTCCGAATCTGGCATTATTTTTGGTCTACGCCTAAACCCTGGGTCTCTAACTTGTACTGAATTTGGTATAAAAACGACTGAAAATCGAAACTTTGTGACGAGTTCACAGCCAAACTACGAGTGCGGCTAATGTCATCTCTGGAGCTCTTGGACAGGTCTTATGGCCAAACAAAAAAATTAGGTTCTCCGGCCCCGGGTTCGCAGAAATTTTCGCACCTGAAAATTGAAAATATCGAAAATTTCACATTTTCACGCTCAAATTTCGAAATGTGGGGTCACATGGATTTCGACGAAAGTATGAACTTTGATATTTTTCTCCTTTAAACATATTTTTGACAATAAAAATACATAAAATAACTTGATTTCACGATTTCTGTTTTGGAGCGAGGTGTACGTTTGATGCATGTTTTCTCACTCAATGAGGCAGAAATGAGGTATTCCGGCCTCAACTAAGCTGTCGCTCCCAGTATTCTTCCAGAAAGTGTCGCGTTAGCTACACGACACGTTGACATGCATTCCTCGACAAGCTTGCCATAGATAGCAGTACCAATCGATAAATTAGTAAGTACAAAGAAAACTCTTTTGGGAAAATATTAGAAATAGCAACAATCAAAGTAGTGGGATAATTAAAGCTGATTAACTTATAATCCCTATGTTATTGTAGTATGCACAAAAAAAACCCTTACAGTTCTTTAGTCGACGAGGAAAAACGTGAGTTATCAATCAGCGATAATGGCGGCCGTGTGTTGTTATTTAATTATTCATCAGAGTCCGAAACGTCGCCAGATCAAGTCTGAATAGTCGTCAAGTAAGTCTGAACCGCCGTCAAACGGAGCCCGAAAGGTTGTCTGTGTTGAGTCCAAAATGACACAGAACCAAACTGACGTGCTACCACTCAGATTATGACTAAAAAGCACTTACCAGTACTTTAGTCACACACATTTACGGTTATACTATAGACCATTTTGATTACATTGACTAAACTGAGATGAAACTACCTATTTATTTATGAAGATTGAAGATTATCAAGATAGTCACAAACACTGTGTAAAGTGTGTTTCTTCAATTATACAAATCGTAAAGTCAGCAATTTCAGCGATATTAAGGGGCTAGAAACTTATGGCAATGTGATGTCAATGCAAATAATTTAGTAAACATTAATGCCGGATTTTCTAAACTGAGAATCGACGATACGATTACGACACTACCGTAGTCACTACGTTTGTTAAAAAAAAAAAAAAAAATTCACGAAGTCTTCAACAAAACATAATCGTAAAGCCAGCAATTTCGGCAATATTGGGGGTGGGGGGGCTAGAAACTTATGGCAATGTGAAGTCAGTGCAAATAATTTGGTAAACATGAATGCCTGATTTTCTAAACTGAGACTCGACGATTACTTTTTTACTACTAACAACAACGTTTGACAAAAAACAATATTCGCGAAGTCTTCAACAAAAAACAATATTCGCGAAGTCTTCAACAAAAACATATCTGCTGAGTTTATGCGTGAATGATACATTTTACTTGCCGACAATTATCAATGAATATGGAATTAATTTAACAAATATGCAAATCATACCCGTTTTATTGAATAAAGTGAAGGATAAATTGAAAGAAGTCGATCTGCCTTTGCGCCAAACGTGTTTCCTTCGTACAAAAATGGCGACAGCGTGGATCACGTGACCTATCTAAATATTATTTACCGGAAAAATATGTAACGAATTATATTTCGCTCAAATTTAAAATTCGTCTTTTATTTATTCATTTGATCTCAGGGTTTAATTGTTAGTGGCTGGTATTTTGTATTTAATTCGGAATAGAAAAGCAATCCCGCTAGAGTGATATTTATAATATTTGTACCAATAATCGGTCCCGATCAATTCAATGTTTAAAATTTGGATATTGCCAGCTATCGACCAGGGGAAGTAACTCTCATTTTAAAATTTTGTTTAATTGGCCACGGATCACTAAATTTTTCCCCATTGACTTTAATGTTAATTCTCGTATCTTAGACCGGCTCTAACTTTTCCCAAAATTTTCGTTGGGTAGAACGCTTTCTATTACAGATGGAGGGGGGAGGGCTCGAGAGAAAGAATAAAAATAACTTTCGCCCAACATTCGTTAAAAATAGGCCTTGATGAAAGATAAAAATGCCATATTTGGTCTATACCCACCCCTCTCTAACAATAAAAGGGTCACAGAATACACAATTTTCACAAATTTGGAAATATTTCAATGTTTTCAACATCTCAAACTAGATCACCAAATGTAGGGCAAACGTTATTTTTAGCCTTTCTCTCCCTGTCCCTTTTTCCCTCTTTTGCATGGCGATTTTTGTTTACTTATTGGTGTAGAATCGAAGAAAAGGGTTTGAAAATACATTTTCTGCCAGGTTTCGGTGAATATACATGATTTTGAGGCGGAAGGATACAAGAGTTGAGCGGTTAGCTAGGTTGAAATGTAGGGCCGAAAATTGCATCTTTTCTTATCTCTACTTCCAGCTTGTGTATCTCAAGTTTTTCATGGTGAACCTAATACATGCTTTTGGGCAAGAGTTTGTCACATGTTGCTCCATCTGTGGCAGAAAGCGTTCTACCCAACGAAAATTTGGGAAAAAGTTAGAGCCGGTCTAAGATACGAGAATTAACATTTCAATGGGGAAATATTTAGTGATCTGTGGCCATTTTGGTGGCCCTGTTTACATAAATGTAATAGCTTCATGTAAACAATGACCTAGTGGCCTATTTTACTGAAGTCAAGTGAATAAAAACAAATTAGTGCCAAGCCTCATTTCCTGGAATAGTTCAAAGTTGAGAATTCGTACCGGGTACGTATAATAATATTGACAATCGTTGCAGTCAATTACTATTATTAATATTAGCTAGCTAGGCCTATTATAGCAGGCTTTTAAGTACCGGTATTACAAATAAAATAGTAGTATTAGGAAATATTTTTTTTTTTTAAAAAACCTAGCTGTCAACCCAGGATATTATAGAGAGAGAGAGAGAGAGAGAGAGAGAGAAATGGGGTTTAAGGTCCACTCATACAAACTAGTTCGAGACTAACATATAGTTCAATTTTATTTCAATAATTATTAATTTGTTTGCGTCTAACTAGGGGTCTTTAGCAATGAGAGGAAACCAATCAGGAAGACCCAGAGAAAACCCACAAGGTTGGACAGGCAACCCTCTCTTTGTCTCCTACAAGCGGGAATCGAAAACAAAGCAACTTGACTCACAGACCTTATGATACAACACGTGCACCCGCGTTAACCATTTGCTCAGCCAATCCCCCAGAGGCTATTCGTTAGCATACAATCTAAGTTTAGTCAAAGCAGGTGAGTTTAATCAATCAGGAAGTAATGTTTTTATTTAAAAACCCTGTATACGTTATGACTCATGTGATTATTAATGATTGCATATACAGTAAATTATCCTATGATTTGGTATAGGTTTATCTTGCATAACTTAATCTGCATAATATGAATTTGTTATATTTGATTATTTCATCTTTGTGTGTTTAGGATCATTAGAGAAAACTATGAAACGGTGTGATTATTCATAAGCTACATACTGAAACTTTGACTGTCTTTAGTGTGGATGGAATGAACACAATACTGTGATGTGATAGCTAGACACCACACCGTTAGTTGTCACTAATGGAACGCCTGAAAACGTTTACAAAATGTCAAATCCATCATATTTATCGCTGTGTTGTGCAAATGAAAACTCAAGCCGAAATAAATCATTAGAAGAACAAGGTTTATCATATAGTTCAGTTGATATAAGTTGTCTTGTAGCTGCATGTGTGAGTGTGATTGGAACTGTTTATCTGTTGATGCCAAGATTTGATTCCGATCTAAGTCATACATTATCTACAAGTCAGACTCGAATATTAGCTGGTAATAATGTGAGAAGAGTGATTCATATTCTAATTTTCTGTGATATTCTGGCTTGCATAGGTTTGTATCTTTATAAACATATTTCATATTAATTCAGTAACTCAAACAATATAAGTAGGATATGTAAGATTTTTTTTTTTTTTAAACAATATTTTATTCAGAAATTGAAAGGGATTGAGGAACAGGCATAGCCTATATGACCTCTCTCCTAAGATTACTGGTGTTGTGACAGTACCCGACTCAGTTCCTTGCTCATGGGACTCAGTGGTTACTTCTCTATTTACTTACATGTATTATACCACATCCAAGAATTTGATTATCCTGTTATTTCTTATTACTTCCATTGTGTTTAAATGTACATGTGTAATTTTCTGATAGTATAAACCTTGAAGTGGCACAAATAATGGTAGATTTCAAATTTCCCCTTTAAGAAATAGTTTAGGAACTGATAATGAATTTCTTATTTATCATGTCCACTGCAATTTTGGTGGATTTCATGCTGAATTTGAAATCAAAAACATTTAAGATCCACAGATATGACTCCTTAAATCATCAAATTATATTAAGTAATGTCTGATAGTTATATTTCTTCTAATTATACAGGATTAATTGTTCGTTCATCATTGAATTTAAGTGATCGGTCACTGTCTGGATGTTTAATCCTCAATGTAAGTTGAAAAAGCAAAAAGATTTGATACCCACAAATATTTCACAGAATCATACATTGGTATTTTCATGTAAATCTGGTGTTACATTAACAAAGTATTAAATTTTGTTTTGTCCAATTTTCAATATTTTCACATTGCCATGTCTGTGGAGAATTTAATTTTATCAGGCCTCCATTCAATTTTGATAAGCAACCACTCATATCCTATCCTAACAGCCATTGTCTCCACCGCATAGACTGCAAAATGCAATTTTATTCATCTTTGCTTATCACAAATTATGTTTTTCTGTGGTTGCTCTATTTAAGGGATCTTTGATTTAAAGATGCATTATGTAAGAGGTAAATTTGCCTACTGCTTCCAATGTTATATAAATTATTAATTAGACATGCATATGACAAGCCCATAATCAACTCTCTAGAACATCGGATGGCTGAGATTCAATGAATCAGAACACCCACAAGATTTAAAACTTTAGCAATAAAATGGATAATCGAGACTTATCTCTGTTATCAATGAATATCAAAGAATTGCATGACATTACAAGTTGTATATAGTTTACAATTACATACATGTATGTATGATAAAATTTCAGGTATGGATACAATATTTTTTCCTGTGTACATATTTCTGGAATATAGCGTATGGCGTGGAATTACTAATGTCACTTAAGAATACTGGGTAAATTATATTAAATTGTTATTATTTAAAACTTTAAAGTTACAATTTCATATTTTCTAAGAAAGTCAAAACCTAATTATTTCTATGTCTTTTGCTGAATAGGTTGTCAACTCACTATTATATGATCATAGGTGTCATTCTCACACTTAAAACTCATTTACACTGAAAATATTAACACAATTACCTCCCTTGTTTTCTATTCTCTACCATGGAGTAGCTATCTTCAAACGTTTGAATTTGAAGATGAAAATGATATTTTTGCCAATTTCTCAACTGGCAATAGTGAATTATAGGATTAACAGGATTATTCTTTAACAAGATAGGACTGTTTATAGATACCATCTATTTTAGGGCTTTATTTTAATACATTTTAAAAATATAACTTAAAAATATGACATTGTAATTTTAATTCAAAGTAAATTATCTTTATGTTTCATGTACATGATGCAAGAAATCTGCAACAAAAATAGATGTATCTGTGATGTCAAAATAGGTTTTAGATTATGGAAATAAAATGTGGTGGGTGAAACATCCTACTTTTTTGCACAGACTGGGCTGATGTAGACATACAGTATGCAATGAGGGAAAGTTTGCCAAGACAGTGGCACCATGGCCTACTCTTTTTTCTAATTCCAACTGTCTAAAGTTCTTTTACGTCCACACCAATGTGTACACGAGCCCTTGGTTTTTTGTTGTTTTATTTCAGTAATTCATGGATTAAATATGTCATTGGTTTTATTCTACCACTTGGTTTGTGTTCTTTACAAGTGGTAGCCACATATTATTCTTCTTTTAACTGGTAAGTAAATTTACATACATTTATATATGAATTCCCTTTAGATAGATTTAGCATGCCTATTGTCATACATTTATATTGATCAATTATAATTGACACTTCAATACAGTACAGCCTTTAAAAAGGGGACACTGTATCACTTACTGTATGTAAAACTTGACAATGTATTTTTGAAGAATTGTACAAAAATTTAAATGGTGGGACTTTTCATGCTACCAACAAGTTAGACTCTTTTTTTTCTTTAGAGTGTGGCTGTACTGTAGTTTGGGCATGTCCTTTCTAGATCTGTCCATACTTAAAACATTATGATAATATTGCAGGTGTTTCAAGTAGTGGTTATGATTATGTTTCAGGTGTTTATGTGGTGGTTATGATTATATGTCAGGTGTTTAAGTAGTGGTTATAATTATATTTCAGGTGTTTATGTAGTGGTTATGATTATATTGCAGGTGTTTATGTAGTGGTTATGATTATATTTCAGGTGTTAAAGTATTGCTTATGATAATATTTCAGGTGTTTAAGTGGTGGTTATGATTATATTGCAGGTGTTAAAGATACATTATGGGAGATAAGATAAAGAGATGGCAGTTCTCGCTATAATAGTTAAAAACTAGATAGTGTAAAAATAATTTGCTGAAAATTTCAGTCAAATTGATCCACTATGAGCCGAGAAAGAAGCCGGTTAAATTTTTGCATAGTCTTGGTTATCATTACTAAAATCATTAATATAAACAACATAGTCTCGATTATCCACTTTTTCTGATTTAATTATCTTTGGCCGTTAGCGGCATATAGGAATCTAATCCAGCCTACATCGAAGGCTAGCCTTGACATCGAGAGTTTATTATGGTCTTGTATAAGTTAATTAATGTCTAAATGATAATTTAGATAACATTTCAGGCCTAAAGAAAGAATTGTAATAAGCAGATTTTGCTCTTGCGTAATGCATGTTTAAGTAGCAATTATGATTATATTGCAGGTGTTTCGAGTGGTGGTTATGATTATATTTCAGGTGTTTAAGTGGTGGTTATGATTATATTTCAGTTGTTTATTTAGTGGTTATGATTATATTTCAGGTGTTTAAAGAGTGGTTATGAGAAGACATTAGTTTACCTGTCAGCGTATTTACCTATTGGTGTGGTCATCATTGTTAATCCTATTGTATTTTATCATATTCTTAAATCAGGTAAATATCTACTGGTAAATTGTATCTACTAACCATGGTGACTCAGTGAGTAAGACGCTGGCTCATTAACCAGGAGGTTTCAGGTTCCCTCTAAGAAAATTCCTTGAGGATTTTCAGGCATCATTTCTCCTTGTCAGTGGTGCAGGAACGGTGTCTAGTCATTTGGATGGGATGAAAAACTGAGGTCCTGTGTATACATTAGTGGGCACATAAAAGAACCCTTAGTTAGTTTAAACTTATTTTATTGCATCAACATTTCATTGTACAATACAAAAGGATTAAAGAAAAGTTCTAACAACTTATAAATGTCTTCTTATAAAATATTAATTGATGAGAATATTTCAAATGATATATAATCATTGTGCATTATAGGTCCATGTATATAAATTGAATAATTCAACAAATATCGGACAGACTAAGAAAATTCAAAAATTAATTTATGTACCTTTCATTTGAGGCTAACCGTAATTCAAACTCCATGAGCCAAATTTTCCCCTTTCTGATTGATGCTGAGATATAGTTGTTTCTGTCGACTGTTTTCCTACATACTCCAAATCATGAATTTGCCCCCCACCCCCACTCCTCCCACTCCTCCCACTCCTCCCACTAGAGGACAATTCAGAAAAATTGTTTCAAATATATCTAAATCAAATCAAAGCAAGTAGATATGAAGTTACTGATATATTTAGGGAATATGGAGAGTGCAAATTCTTATCCTCATTGTATTAAATATAAATACTGTAGTTATTATGTATATTTCAGTTCGTCACTTGTTGATATGTCAGCTTGGTCAATTTACTGGTAGTGAGAGAAATATATTAGGAGCAGCCAAGTTAAAGTTTACATTGATAATGCTTGTCTTTACAATCTGGTTAGTCAAATTTCTGTTATAAATGTAAGAGTAAGATGTTTGTGATATCTTGTACTCTATAACAGAATAAATTTGTGATATCTTCTACTGTATAAAGATATGTTCCCGTGTACAAACTGGGTGATTTGATGATGTATTTGGACTAAAAACATATTCAAACTAATTAATCTATCAAAATTTTGCTTCAAATCCTTCACAAAACACTGTTTATGCGAGTGAATACCCCTGCTATAAAAAAAAATCTATGTTTGTGCCACTTGACTTCGCTGTAGGGAAACCCCTACATTTTTGTCCTGTATGCCCTCCATGAGTGTTTTTCAGGGAATCCAGTATTTTTCTAGTAAGATTGGATATTTCTACTTTCCATATATACCAAAATTGCCATACTTTTATTGGAAATAACCACACGATAAATACTTTTCTGGGAAGTATCTTTAATTCAGTCATGTTGCAAATTTATTTGGATGTTTGCCAGGAGTTATTTTGTCAAAAGCATGTATGAAAGGAACATCTGTTCATGTTTAATATAATATACTAAGCAGCAAAAGAAACATCAGGTTGGTGTGTTACTCTGAATAGACCAATTGCATAAAACCTGCGAAATTTTTTTATTGTATATTTGTGACCAACTTTACCTGAGCAATAAGGCTCCTTCCCAAACACAGAATTGAACCCAGGAAATGTTCTCAAAACGCAATGATTCAGTGCGCTGACGTCTGACCAGAGAGAAGATCCTCACCCCTCGCCATCGACGTGAATGTCTACAGTTTGCCCAACAACACCAGAACTGGCGATACAGGCAATGGAGAACTGTTCTGTTCACAGATGAGAGTCAGTATTGCGTATCAACTGCAGATGGCAGGACCAGAATATGGCATCAACGTGGCCAGCATTATTCTGACTCGTGGGGCGGTCCAAGCATAATGGTTTGGGGTGGAATCGGCCTGAACCAAAGAGTGGGTCCTGTGGTTTTCCAAAATCTTGGTCCAGTGAGAGGTGGCGGCATCACAGCAGTGCGCTACATCGATCAAGCTTTCAGACCCCACGTCATACCACATTTCGCACGTCATCGAAACAATGTTTTTTCAGCATAACAACGCTCGTGCCCACACCGCCAGAGTTACTCAGGACTTTCTACAGCAGAACGGTGTTAATGTTATGCACTGGCCAGCCCTTAGTCCGAATTTAAACCCGATTGAACATCTTTGAGATGAAATTCAAAGGAGACTTAATAACATCAATGCTAGTAGTCAAGAGGAGTAAATATGATTGAAACACACGTCCTGGCATAACCTATAAACACACTAGCGACCTTCCATTACTTTTCAGGTTGTTTAATTGTAAATGACAAAAATGATATCTTGTGATTTATTTTCAGTTGGATTCCTAATTTAATATTTGCTCTACTCCAGTCCTTTACAGTTAAAGATAAAGATAAACAAGGAATGCTTGATTCTTACCTAGCTTTTGCAATTTTTCAGGTATTTTAATATTCCTAAATTCTCTTCATTGTGACAAAGTTATTTTTTAGTGTTCCTATTATGTACACAGTATCCCAATTGTTTGTCTCCTTCAAATAATTATACACACTTTTATTGGAAGCATGATGCATAAATGAGGCATTACCCTTGGCAATTGAGCAGAAAAAAAAGAAGAAGCAAAAAAAGGAAAAGATTTCTAGAAATCATTTCTGTAATAGTAAGCCACAGTGGCTCAGTGAGTAAAGCACTGACTAACTTACAAGGAGGAAAGAAGACCTAGCAAGGAACAGCATTTAGTTATTTGGATGGGACAAAAGAAAATTTGGCCGTAGGAATTTAATGAAGAGTAGTGAAAATCTTCTGCAATAATTTTAAAGTATATATGAATAATTTAGATTGTTGTTCCTTTAAAGTTACAATTTCATATTTTTAAGTTATATTTTTAAAATGTATTAAAATAAAGCCCTAAAATAGATGGTATCTATAAACAGTCCTACCTTGTTAAAGAATAATCCTATTAATCCTATTGCCAGTTGAGAAATTGGCAAAAATATCATTTTCAACTTCAAATTCAAAGGTTTGAAGATAGCTATTCCATGGTGGGGAATAGGCAAACAAGGGAGGTAATTGTGTTATTATTTCCGGTGTGAAGATTTTTAAGTGTGAGAAAGATAACCTATGATCGTATAATAGTGAGTTGATAACCTATTGAGCAAAAGACATAGAAATAATTATGTTTTGACTTTCTTAGAAAATATGAAATTGTAACTTTAAAGTATCGATAAGTTGATATGCATTAAATTATATTCCATGTTATCTTAATTTTCAATAAATTAATCAATGTTTTTTATTTCACAGGCTATAAGTAATCCTTTACAAGGTGTGTGCAATTGTATTGTATTTCGTGGTTGGCCAGGATTTTTAACTTCCTGTACACAGAGAGCTATAGGTTATTCCAGGGTGGAGCAATTGGAGGAAAGTATTGAAGTTAGAATTAACTCTTTATCAAACAATTCTTTCTCCCCGAGATCAGAAAATGACAGAATATTAGGCTTCAGACACCAACGAACACGACATTATACTTAGTTATTATTCTTTTAAATTGGCATGATGTCGGCTATTTAAAATGGTAAGCATAAATTCTAAGAAAAAAAAAATTTTCATTAGAATTTAGAGGTGTTTGATTTCAATCAGAATTACATGTGACTTGACACTGGATCTATTTGATTTGGATCACATTGTTTATAGTCAGAGTTAACTTGGTATTGAAATCTTTTCACTTGGTTATCCTGTCATAAACTTTACAGTTTTGAGAATGTTGTGCAATACTTAAACTTCAAGTCTTTCATACACTTGAACATGTAGGACCAGTTTATAATACAGCCTATATTTGTATGACACCTTAGTGTAACATAATCAGATCATCTAATAACTGTGGATTGGACTTCTTTAATTCAGCAAGACGGTAACAAACATTAAAGTACACTACATGTATAACAACCAATACATATTATAATATTGTAATCTTTACGGCCATCGTCTTAATTCACATCTGCCTCCATGGTTCTGTGTTGAGCTATTCAGCTCAACTCACTGAACTGACTTCATCAGAAACCTAAACCAATTTATAGGTGAGGTATGAAGTTACATATTATTGATATTGAATAAAAATAATTATGATGACAGCTGAATACTAATAAATAATTAAATTAAAGGTCGGCGGGTTCTCCGACATGACCATTTCAATATGGCAGTAGCTTATCTTAACAATAATCATATCGATGTTAGAAACAGCGGTTAGGTCAAAAGGACAGCAGAGATTTCACCCTTTGTTACATTAGAAAGGACCCAGAAATAATCCTTCTCCTTTCAAGTCATGTTTTTTTCATTTTGGTTCGGTTTAAATTGAATTTGCTATTGTGGTATATTGTGTTCTTTAGTTGTTTATTTTTTTTCATGGCAGCTTTAAATATTTTTTTAATCAGGCTTTTTTATATAAATAATTTGTATAGAATTTATTGGAAGCCATGATGACTGCAGTGTGTAGAATATATACAGTATATAGAATTTGTTTTTTACTTTTAAAATGCACTATTAGATATGAAGAGCCCCGGGGAAGAATGATCTAAGTCACTTTTTCAACGAACCCCAGTTAATGGCGCCATCTGGTAACAAATTGTATGAGCTTTCTGTGGAACAATCAATTTCAGGTAAAAAACGAGTCGCATCGAACCAAGCAAGGCCCTTCTGAAATGGCCTCCCAGACAAATACGTCCATCGTACCCTTTATTTGATCTTAATTTGGCTGAAAAGTGGAAGCCAGTTGTTGTACTGGTAATTATGATTCGTATTAAACATCATTCTGAAGTTGTAATTAAACCCACTCGTTCTGTTTACATCAAACATTCTCGTCCAAAAGTCTGTTTTGCCTTTTATTTGAAAAGACAAAAATGTGACTTAGATCGTTCTTCCCCTGGACTCTTCATATATTAGTACTAATTATATGCGTACCTATTAAAGGGACTATCCCGATTTGAACAGAGTCTCAAAAATAAAAGTCCGAGTACGTGTCAATTTTTAGTTGGGTGACCTGATAATCGACTCCCAATCCTTGAGAGGTCTATACAGTGAATGACCCATGTGTTGTACTTAATAATGAAAGGTAAATGTTACCTACACATTAGCTTTATAAAATAATAGTCTGGTTTTATCCAGAAACCGCATAATACAGCTTGGGACACCGATCTCCCTTTCAAGATGAAGACTGACGGGTTTACATTGTTTGAAAACGTATCACTGATATTGATTTAGTTGCTCGGCCTTTTGGTAGAGGATTTTAAGGTATTTGAACACAAAATTAAGCAGTTTATTCTCCAACAAAATATCGGGATTGGCCCTTTAAAGCTGAAGTTCTGATAATAGATGTAAAACCGTATTACAGTTAAGGTATATTACTAATTATATACTTTACCCATTTGAACTTAAGGTCTAGTAATATATGCACGATCATTTATGTGTATTAATTTGTGGAAAATTTAAAGTTTTTTTTCTCTATTTTGATATGTCTATCATGCCATAAAAAAAAATTACAAAGAAGGGTGGCTTTGTGAGGGAAGAAAATTCCCAAGAAAGTATTGTGTTCTAAGAATTTGGAGGTCATATTTAATTGGTTACACCGCCCAAGGCTTGCAGTATATTACTAACACAATTTGTATTACTGTTTAAAAGTACAAACTAGTAAATGCTCATGTAATAACACAAGGTTTGCAGTATATTACTAACACAATTTGTATTACTGTATAACTAGTAAATGTTAATGTAATAATATAAGGCTTGCAGTCTCATTAATTACTTCCTGTAAATATTTTACCCCAGTGATAATAATGTGGCTTTGTAGTTCAAAAATGTTTTGATTTATAAATACTACTTTTTTCTGCATTTAATTTTGGAATCTGTTCGTGTTTTGGTTTTCTGATTTTTTCAACTCTAATTTAAAGCCACTAATCATCATTTGCATTTTGTGGACAGAAAATCATCTTTCACGGCTTAATCCAAACTAAAATGTATTCAAATTGATTATTTAACTTTTAATTGAGATTGAGAATTCAAAATCAAGATAACCATCGTAGATAATCTCCCGACTTCGATTCAAGTAGATGAAATAGATTTTACCTGAAGCTTATAGTTGGCACTGGCTTGTTTATATGATCGGCATAGGGCTATTAATGTTGTGAAAAATTTGGCACTGATATTTGTAGTTTGCAAGGGATTCAAAATTCCACAAATGGCAATCAATTTGGCACTGATATTTGTAGTTTGCAAGGGATTCAAAATTCCACAAATGGCAATCAATAACTTTAAAGATGGTTAAGTTTGTGTTCTGTATGGTTGTTTGTTTACATAATATAGTTGTGAAATTTTATGAATGAGTATTCTAATGGCGAATAAATAATTTTGTACAGCAGGCTCTGGGGCCGAGAGTGATTCCTGTTTTTTTTTTGGGGGGGGGGGGGTTGTAGAAAGGTAAAGTGTATTAGATCTAATTAAAATCCAATGTTTATTACACTCCTTATTACTTTTTATATTGTACTGAATTAAAAATTAATGGAACAAATTTATAATTGAATTTGAATGAATTTGATAAGGAAATTTTTAGCATTATATATTTTAGGGGTTTTTATACATAAAATTATAAATTTATCTGTATTTTTTGTGTTTTAAAGTTAAATTCTTTGTAATTCTAATTTTATGTTTTGTAAATTGACTGACAGGTCAGTTCTCCAGTCCTCAATTTCACTGCCTGTTAGTCAAGATTGGTAAATATGATTGGTGGAGACTGCAGACTATCTGTACACTGATACTAAGCACTTAGTTCACATTTGTTCACATTTTCTATTGTCTAGTAGCTTACATTTTATTTATCTAAACAATTAGAAAAATAATTAGAATATGTTAATCATTGTTTGACTTTAACATTAAAGCAGACAGTCCATTTGTTTTGTTATATCCTGACAAAAGATAATGATATCGACAATTTGGATCAACTTTTAGAAAAATTCTTGGTACCCCATTTCAAGGGCTATCCTTAATTAATGAATTCTTTTTCAATGTCATCAATGATATCAGATTTTCCATTTTTTTTTATTAAAAAGATGAAATTTGTCTATTTTCTGTGTTGAAATTGACTTCTAGTCTTTGTCTATTTTCTGTGTTGAAATTTACTGCTAGTCTTGTTTCTATTCTATGCCAGTGACATCCAGAACACAATATTTAATTGTGTTTAATATTTTTAAAAAGATTGATTCTAGAACTGGTCTTTATTATCTATCTATTGTTAGAATTATAGAAATAAGTGGACCATCTTAAGATCTTGGTTATGAGTCATAATAGAACTGAAAGTTTTTAATTAAAGTTTTCCTGTTGAATTATGATTTCATTATTGTTGCCTTTTCTCTAATGTCACATGTCTTTCATTATTAAGTCGTTTTAATGTATAATGGCTTATTGTGTTTCATTTTAAATCTTTCTTTTTTTAAAAAAAAAAAAATGCAAAAAAACATTTTTTTTTATTGTTTTTGAAATCATATTTACTTCACTACAACTTTAACAAAATTTCAAACCATGTTTCATTTAAAAAAAAAACAAACAAACATTTTTTTATTGTTTTAAATCATATTTACTTTAACTGTATTTTTGTCTAATATTCTGTCTTCATATGTAAACTTGTTCATAGCCCATTCAGTGGTCTTCATTTAAAGATATTACAACATAACATGTACATTTTTAAATTGTCGATTTAAAGCTTGATTCCATTGGTTGGGCATAGGTAATAAATATGTTAGAATCCGTATAGCAATCATAAAATGATCTAAAATTATTTTTATTTACCTTTAAGTTAACTTTCATTCAATCTTGGCTACAGATACTTTTAGGGCTAATGTATCTACAGTATATTAATTGAACATTTCTTTAAATATATAAATTAAATTGGGCCTACTTATACTTTGATTCAGCTTTTATAAATGAAATAACATTTTAATTAATCTGCCCTCCAACTGGCAGAAGCCCAAGCTTTACACCCAAAAGTCCATGCCTTAACCTGGCAACAATTCTATGTGACTGTTTGTTTTGCTATATTTTTATTTAATTTATATTATTATTTATATTAAGGATATTATAATATATATTTTTCTAACATTACTTATTTAATAAATATTTACATATTATAGTATGTTCACTATAATTAATTCACTTAACGATAGCTTGTGATTTTAATAACCACATTTAGTGATTTTTTTATTTTAAAAAAAGCTGGCCATGTAAGCACATGTTTTCATGTTTATCAGAATTAAAATTCAATTCTGAAGGACTCCAGCTTTAAATATAAAATAAATCTAAGAACTAATAGCACTTGACAATAACTTAAAATATCTATTATTTTATTCATTGTATTACAGTCCTTTATTTTAGTGTTATATTGTACATATAATGAAGCTACATTTTAAAACATATTCATGTTGCTTTTATAATATATATATACCTATATGATATTATAACTCAGGCGGGTGGTTAACATGTGCATGTACAAATATATACTGGGTAAATAAAGGATAAAAATATTCAATTGTTTCTTCATTTCTATTGTATTTATGCATTTAATAAATAGCAATATAATTAGTCTATTATAGGCCACAGACTACTGAATAAGTCTAGCAAATTTTTTTTTTTTTTTTTTTTTCTCTTTAAATCGAGCTTGTTTTTCTTCTATAACAAAACACAAGGATTGTTTCTATTAAATCTGTCTAATAAAGAACTTCCTCTTCTCAGATCATTATTACTATCCTGTCTTGTTGTATACTTGGCTGATGAGTTGGTTACTATAATAGAAGAATTTAATATATATCTCTCTTAATCGTAATCACAGAAGTATTAAAGGAGCTAAAATGCTATTCTTTGGCACCTAGAAATGGACACAAATGGGTCCCAACGCATATTATAATGTATTATGATTTACATTCAATCGTTTCTGTTTTTAATGTAATTTCTGATCAGTTATGTTTGACGAAATACGTGAAGAGTTCAAATTGAATGGCGGTCTTTGGCGTCTGGATATTCCAGTCTACAGTGGTAGTATTCTCCTGTGGGGTATGTCTACTAGCCTCCTTTATCAAGTCGGTCCATTACAAATGGTGCTTGATGTGTGCTAATTTTAAAATTTTCATTTTGTCTTAAATATTGGATATCAGAGGCCCATCTTTTCACGAAAAGATAACAACACCAATAATAAGTCGTGTTTGCAATGTCGAAAACTGTGGATGACACTGAGTTAGCGACTTTTCTTCTTTAAAATGGTTGAACAAGCTCCATGTACAGGGTAACCTCGTTATTTCGAACTGGAACGGCGCATGTATTTCATTGGCTAAAAGCAAGGTTCGACAAGCCCCGATGGTTGGAAAAATGAACCATTTACTCTTCTAAATTGACAAATTTGTAGTATCTTGTATAATTGCTCATTTTCTTATCTTTCCGAGTAAGATATTGGAATTTATTTATTTCAAGTTGCCATGTTTTGTCGATGGAGAAGACAGCGAACGACAGTCAAATGATCATATACTCGACAGGGAGTAGTGACCGCTGATTTTGCATGAGGAGCAAATTTTATCCAGTGGTGAGGAATATACTAGAGTCGATTTAAAGCATATTTGAGCCATGCCCATGGAATATGTTTGCCACTGGTTGAGCAATATGTTTATGGAGTAAGCCTAATGTAGATCAGAATCTGAACATGAAAGTTTTTTTCAAAAACTTCAGATGAGGCGCAGAAACCATAAACATCTGAAGCAATGCCCGCCATTGCACCCCTTCACTTAGCCCCTTAATGCTTATAATAATTTGTCGGAAAATGTTATATATTGTTTTTCTTTAATTATTCTTCGAATACCGCAAAAGAGCAATATCCATTTTAATAGCTTAATGATTAAGTCAATTTAAGTTGTTTTTTATTCTTGAAAATCTAGAAACGGTGCTGTGAAACAACTTACTGTAGAGATTACTAGTTTTATCGTCGGGTACAAAGCTGGTTGAACTATTCCAGGGAGCAATTATTCTACCGTTAGAAACACCAGTCGATTGTACTCGATTGGCTCTTTCTTCCCATCTGAGTACTCGAGATCCATCTTTGCTAACCACCACCCATTTCCATTCCAGAGATTCTAGTGGCGGTAGTTCTAGCTTTATTATCCACCTTCCAGATCCATATGGAAATTCATTACCAACAACACACTTCTTAGGGTTCCATTCTCCAATCGCTTTTAAAGATCCTGAAATTCCTATTTTTTCGCCCCGTCCCAACGATTTGTACATAGTTTCAAAAGCCAACGAGACTTTTCTATTTTTGTCTGCCATGCTGCTGGGAGAAGGAGAACCAGCAATGGTTCTTCCTGTGACCCCCTCAACTACTATGACGTCACAATTGCATGATACATCGGCAGAAAAGTATGGTGAGGTTTTATTTTTAATGACCTTCTTACGGAACGCGTTCTGTTATAATATGTATCTCGTCTGATACTAAGATGGCGAGCATGTTACAATGTAGATGAACTTTCAAACTAATCGCCAAATTTATCTAATTGGCCTTGGCGTTGTTTCTTGTGATTTCCTAAAAATAAATTCCTGTCCAATAACTGTGAAATATTAAGTTCTTAAAATGAATTAGTTGGCGGGACACCGTAACCTGAAATACTATGTGGTAATAGGTGCAGCAGTCGCCTTTAAAGTAAAACACCACGTGAACCTAGTTCGTCCCCAGAAGAAACTCGCTATTTACTAAAAGGAAAAAGATTTAAACACGCTATTAAAGCAGTCAAAAAGTTCTCTTTTCTACCACTTTCTTGCTAAACAGGAATCGACCTCTATTTAAAACACTTAATTAGCCGTAGGTAACCTGTATTCTATGAATTTATTGTCGCGGGAAACCGTGTCAAACTGAATACCATCTGAGGTCACCGAATACCAGCGAATTGTAATCTATGTAAATTTCTCGCAGGTAAGAAATGTTGCAGTTGCTGCCAGCACATCAAATGGCAAACGGGCCAATGAAACTAAATTTCATATTGATACATAACAATATGTGCTGTTTTGTTATGACTAAGTGCGTTATAATGGTCGAAAAGTGGCTAAAATATAGACGTTTTACATTTTACGTTATACCATGTATTATAAGGTCCATGGTTATACCCAAGACAGTGTTTTAAGTGGCGTGTGGCAACAGTTCTAATTTCTGGGCCTCCCCGCATGCATGGGTAAATGTTCAATAATTGTACAGAAACAATGTTATTACAAGCATACTAGTGGGGTTAGCGCGTGTGCGCTGTATCTAAAGGCCCGCCATTGGGTCAACTGGCGTGGTTTCGAATCCCCGGTTGTACGTGACAAGGAGTAGGGTCGCCTGTCCAACCTCGTGGGTTTTCTCAGGGTCCTCCGTTTTCCTCCCACTGCTAAAGACCCCTACGCGCAAGCGAATTATAGAAATAAAATTAAACCATATGTTAGTCCCGAAATGACCTAGCTTGTGCCGAGTGGACGTTAAACTGGAGATTAAGTATAAATCTACACTTATTTATAGTTTATGTACTGGACAGTCATACATCAATGTTGATGGACACGTCAATAATAAATCATCCCGCTCGTGATAGAATCCACGAAATCTGACATCAAAATTTACATCATTATGGGTTTCTGTCCTACTAATCACCGAGCGGGGTTTTTATTTTTGTCAGTTTCACTTATCCATAATTTTGTCGATTTTAATTTTTTTTTATTTTTATGAAATTATTTAAATTTTGGATATGATGTATAGAATATATCATTAAGATAGTTTTCCTTGTCGGTCACCTACTTTATGCGATACTTTGGGCGGTATTGACCCCCCCCCCCGCTCTTATATATATTAAATTGACAAGTTATATGACCTTTATTGTAGTCAGAATTTGTATATTGTACTATTTCCATTATTAGCCTACTTTTATTTTACTGCCATATTTTTGCCCCTGTCTTAACACAGCAATGTAACATGGGTTCATCGGTCGGTCTGTCTGGTCGTCACACGTTTTGGGACCAATAACCCTGCTTGGGGTAGATCACACTTGGCGTAGATCGTTCGATGAATGCCTTAACCGAGTTTGATGATAGCCAGCTTCTGCTTACACTGGGCAACTGTCCACCTATCACACCTTTTGGAACACAAAACTGCTTCAAACTGAGGCGATGTACAGGGTATTTTGTCAGGGGTCCAACACTGTGCTTCTGCTGAGTAGAGACAAGCTATTTCATTGATTGGAAGTTTGGGTAGAGTGTTCAAACTTGGTGTATGTGTTCAATAGATGAATATATTGCCCAAGTTCGACAATAAGCATTTTTTGCCGAGTTAAAATTTTAATTACAATAACCGTCCCTGAATTATGTGTTGGCTGATAAGTGATCATATAAAATCTCGCCCCTTTTCATAACCCGACGAAGAATTGGTAAACAACTTCGAGCCTTAATAAAAACCTTGTTTAACATGTCGACTCGGGTTACCCTAGCTCCACCCCAGTGCTTCACCCACCCCTTAAGAGCCATCAATTTGATTAAAATACAGATCTATATTTCGTTTCTTTTTTTATATATATACTTTCGATAGCCTACACTACAGGAAGATCTGACAGATTGTAGTGGAAGGTCGCGTCAGGGGTCATGCGAGCGGCTTTTGAACCTATGACGTTAGACTTTGATTAATCAATAAGCGTTGACGTTTCTGGTGGTTTACCCACAGTTCTGTGCATCGCACGTCAAGAACTCGTCAAGAACAGACCGTTTCATTGGTTGATCCCTCACGTCAGCAAGAACGCTGATTATATAACAATTCTTCCAGATTCTAGTGTAGTAAAGACAACAAAAACGAAATTTTGAACTATAAAAAAACAAACGAAATAGGATCTGTATCTTAATCAGATTGAAGAGCCAAATGCGTACGCGAATTAATGAAATATAAATGACCTATCTGATTTTGTGGACGTTAAACCCCATTGTTGGCATGCACTGAAATGAGCCCTTGGCAATTGCAATCGAGATTTTAAACGAAATCGCCGCCGCCCAAGCAATATTATTCTCACTACTACCGTAGCATTGTGTTGACGAAGGGTAGGCAGAAACGTCACTGCCCTCGCAAAACTTCGCTCATAGCCCACTGCATTGCGTAAACCCGGTTGGTGCAAAAAAAGTGATTTTAACAGCTAATTCATTTCATTTGTTATGCTTACACTTTTTGAACACCTGATACAGCTTCCCACTAATTAAGGGGGGCAAACCGCTTTATTACGCCTAATTATTTGTATTGTACTCTTTTATGAATGAAATTAAATGAACGAACACGAAATCTCACGATTGGCGATATAGCTCAAGGGCTTATCACGTTAAAAAATCGAAAGTTTTCTAGAATCGTGATTCAACAACTTACCCATTTAAATATGACCCGTAGTAATATCGGATACTAGCACATAACATTTAAAGTGACATTTCGTTGATAGTAAATCGTACATTGCTATTATTCAAAAGCAACTTTCAAATCTACGGGAAGTTAATACT